ACATTAACGTATTGCTAATAATAAAAAACATATTTATGATATCCCACTGAGTAGGACAACTACATTTTTGAGTTTTCTGATGTTACTTAACTCAGTGTAAGTCACCGCCTCGTGAGATTCGAACCCAGGACCTTTCGGTCTCGCGCACGCGAACGCTTAACCTCTACACCACTGAGCTGACATCCAGATCATGATCTCAACATCATTGGCGGCCTGTTTAAGCATCTGGGCTACCTGTTCCTGTCATCTAGATATTTCAACAAGTTATCTAGTTTCGTGCGTTTCTGAAAAGTGTAAGACCTTTCGCTGTAAAGGTTACAGAAGACCTAATCAGAGATATCGTGGTTGCTGGCAATATGCAGCGAGAAGTATGTACATTATTCAGATGTTGATTGACTGGACTGCTAACTTCTAACTGGCGATCGCTCAATATTTATCGTCAGGAAGGACGAAGAAGTAAGAAACGGAAACTTCTTGAAGTACTTTGTGCTGAGAATTCTATATTGTACCAAAAATATAATATTGAATAAAGCTAATAACAATAATAACTATTAAGATTACTATAATATCCACAAAAAACCCTTCTGATGGTAGTCAACATATGCTAACTGATGACTAGCTTTAAGAGGGATTTCCTGGAGTTTTAGTGATAAGCAGAGACCAGTGGAGTCTAACTGGGTCTGTTGTAAGATAGTAACTCACTGAAGACAATGGTGGATGTGTCGGTCACTGTCGTGGATTAGTTGAAGTTAGACATTAAAACCGTTGGATGCCGGCGAATTCAATGGTGTTAAGTCGACTTACAGTAAACTCTATCAGAGCCTCCAGAGGCTCATAAAGAGAAGCTATGCTACTAAAATAACGAGATCCTGATTGGCTATTTAACAGACTGCTACTATGGAAACTCAAGGTCTCTTAATTACTATAAAACCCCTGTATTTTCTGTACATAAATGAATCCTGTAGTAAAGTGCTTCCGTCATACTTTGTGCCTTTTCTCTGGTCTTCAAGTTGCTGTATAGTTCTAGCTCGGGGATACGGAACTAGCTTAGGGAAGCAAGTATAGCGTTCACAATCGGCCAGATATAACAAATGGTCTAGATGTTAAGTGTTCGTGCGCGAGACCTAAAGGTCCTGGGTTCGAATCTCGCAAGACGGGTCCGTGGATGTGCACTACTGAGGAGTTCCACAGTAGAACGAAACGGCCGTCCAGTGCTTCCATGGTGGTCTAGCTTCAATTAACTAATGATCGCAACTATTAAATTAACCCAAGCTTAAATTGTACAAGGGAACAAAGCAAGAATTCTCAATGCGATCAATCGAAAAACAGGTCTGGCCAAGTCAATGTCATTTCGACTAAGACGACTTATGTGTGACATGTTTATGTATGTAAAAGGTTCCGAACAGTGATTTTAAAAATTTATTTGACATTGCTTACCAAATCCAAAGCTCTGTACAAATTTACACCACTTATTAATAATCAGTAGTTTGTCACGCCTACTTCACCCATTTAAGCTTGTTTTTCAGTATTTTCTTCTGTCATGGTACCTCAAATAGTGTCACACAGTCCAGATAATCTTCGTCTTCTTATTACACAATCCAAATTTATCGAAGGGTCTAATGGCTTCAAATTTCGTGTCTCCTTTAGCTTATTTAGCCTTACCATACTCTGGAATTTTTAAAAAACTTTCTTACTTCCCGATAAAAAGAGATCAATTCAACTTTGTTAATCGCACGCTTCAAGAAAAATCCTATTATTTGATTTCAGGTTTATTTTCTTATGTGTAACATGATTATTTACCTAGACACCTATGTTGTATGGATATTATTATTTTGAATTCAATAGTTTCCAGTCTTACCACTTACTAGATTTACTCAGTAAGAAATTGTTTAATAACTAGAATTATTGAGACAGGTTCAATCACTTTCCTGTTTGAAGTAGTTAACGAAAGTGATTCTAGCTAAATTCTGAAGACAAACTTATACTTATGAATATTATTTCTGTTTGTTTGCACTACGATACAGTTGGATGACATTAAAATGGCCCTGAAATTCCATGCTACTTATCAATCAATGAGAATACAGGTATGTGTAGCACAAGTGTCCTTTGCTGAATGTGATGAGATTTTATGTGTACAGACGTTTAAGATGACTTAATAATCGATAACGCGATGGAGTTTGAAGCGAAAGTTATTGGGTTCGAGTCCCAGAGTGAACATCAACTCTGAGATGCAGGCACATACAGCTGACGAGTCCCAAATCGGACGAAACGCGCGTCCTTGATTCCACTGCTAGTCACTATCCATCTTTGCTTACATATAGCCCCCAAATGCCCTGGTACGGCCCAGAGTGGGGAGAGTCCGCTCTCCCTCTCGAAATGCTCTCACATGGCCACACGTATATAGCCTCTACCAGGGAATTCCTACTCACTGCTTTCTCGAGGTGAGGGTGTTGTTTACGAAATTGAGAGGACGAAAAGCGAATATCCGGCACTTTAACCGGGTTGGTGGATATGGAGGATCTACCTAGAGGAGTTGGAAAACCCTGATTCCAAACCAATGGTGCATATTGGGCTCAGGAATCCTAAAAAACAAATGGCGTATTGTCTGTCACAGACTACCATAGGATTGCGTCTCCTCACGATGCTCCAATGCCTTGAGAATCAGACCTTTAGGTCACAGGCTCGGGATGTGACCCTCTAAGAAACCCACTTGCTTCAGTTTGGGCACCTGGGCAGTATCACAGCCCTCACATAAATAAATTAAATGATTTCAACTGACAATCCTATTTACGCGCCTACTATTTTTTACCATAATAGTTTTTCACTTATGGTATGATATACTTGCTGATCCACTCTTAACGCACGAAAGGATAAAAAATTAACATGTTTTTGGCATTTACATAGTTGTTTCCATTCTACGACTCCATAATAGACTAAAACTACGTTCCTGAGCTTTAACCATTCCGAAAAGAAAATCTCAACATAGTTACTTATTCACTAAACGATAATTAGCAATACTTTTTAAGCTATGAAAACAAATCACCTCCACGATCTCCAAGTGGTTTAACAATGTAGTATAGTTTTACAGTAGACTTACACAACTTATAAAAAGCCTTAGAAATAGAATTGAGGGATTAGCGAAACTGATTACATGAAGACAAAGTAACGACTGTCCAACAAATTTGGACAAAACACCATCAAGTGGATATGCCAAATATTGAAAAGTATCATAAACTCCATTATGTATGTCTAAGAAAGATCGGACTGCAAAAATTGTCGAACGAATAAAAAACCGATAAGACATATGTTGAAAATTTGAGGTAGGGACTTCCAAAATAGCTTATAGATCCCCAGCATCTTCGACACTTGAACCTTGAAAGTAGCAGGTGGGAATTGTGAAAGACGTTTTACGCTCAGAATTATTTTGATGAAAGAAAATAAAAGGATATTTGTAGAACTAACAGTGGCCCTGAATTTATAGAAACTTATGCAAAAGGTACTAGTGTTGTTAATATCTTCAACACAGAGCCTATCCCAATATAATTTTCCCTAACATTTTGGTTTAAGTCATTGGTAAATGCCATTCCTGTTTTTATAGCTGCTCAGACAACATACCGAGCTACCTCGGGGCGGATGTTACTTTCATGGTTGGTTATCTCGTCTAGCTGTTTCCCAAATATTACCACTAATTCATGATTAGATTGAACTTTAAGGGGTTCTTTTGTTGTGGTTTTTTAAGTCCGATGAGACGCTGAAAAATACATGCCCGTACTAGAGAATGACCAAAGTCTAAACATGTGTTCCAGAATTAGTGACAGTATTTTATTGACCCACTCCAAGTTTGGTTGAAGAATACTTTGTTTACAATTTGCTTTTTTATTTAGAAAAACAGTGGTACTTGACGAACTAAATAATAGTATTATACTCTCTCACAACAGTCTATTGTACAAAAATAAAACAACTAGCTTTTTAAAATTTTTTTAAATTATTCAAGTAAGATTAGAAGTCAATTTACAGAATGCAAAAGGAAAGAAATCACTCGGATTTAGACTTCGAGGGTGATGATGACTAAAATAAGAAATAAATGGATTTGAAATTGAAATAATTTACTAACCTGACAAGTATTGGTTACATCGTCTTTCGTAAGATCATCCAATTGTTCCTTTAGTGATAGGCAGAGATATAAGAAAAGGAGGGTTATGAAGTAGGACGATAGTAACATAAACAATTTAAAATCTTTAAAATTCAGTTTATTCAATGTATATGTAAGCTGACAACGTAAGAACATTTCTAGGCGAAAGCAATCTTATTCCCCTTAAAAATAAATCTGATTTTCGAAAACTTGATCTATCTTCACTTTAATTGTTCAAAACATTGCTGGAATTCTTTAGAAATTAGACCGTATTGTTCACTGAGTTAATTTAGGAACGCTGATTGTTCGCTTTCGACACAGTGGTCTAATAGTCCAGTTATAGTACCAAGACTTGAACGCTAAGGGGTTGAATTATGGATGTACGTTTTTGGCCAGATCCATACTAAGACGAAACAGCTGTTGAATACTCTGTAATTTTCACAGATTTTTAAATGGTTCGGAAACTCATGGTAAAACGTTTCTCTGGGAAAAATCACTAAGTCAATATGAAGTTTGGACAAGTCTGGGATTCTTAAAAAAACTCAACGACATGGATCACAAACTGACATGAGAACACATTTACACTTAAAATGATTTTTTTCCATAACCGCCACAATGAATTTTTCGGATAAAAAATAAGAGTAAGAACAGAATAAAAGTGAGTACAGAGAATCTTTGACAAGACTATGATTTAACGATAAGCCAATGAGATTTAGAATAGTCTTGAATTTTGAGGCGAATCCACTTCATCCGTATGACTAAATGACATGTTTGGATTACAACTGATGTCAGTCCGTGATGGAAATTCTCACACTAATCCCTAAATCTGACTTTCGACTCTAAATACTAATTCCTCCCACAGATAACCCTATTTTGACCCAAGTACGTGGGCGAGTTTTTCACCAAGGTCACTAGCGTCAAACGCAGACAGTCTCATTAAGTTCTTTATTGCAAAATACACTGAAGTACTTGTAATGTGATCTTAGTAGTCTGGTGCATACATAGGGCCTAATTGTCATGATTATGGTGCAAAATATAAAAAAGATGTAATTCTTACCGATTTCTCTGTTGTCGGCTCTGGAATGGGTTTTAATCTTGGAATAAAATAGTACACGACTGGATATAAAAGCCGATGTAGTATCCATAACAGTACCGGTATTACGATGCATGGAATACAAACCATATCTCCAATTATATTAATGAGAGCTTACAAAGAATCCTAAAAATCAATGTTTAATAAGTGTTATATATATAGGAGGCTCTTTTATCAATTAGTATTGTTAGAAAGAGAGATAAAAAACACATCAATCAACGGCCATTAGATTCGCATGAAATACAATAAGCAACTAATTGCAGCGAGACTAAAGTATACTGCAGTATAGTTTAGTCTCGCCATATAACGTTGATTTGATATCACAGAATCAATACTATATTTAAATATAGTATTGATTCTAGTATTTCAACTTTGAGTTAAGTGGCTGAGGTTAAAAAACGATATACACGCTAGAAAATATACGAGTATAAAAACGATATGCAAGCAATTAAAAACCTACCAGGAAGATCTAAAGCAGAAATTAATACACTTTTAGTCACAACGACGAAGTAGCGCAGAAGTCAAGAAAACCACTTCTACGTTGTGTGTTTTAAAGGTCCAAATAGCTGGGCATTGAATACCCAATGTATTTGGCGTCTTTGTGTTAAAAAAGTTTATTTCTAAGGCCTTCAAACTTACTTTTAAGAAAGAAAATCTAGTATTTTTCGGCAGTCGGTGAACATAGTATTATACATAGACCGGCCTATGTTAATCGTAAGGAGTAGGGATAAGTTGAGAGACGTGGGGAAGTTAGGTCTGATTAATACAATAACGTCATGAGATACTTATGTGACAAATAAATCACCATCTAAGACGGCAGTGAAGAATTCACGGTCTGATTTTTACATTAAACCAGTTTACTGAATGGCCTGTATAAGATTGTGCTAAATAATTACCATCAATTTAACTTTATTGCGTAACTACTGTTAACCTGAATACTACTGTGGAGATAACTAGGATGGTGTTACTACTTAAGTATTATTGGGATGTCATATTATCCGATTACTTCTTAATTTAAGTTACTTTAACATGATGGTCAAACACTTACAGGTCCTTTTCTTTAATTAAGGCGAGCACATTTTTTATCTAGAACATTCTCTTTCCTTAATTACGCATCATCAGTAAAACATCTTTCGAAATGACCTTATAAGTAATACTTTAAAGCTTTCCAGTACTCATTTATTTCCAGTATTTGCCACTCGCACAGCATCAAAGAATGTCGAAAATACTACTACATCGAGCGGTAGTCTAACTGACTGTAACAGAGAGACGGGAAGTTCTTTTCAGAAGGCCATAAGGACATTTCTAGGCCTCAGCAAATACCCTAACAAGATGGCTCAATTTGCCCATCATGATGACTCAACCTAGCAAACAAGTTTCGAGGGAGAAGTTGCATCACGGACAGTACAGAGATAACAACAGAAAGATGGTGTAGTGGTATTAAGCCGCAACCACACAATCCCCAAAGATAAACATGTGACAACTGGGAAAATAGTTATTCAACAGTTAACGCGAAAGAACCCAGCAGTGAAGAATACAGGAAAGATCAATTTTATTAATCGGACAATGACACTTGATCAAAATATATTCTCACTTAAACTATAAACTTCATACGAACGGCTCCTCAAACGCTTTTGGTATAAGATAATTTTAATAGCTTGATGAGAGAGTAGTGTAGCGGTCACGCACCCAGGTCACTAGGGTCACTACTAATTGATCTTGTTTGTCAGTTCCCCAGGAAGAAATATCCTGGGAAGTGACAACCACTCTCATAACTCTTCCAACACACGAGGTCATCTTGTTGGCAGTCAAGACCGCACCTCACCTTTTATTAATTCTTCCATCTCCACAACTAACCCTTATTTATCACCACAGATCACCAATATTATTGATTCCAGCCCGCGAAATTTTATTTCTGGTCTCCTGAAACCAATCTGGAAACTACATATTGCAGCTCTAGATGACCAAATTTTGTCAGGTAGGATACCAGGATTCTTTAGCTAGGCCTCTGGAATCCCGCGTCATCAATGTATTTTGCGGCTCTGCTTTACATACACAGGATCTAAGTACGGTCATTCACTTGACCTTACCTTACTATCATAAAGAACCAACACAATTTACCCTTCAAGTACCTGGAGATCTCACTGCTACTTCCCGTGGCCTCATCGGTTTACGTAAAACAGTAAGTTCGAAAGCAGAACATGTTCTGTTAAACAGTGTTCTAATAAAAAGTCGCTTGTGTGCTGTCCGACTGGATGGGCTGACAGGAACTTCAAAAGATAGGGATACACGCTGTTGCCTTTAGCTGTCTCTGCCCACGCCACCATTGGTTGTAGCTCGGAAAAAGTTGAAGATGAATTTCATAGAAAGCTCCTTCAGAAAGCTAAAAGCTTTTATGTGTTAATAGTGACGGGTAGTCTTAATGCTCAAGTAGGTAAACCAAACCGAACCGGAAGGGACTTCAGCGAATCTCACTATGATGCGGTCCAGCGAACAGATAGTGGTGACCATCTACTGAAGTGATAACCATTTATTTTTAGAAAACACTAACTTTAAACATAATGAGAAACATCATCTGACGTGACGACGCTCACAACAGATTCATTGATGCACTTGAATAAATCATATTGGCATTAGTCATTATTTGAGGGGCATAATAAGAGGCTACCACTGCTTCTTGAGAAAATACCTAGATCGTGCTTTAGTTCGAACATGTATTTTTTGAGGGTTACTGGGTGTAAAAGGTCACAGCAAGGCTGATGGGGTAACTTGTTGCCGATCGGCGGGTTCTGAAACCTAGATATACTTTCTGACGTCGTTGGCCTTAAAGTGGAGTTCAACTCCATTGACTGTGAAGTTCGGTAGCACTTTCTATCATTGAAAAGCATATCAAAGAAGTAAATTAATAGTGCAGATTATCTACTAGAACACTATTGTTCAGGTTACAGATCATGGAGAAATGTCTTCGGAATTATTTACTTTAAGTTGTGTTGGTCAGGGTTGTCTGTTTTCACCGTTTTTGTTTCACTTTGTGTTAGGTCGGCTTACAATAAACTCTATCAGATCCTCCAGAGAGGCTCATAAAGAGCTCAACCAATCAGCGATTAGTTAGAACCTATGCTACTAAAATAATGAGGTCCTGATTGGCTGTTAAACATATTGCTACTATGGAATCTCAAGGTCTTTTTAATTACTATAAAACCCCTGTTTTTTCTGTACATAAATGAACCTTGTAGTAAAGTGCTTCTCTGATACTCGTGTCTTCTCTCTGGTCTTTCAAGTCGCTGAGTAGTGCTAGCCTGGGGTTATCCGAATAGCTAGGATCCGAATAAAGCATTCAACCTACGAGTCATAACACTTTGTCATAGATTCTTTTAAAGGTGATAGTTTCACTATCTGACTTTTCAAAGATTGATCCCCAGTCAGGGAATGCAAACATGTCCGTATGCGGTTCTCTGTCACTAAGTGTAAAATGTTATTTCAGAATTGGCTTGCATCATAGCCTGAACTACAGATGGGAAGTGAGATAGTTCCATGGTGCATACTGTGTATTTAATACGTAACGTCAAAAGAAAGCAGCAACCTTGACAGCAGAAGGCTATGGAGATCACGTTGAAGAGAAAAAAAGACGTAAATAGAAAACGAATTGTTAATTGGAAGAGCCATGTGAAAGACAAGTGACGGAATTTTGTAAATGAAGCATTCACTGTATGGTTCTCATGTTTTACCAAGAGATCCTGTAATTTTGTACTGAGATGTATTGGTCGTTCCCACCTGCCTTCTGGTTTTAAACAGTCGGACACACTGTCCACTTCTTTTGCATTGAGTATCTAATCGGTCTTGATGGTCCGGTGTCTGGCCAAATCTCGGCACGAATTCAGAAACCTCGACTGGCTTTTACCAACTTGCATCAGATGCAGCGTAGGCGAGATATTCCTGTATCAACAAAAGGGCGAGTTTACTATGCAGCAGTCTAATCCTTTCAACCTTAACAATGGGAAAAATGGTCAATAAAATAGAGACTATTCGCAGGTTATTAATATTCGGTTGAAGGTGTCTTCATAACATTGCTCACTTATTTTGGGACCACAGAGTAAAGAATGCCTGGATTAGGAATAAGTTATCGGGTAAATATGATAAATCGACTGATGAGGTGTTTGAGACACGCGTTACGTATACCGAATCATCGTCTGTCTCGGTTGTCGATGTTTTCCGATGTTGGAGTAGATAGGAAGAAAGGGGGTCGGCCGAATCAAAACATGACCTAAGTCTTTGAAGTCACAGAGGGTTGAAATTGGTCATGTTAATAGGTGTGGGTTTGGGTTTTTGTGATTACCATGACCAATGGTTAAAGGCTTTGAATGATGTGGTTCAAAATTATTTTCAGTGGCACAGGTGGTTTATTTCTTTCTCCGAATTCTGAGATTTTAAAATGCTCATAACTCTTTTTCTTCTTGTTTCACTAACTTATGTTTTCTTGTAGAATAGGATCCTCTATGCCTAATATTTCCTGTGACTACTGGTACTGTCACTGCACCTACTATTCCAGGAATTGACCTGACAATTTCATCTCCCTTTGCTGATAAGGTATGGCAACTTGAAGTGATGTACATATGTACCAGGTTCTACGTTGTGACTGACCGATCGACCGTCAACTAATTTCTCAATAGAGAATCAAACTTCAAGATGTGAATTCTCTTCATGCGATGGTATTCACGAATAACCACCTTATACACTATTTCCAAAACATCTGAGTCACTTTGATTAGGAGTGTGGGGCCTGTGAACTTTCTCAATCTACTGCTCTTCGCTGAACAAATCAACTGCTCCGATTGCAAAGCCTTCAATGCCAAAAGACAACCTAGGTAGAGCCATGTCTCTTCCTCTTTGTAACTTTCCCGTCGTTTGGCAAATATTTAAGGTGGGTCTACTTAACTTCTTTTGAGACACTCTCGTTAATATTCCGATCTTCGTAGGAGACAGTTGGAATGATTAATGTTGCGTCAAGGTGATTTGGCTTATTCACGTGGTTAACGACAACATCAGAGGACTTAATCATGGTCAGTAGAGAGGTTAGATAAAGTCTGTTACTATGGGGTTCCAGTTCCTCTTAATTTTGGACTTCCGCTTATTAGGGAAGAAAGACATCAGCTTTAGCACAACTAATTTTATGTTTCCCTTCGTATATTTCAACAGATGTAACACTCAAATACATTTTTCTGGATCACGTGTTACTTCCCCAACTGATCGTACAGTTAGGGCGTGTTTAAGGACAGGAGATTGCTGCTGAAGTTACCATTGATCAGTTTTAAAGAGCTATAAATTCGTTGTCTAGTAGCGACTTTAGACAGACTTATTGTATGGTAAACTATTATAGACTCAGTTTTTAACCTTTCAGAGCCTAGGACTACCATCTAATTCGGAGAGTAAAACCACTTAAAGACACATCAGTCACAGAAGAATTAGTAAATATTGGTTGTCAAGTTCCTCATGACGACTACTTTAAAGACAAATAACACACAGTTATGATTGTCGCAAAGGAGAATATATTTGACAGATAAGTGTAAGAATTTCAAACCTACTATCCAGAGGATAATAGGAGCCTCACATTAAATCGTGCTACGGCCTTTATTTTATTTTATTTAAACACATAAATATTGGTACAAGAAGGACATCAGATATATATGCGCCACACAAATCAGATGAGATTTGTGTGAGGGCTGTGATACTACCCAGGTGTCCAAATTGAAGCAGGTGGTTTACTTAGGGGGCCACAATCGGAGCATTTGACCTAAAGATCTGATCCACAAGGCAGTGGAACAACGTCAGGAGATGCAGTCCCATGGTAACCGGCGACCAACGATTGATTCATACGACATTTTTCCTTCAGGATACTGGAGTCCATGTGCACCATTGATGGAATGAGGGTTTTCCAACTCCCCTAGTTGAACTTTCTGTGTCTACTAACCCGGTTAAAGTGCCGGGTATTCGCTTTTCGTCCTCTTAATTTCGTGAACAACACACGTGGTGCGAGAAGGCAGTAAGTAGGACTTCTCTGACAGAAGCTATTTACGCGTGGCCGTATGAGAGCATTTCGCGAGGGAGAGTGGACTCTCGCCACTCTCGGGTGCTACGGCCTGATAGTGATACATGAATGAGTCCCTTCTGCTAGAAGTGTCCAGTATCTATCATTTTATTTGGAATCAGGGATCACTTTGGAATTTCGAACTTTGAATTGCCGCAAAGTAGTACTTCCATATCCGGGTTTTCTAGGAGCTTCTGAATTGCTACATTGTTACCTAGGAAGTATTATTCACGAGACTCGCTTGAGAGATTCCTGATTAAGATAATATGACAGTACAATATATCTGAAAGCTCATTTAATTCCCAAGCAGATAAATGGCTAGCAAAACACATGGCATTTCCTGACAAAATAAAACCATATTGACAAGAGTATCATCGTACATTAATATAAGTAATTTTTCAATGGTAGAAAGTCACTCGAGAGCATTGAATTAGCAATGATATCAGATAACAAACCAATCAAATAAATCGAAAATCTCCTTCTTTAATTTCTAAGGTGAAGGCTACTCGTCCCAGAAGCTCTGTTTACAACATCCATGATCTGCTGAACACTCATCGTTGTCATAGTACTTTCTGTAGCGGTTTATCAAAATTTCGGTTTTGTGAACTTATAATAACGAGTGACTATTTTCATTAAAGGGGCTCATAAGCGTGCAGAATGAGCCAAGCAAAGTTATTGACTGCGGTTAGTTGGTAAATAAATAATTTGTCAGTGATCTTTTTAGTAGTAGGTCTTAAAGAATGAATGGACTGGAGTATATTTTATATAAGTTTACATAAGCCCCAAAGCTTTTAAAATTTTGTTTGCTGTGTTAGTAGTTATATAGCTGGCTTTGAAACCTTTTCCTTAACTCATTGTTTTTGCCAGCAGCAAATAAATTGTTATTATATTCAATATCCTAAAGTATTCATTTATATGACTGTCATCCCACAATAAATTATACATGATGTCTTTCATTAAAAATAAACAGACTTTGTTCCCAAACCAGATAAGAACTCTCAGCCTACGGTTATCTCTTCTGTCCCATTCAAGTAAGGTGTTGTAATGAATTCTGATATAGGCATTAAAAATTGAAGATTGGGTGGAGATAACGGGAATGTTCATATAGTTTATGCATCAGTAAAACACAATTTGTGGTACAAAACATAGTAAGGCATGAAATGGAGTTCTTTTACATGAATCTAATGACACTGCTCACTTTTTATCGAGATTTATTCCAACGTTATGTAACTTTGTGAAGCCATATTTATTTTATAAAGCCAGTGAGAATGCGTTTAAATATATGGAGTAATCTTTTTTATAATTCTGCATCAATCAAATTTGTATCGAATAAATCAATTTTAACCAGTTCGCTGTGAATACATACCTAAAATCGGTCTCAACCTTGACATTTTTTAGACTCTATCTCCCATGTAAGCCAGCCTAGACCTACTTTATGCCCAGTTTGATTATAACGCTTCGGTAAGTCGCCAAATCAAACATCCTGTGAGCACTTTCTGCAATAATCATGGTTAATATTGCAAAAGCAAATACACTATCGAAAAACCGATAAAAAATGACACCGATAAAATTTATGTACTAAAAATGGGTCAAATTTTTAAACAGTGAAATACATACATTGACATACCGTGATTATGATGACACTATTTGAGCGTTCATATTACAGTAGGCCAACATTTAGGCTTAAGAAAAAGGTTTTTGGTTTCAGTTCTATTTATCACTTGCTTACTTGGATGAATAAATTGATTAAGTATTCCTGTTCCAATGAAATCAAGTGAGCCTTATTAATATTTGCTTTTTCACCATATTCAATTTAACGATTCATTATCGTTAACTTTGGCCAGTAACATAAACGATATGCTTAATTAGTCTACTCACATAAATCGCAACTTTTTCTTTTGTCACTAATTTCTCAGGCGTTCACTAAGATTCCTCAGTATGAAGAACATATCGCTGTTCAAAATCTGCCTTTTTCGGTTGATCCTATTCTATTGGAATCAGACTATCAGATTGTTTTACCACCATTAGTTGCTGATAAATGCACAGTATCACAACAAAAGTGTGATTCCACTAACATACTACAACGTTTAACCTCTCGTCGAAGAGAAAAACATATGAGCCGGTTGAGAGAGTGGTATGAAAAGCTTTCGAAAATTAGCCAAGTAAGACATTCTTCAGATGTTGTTTCTACCAACCAATAGGTTTTATTTCATTTCTTAATGTTTATTTTTTTTCAAAGTATGCCAGTTCTTGTGTATTTACGTGCGAATACTAACGGAAAATGTAAGAATCCATGTGTGTCTGATCATCTACATTTTATCGATTACTTGTTGACATAGACCTTCACTTTAAGCACATCAACTCTTTATATTTAAAAAGTGATTATCATCACAATTGATTTATCACTGGGTGGTGATCAATGTCATGTGTGTCAAGTCCTTCTTAATGCAGATCAAATGCTATCTATCAGGTTGTAATGTGATAACTAGTCTAAGTGACTCAACAATGCGTGCAATACGTTGATATAAGATGGTGGTCAACAGGAAACCCCGGACCCGGGTTGTGATTCTCTCTTATCACTTACTGTTATCTTAATCCAACCTTTATTTTTAATAATTTTCTTTATTTTTGAAAACAATTATAAACGTCGTTAAATGATACTCTTAAAACGTTTTTCAATCATCTGGTTTTACTTTTTAGTTTGAAAACTAATAACCAGTAACACCTTCTATATTCGAATCGTCCCCCACTTGGTCAAAATCAGAAGTCCGATGCGAAGAGGTTGGAAAGATATATTTGATGAGTTATCAATATATCGAGAAGCGGTTGCTATAATCTGGCTAATGAATGTAGGAAATGTTTCCCACGCCATTCCGAAACGTGATCTGGTACGAATACATGACCGAGCGCCTTCAGCTAAATGAGTCCACTAAAACTAATGTGGTCAGCATCCAATGTCGAACACTTAGGAAGCTATTGATTTTGAGGAATTATTTACAGCTACATACTAAACTCAGCTTAATATTTTAGGATAAGCAATGATAATGTGTGTGTTTATTTAATTATACAAAAATTTTCAGATATGTTTTTAATGTACTCTGATAACATCGAATAAACCAGCGCTTGAGTGTAGAAAAAGATCATGAGCAAATGTAAATTTACTGCATGAAAATCATAAATAAGGTGCGCAATTGTGTACAAACCCTTTATTGCTTCACATAAACACCAAGATTTTACATTGATACTTATCAACAAAGAGATCATGGTTGAGAACCACAAAATGCTTTTTGTTTTTTCTTAAAATTTTGATTAGGATATTGAAAATCAAGTGAAAGAATGTTGTGAAAATACTGCAAACTTATTAAATACTAGTTGGGAAAGACAAAATCAAATATTAAATGCAAATCTATCTGATGAAGTAAGTTATGGCTTTCATTTGAAATACTTTATATGTTTTAAATATGATAGGTTGGTATTATGTGATTGTTGACACTTGTTATATCGACTGAGTGAGTGCCCTGTTAATATATATGAACGTTATCAGACCACTTAATTGGGAGGCAGTTAATTTATTAATCGCCCAATGATACACAAAGAGTGTATGAGCAGTCTTGTGTGCTTGTCAATCCTGCTTTCTGCCTAGCCCAGCCAGTTAAGCTCAGATCATTAATAACAGACTCTGCAGTATGAATCATTATTCACAGACATACTGGGTTTATATATCAATCAAACAGACCACATCGTACCATGAAATAGAAAATAACATTAGTACAAGATTTGGCCAAATGTGGCTGTGAATATGGGGAACAGTAATCAATAGACTGGGTATAACTCAAGAACTTGTAAAAGTAGTTATTTAGGATGCACAAGAAACAGATAATCTACAAGGTTTTCTGAACATGTTTCTCAAAACTTGTGTTTTAAATGCAACTCCTTATCTTCAGGTCAAGTTAGGTTGAACTTACGGTGTGTTTGTTTTTAGGAATTGTACAGACTTAAAATAATTGCCCTATTTGTAAGGAAAAACTGATTTTTTATCAGATAGTCGGCATAAAGTTGTGTTTTTATAGAGTTATCATCCCGGAAATCTTACTTAATAACATAATTACTTAAGAGCTACCAAAACCAAACAACAAGATATATCTGAAACTATAGCTTTATTATGGGAAGCGAATTGACTATTGTAAGTTGACGAACCTCTAATTGTTAATTGTACATTAGTGTATGATGCTTACCAAAATTAAAAACAGTCAAAAATGACAATATATTGTTCATATAATTGAATAAGGATTAAGTTATAACGCAGACTATAAAGCAGAAAACAGCAATACTAAGTGAGATTATCATCAGTTAGCCTAAATAAATTAAGCACCTTGTTTTGGAAGTGATGTGTGACTAATCAAAGTAAGATTCAATTAATTGCTAAATATGGACATATTACTAACCATTTAATATGTGATTCTTTTCCAATTATTGGTTTATATCCTGGATTTATTGGGTTCAGTCTGTTTGTAATTATGTTAAGTGAAGTATTATCTAGTCTGGACTATAGTTTTCTACTTTTGATCATGAATCGTGTATCCTATATGACATGATTCAGTCCGTATATAGAGTATCGACCTAGTATCCAGCCTAGTGATAGGAAACTTTCAGATTCCAGTTCTATAATCATAGAGAACCAAATTCCTGTTCCAACTTGTCATTTTAAGCCTCTTCATATCATTTTACGATGTACACTTATAAGGGAAATTGTTTCATTTTCTTAACTCACATTCTATGTTTCATTTTGAAATGATGAAGATTTGTATCTCAGCTGGTTACTTTTAATTGTACTGTATTATCTAATTTGAATACCTTACAGTGTGAAAACTTTCATTGTTGTTCTGCATAACATTATTAGCGTCTATAGACTAGTTTAACGCTTCTGGAATAATTTTAAAAAGTTTTAAGCAAGTATGATCAGCCCTATTGGGTTGATGTCTGACGAAATCTCTGCACGGATCCGAAAAGCTCGTTTGGCTTTTGTCAACTTATGTCACCTATGGCGAAGACGAGATATCCGTATATCAATTAGGGGATGAACATACTGAGCAGCAGTTCGTTCTGTTCTACTTCACGGCTGTGAAACGTGGCCATCAAGAGTAGAAGATACTCGCAAGTTACTAGTATTTGACCACAGATGCCTAAGAAATATTGCTCGCATCTGCTGGGAACACCGGATAAGTAATATTGAAGTTAGACACAAGGTATCGGGGGATGATGGTAAATCAGTTGATGAAGTTGTAAATCTTCATCGATTGAGATGGTTGGGCCACGTGTTACGTATACCTGAACACCGATTAACACGACCCGCAATTCAGACTAGTGTTGGAGGCGGTTGGAAGGGAGTTAGGGGAGACTAAACCAAAACTTGACATCAGTCCATAAAGTCACTAACTTTTAATCTGATGCATGTTGGTAGATGCCGACTACTTGGTTGGGGTCCGCGTGACTATCGTGAGCAATGGTTGGAGACTCTAAGTGATATGGCTCAGAATCGATCACAATGGTGTAGGTGTATACACTTTCTGTCTTCCCTTAAACTTTGACATTAAAATTGCTTCATAACTTTCTTCCTTCCTATACTTTATCCTTATATACAACCTATCTTTTATATAATACCATCACTAAATTAACTACTTCTATGAATCCGGTGTTCATCTTGTTGTGCTAACGAGGTATGACAACTTGGACCGATGTATATATATGCCTTGTTCTACGTTGTAGCGGACTGACTGACTGATTGAAACAGCAATGATATTAGTAACAACATTAGCTCCTCAATATTAAAGCATTTAATTAAAAGAGCATGACAATTATCAAATAACTGCCATATGCATTTCTTAGTGAAACATACATTGTACCAAAATGAAAACCAATGACTGCAGTTTCTCTTACATTACATTTGAGTTAGTACATTTGAATAGTTCATTATATGTATTATTACTATTACTATTGTAGTGACTAAGAATACGAGTGAGGAGAATCAAGTATATTTAAGCACAAATGACAAATTATCGCACTGAAATCTGACATCCGTACAGTCAGTAGTTAATTTGCAAACTATCAATCAATTGTCTCAATCTCGACCATTCCTTCTGCATATATCAGTCCATCTTTTCTGATTTCATTGTTCATGCATTTTCATACCCAATTGCGCTTTATTTCTGTTCTTTCTTTATCGGTCTTCTGCCAAAATACATTCTATGTCTGACCATCAGCATATACTACTTATATGAATATAAGTAGACCACACTGTTATGTAGTAGCGAAGACATAAGTACGGGTAACTTGCAGGACCTACTATTGGACTATCATTCTTATTGTATAACTATTCGGTAACTAGATTATCCATATCTATATTCATCTTATTACTAGCTTCATTTTGACCTATTGATTATTACTATATGATTTACTGTCCCTATGTTATACTCAGTTTTATTGATTATTGTCTCCCACGCTTACAGCCTCATTTGGCCTGGTTTTGTACAAAAATTATTTTCTATTTTATGGTGTGGTGTGGTCTGTCTGTCTGATATATAAACAAAGTATACTTGAAATAAACGATTCGTATTGCTGAGGCTGCTATTGGTGTTTTGGACTCAAGTGGACGGGTTAAGCGGATAAGGGGCAATAAGGACGCTAGATTACTCATAGTAATCGAACGTCATTGTCACAGTGTGAAGGTCGTAGAAGTCATATTCTATTGGTGGACAATTTACGCGAATTACGTCCTTGTTAAATTCGTAAGGTCATAAGGAATCAGCGACGACCTTAATGAAGTCATAACAATTGGCTACCGCCTAGGTCAAAAGCATAACAAATTGGCGACGGCTAGGTCAAGTCATAACACACACCATACTATTATTATTATTATTATTATTATTATTATTATTATTGTGGATTTTATATTTCAGCATTTGTTGAACTCGGAGATATCTGATTTAGACAGTAAATGGAATCAACTTGATAATGAATATATTCAACGTAGAAATGAAATTAATCATTTAGAAAATCAATTATATATACTTGAATATAAACGTATTAATCAAGTTGAGTGAGAAATAATAATTTTTTAATAATAACATATTTTACTACTATATATATTTCATTCAGTAGTATGTTCTTGAGCTACCAAGAAAAACCTGGAAGCACTGGACGGCCGTTTCGTCCTATTGTGGGACTCTTCGTCAGCAGTGCGTATCCATGATCCCGCCACATGAGATTCGAATCCAGGATCTATCAGTCTCTTTTTAACTTTATTATGAAGTGATAACTTTGTTTATTAAACATATCTGTCAACAAATAAGTTATAGCTTTCGACTACAATTCATTAACTATAGTTTGAGCAGATTGATAATGTGCCAGAAAGAGAAGAGATAGGGAAAGTGTTAAACTTGAGAACCAGTTTATATAATCGTCTACCTATAGTCGATGCTTACTTGACAGTTAGTTGATTCATAACATTTTTCTGTATGCCTTTAGTGAATAACACATAGGATAGATGGAATGTGGTTAGCAATGGAATCTAGGACAAGTGTTTCCTTCCATTTGAGGCTCATTATCTGGATCTATCTTCGTCTTGGTGAATTGTTGCACCCTCCAAGACTTGAATTCAGTGTCTTTCTCCTCAAACGACCCGTTGCACAAATAAGTGGCTGTTTGGAATCAGTAGCTAAGTGAATAATTTGTTAAGGTTTAAAGTGAGAGGAACTTGGTTCGAGTCCTGGATTTAATATCAACTCGCTCTGGGATGAGGGTTGGTCCAGCTGACGAATCCCATATAGAACGAAATGACGCACTTTGTGGATTTCCCTGCTGACCACATCTTCACTGATAAATTTACTGAATTCGCCGTTACTGCCTTCAGTGATTCACTTTCAATTGTATGTGGTGATTTCAATTCATGTGACTGTAGCTTCCTTATATCACTAGGTCATCTAAATGTAGTAGATTTTCCTACTCGTTTGAATGCTCATCTAGACTTGGTTTTAATTAATGATGTGGGTGCCTATGTGACTCGCAAACGTGCTCCATTGTCTAGTTCGGATCACTGTATAATTCGTGTCTTGCCTAAAGTATATGGTAAACATGGAAAGAGCACACACATACTCCATACCAAAAAAGTAATATATAGGAGTTACTCAGAAGAAAATTTACAAAATCTGAAAAACATGTTTCGTACGACCAACTGGGAAGTACTTACAGATGACTCAATAGAAAACACAACGGATGTTATTACCTCTTATCTTAAATTCTGTTTTGATATTTGCTGTCCTACCGAAACCTTCTTTTTAAGTTTTGATCGACTTACATCTCCACAACTAAAACGACTACGGAGGGTAAAAGAAAGGATGTACAAGGAGAAAAACACTATTGAAGTTCGTAAGTTAAATGATCAAATAAACCAAGAGATTAGACGTCTCAACTGTGTGTTCACTCAAAAACTCCTATCTTGTAGAAGCTCTCCAAGTATGTGGAAACTCTTTAAAGAAATTACAGGGGACAGGCAGACTAGAAGCGAAAACCAGCTGAATGTTTGTGACTTAAATAAGTCCTTTATTCATCAGTCATCTGACATCATGCTCCCTATATCCAAGGGTTTGAAGAATAGTTGTGTCCCCAGTTTTACTGAAAATGATGTCCGGAAATGTCTCCAGTCTCTGAATTCATCTCAATGTTTAGGACCTGATGGTATCCCAAACCTCCTTTTTAAAAAATGTGCTGATGTTTTATGTTATCCATTAACAAATATCTTTAACAGATCCTTCTCAACTAATGTCTTACCGAAAATGTGGAGAAAGATAAAGATAATCCCTATACCTAAGAAAGCTTCTGGTGATAAAAATGCGAAACTTAGACCCATTGCAATAACCTCACCTTTCCTCAAAATAATGGAAAAATTACTGATACAACCACTTCAACCTTCAATAAAAGAGTACTGTGATCCATTTCAGTTTGCTTACAAATGCAAAAGAAGCACATTAGATGCCGTTGCTGTTCTGCATCACAATATAGTGTTCGGGTTGGAAAAGGGTAAGAAGTATGTTAGATGCGCTTTTCTGGACTTTACTTCTGCTTTTGATTCTATTCCAAGACATCTCTTACTTAACAAGCTGATTCGCATCGACACTGACAGCTGGATAACCAATTGGCTACGCTCCTACCTTTCTGGAAGAGAACAGTACACTGTATTTGAAAGAAAGTGTTCAACATCTCTACTGTCTACTGTAGGTGTGCCACAAGGAGCTGTTCTTTCACCTCTGCTCTTCTCTTTCTTTTTGCATGATCTGCCATCTTCCACAGAAAACACTTTTGTAAAATATGCGGACGACCTCACTGTATGTATGCCAATTTCTACCTCCTTACATCCTATAGAAATGAATGAGTTTTTATCTCGTATTGAAAGGTGGTCTGTTGGTAATGGTCTCTTACTCAATCCATCTAAATGTGAAGCTGTTAATTTTAGCTTGAGACATGGACAGAACCTATACTCTATGTTGGGATCCGATAATGCTTGTGCCATTGGAGACTCCTTAATAAACACAGTGTCGAGGGTCAAATATCTTGGTGTTACTTTTTCCTCTGATCTTTCTTGGTCTTCTCATGTTTTACTATTATCGAAAAAAGTTTACCGCTTGACATACTACATAAAGAGGCTGCATGCTTTTGGGATTACTCGCCATTTACTCTTACAATTTGTAAATTCCTGCATATTACCTATTATTTTATATTGTTCTCCATTATTCTTTCCTGGGCTTTTGAGAAAAGACTTTGCTATTTTGCGTAGAATGCTGAAGGCGGTTTGCAAGGTATGTGGTGAATCTTTTGAAGTCATTGTTAATATGCTTGTGGATAGACATTTCAAGGCTTGCAAACTCTTGGCAGGTGTTATCTTATCAGATACTAACCATCCGCTTCATTCATATCTTTCTCCTTGTATATCTTCTGGTAGAACGAGACGTAAATACATTAAAATCCATGCACGCAAGCAAATCTATAAAAGTTCTGTAATACCTTACTTAGCAAATTTACTTTGTGACGAACAGGCTGTTAGAGTTGACCTAGTAAATAACCTGTCTTCTTAAGCATGTCTCAAATTCGATAATTTGTATAAAGTCGGTTTTTCCTAGACCTTTTTTTTTTAAATTTTATTTCTGTTTTTTTTTGTTTGTTTGTTTTTTCGGGTTTCCTTTTTTGGTAAAAAACTTGTTGAAATAACTCGTGCTGAGAATTCTATATTGTACCAGATTATAATATTGAATAAAGCCATTAATAATAATAATAATAATAATAATAATAATAATAATAATAATCTATTCTATATGGATTTATGTCATAATGGTTATATCGAGGTGATCTGTACAGGATGCACATATTCCAACTGATAATGATTAAATTTCACTCAAAATATAAACAAATTGATGATCAGGACCGTTATAAATGCAATTACTTTACCAATAGCTGTTACTATTCACCTTCACGTCAAAAATGCCACAGTGTTATGGCAAAGGTGTTTGAGTGAATACTATCCTGGTCAATTATTGAATATACTATGATACGGTGTGGCTGAATGATAACTACACACAAGACCAGATTGTTGATTCAAACTCCGGAATAAACGGAAATCAAAGACAAAATCGTTAATCGAAAAAGAAGGCTTTCTTACCTAATAAAATAACACACTTATATACAACCTATTAACAGAAAAATGAGAATGAATTAATGTTACAGGCTATTGTAGGTCATTTGCCCACTAGACTATTAGACTTAATTCTTACTCATTATATCACCTCCTCTTCAGTAAGTAAATAGTCAATAAGTAATACGCAAAGTAGGACCTGAAGTATATCTACACTAGTTCTAGTTACCTCAATTTATTAGCACAGCGACAAGAGATTGACAAGATAAATCTCAGATTAGTAGAAGTAGTAATGATATCAGTAGTAGTAGTAGAAAAAAGCAGATATAGATATGAATTCATTCATTATTGTTTGTTTGAATCTTCCCATCGATTTGTTAGGACTGCAACTGGTCAGTCTCTAATTGGCATATGTGCATACTGTGCGTATTGCCTCGATTTACCTTAATTCACAAGCATGGTAAGCAGAGATGGATAGTGGCTAGCAGTGGAATCCAGTTTGAAGCGCGTTTCGTCCTATTTGGGACTCGTCAGCTGGATGTACCTGCATCTCAGAGTTGATGTTCACTCTGGGACTCGAACCCAGTACCCTCGCTTCAAACGCCATCACGTTATCCACTCGGCCACTGAGTCCTGATAGCCATGATTTGGGAAAAATGGATTCGTGAAGATAATTTCGATATCCAGGTTTTGAGAAAAAAATGAAGAGTTGGTAGGGAAAATTTGTGGCTCAGGTACCTGAAGTATGTGCTGATGATGCCATCCAGAATACCAATGAAAGTTCCACGATCAAACTATCTATCTCAGAGAACAAAACTCCATCAAGATGAATGCGGAAGGTATCAGCTCCTTTGTGACTGTTTCTGAAGATAACACTCAGGTTTCAAACCATTAGTTACTATAATCAGGCCGACTCCAAAAGGATGGTAAACGGCTGAGGAATGTTTGATGTAAAACTGAATGACATGTTAATGGGTCAACAGTTTGTTATTTTTGAACCAAAAAAACAATACATTGATCCTGTATGTTCTAGTGAGAAGCCATGTCCAGTGGAGTATAATCCGTGTTGGTTGTGAGGCAGTTATCTACTGCAGGCAGTGGGATTTTCAAGACCATGGGTTGATTGAAGTTAGATATTAACACTACTTTATGCTGTCTAGATGTTGTAATGGTCAGGCATGCACACACAAGACTAAAGGTAATGCGTTCGATTCCCTGTGACGAGGCCATGTATGAGCACCACTGAGAAGTTCTATACTAGGACGAAACGGCCTTTAAGAGCTTTCAGCTTTTCTATGAGAGTTTAGCCAAGATCAGCTCATAAAACTAAATATTTAGAAGTTATTTAATTGAGATTTCAATAAAACATGATGTGAATAATTTATCATTATAAAAACAATTCTAACTACTCTTTCCATTATGAATTCAATAGAATAACTAACCACCATTGAAAAGCTCAAAGCACTAGAAGCTCTAGTATGGAACTCCTTAATAATACTCATCCACGATCCCACACCAAAAAGTCCCATACTCATGACCTCCGGTCTCACACCTGAACGCTTGACCTTTAGACCAGTGAGCAGGCATCCAACCGTGTTAGTGTCTAACTTTAACCGATCTATAATTCATTGTCTTCTGAGGGTAATTGTTTCACACTCCATACGTTTTGTAAATGAAGTATTTACTGTATAGTTCTCAGATTTTACCATTCATGTTCTATCATCTTATATATTCAGATACATTCGATTGTCTCCACTTTTGTGTTCTCATTCACAACAATATCAATATATCGTAGTAAATTTCTATACTTACTTTTTCTGGTTGGCTTTGTGAATTAGTTTTTCTACGGGATGGGGTTGCTAACTCTATGCTCAACACTCCACCTTTACCCAGGCCTCGGACCAGCAGTAGCCCCCGGAGGAGCTACACTCGGAGTTAAATTTCTATACATCTATCTAGTTAACTCCTTCAATGTTCTTTCTTCTTTTCTTCTTTTTGGTTTAGATAAAACAAGAATTTCATGAATTGACTGATTATTTAAGTAAATATTCCCATTTAACACCAAATGAATTACAAATTGCATTACAGAAAGAAATATTTGTAAGTTTATTGTTCTTGATTGAAAGCTTGTATGTAATATGATGTAAGATTTTGAATTTAATTGAAGATTGTGTCGATTTCGGTATGTATATAGTTTAAAGTTGAACTCATGAGTTAATTGAAGCTAGAATACCATGGAAAACCTGGAAGCACTGGATCACCGTTTTGTCTTAGTGTAGGATTCCTCAGCAGTGCACATCTACAATCTCGCCTCGCGAGATTCGAACCCAGGACCTACCAGTCTCGTGCCAGAGCACTTAACCGATAGACCAATGAGCCCGCCGGTATCCAACGGTGTTAGTGTCTAGCTTCAACCAATTCACGAAATTGGGCAACCGTCCATCATTGTCTTCAGGGAGTTACTATCTCACAACAAACCTGTTTGAACTTCACTGGTCACTGCTCCATACTAGAACTCCAGGAAATACCTCTTGAAGTCAGTCACTAGTGAGCATATGTTGATTATTATCAGAAGGGGTTTTGTGGAGATTTTAGTAATTTTATGGTTGAATTCATCAGTCAATTGAAGCTAGAACACCATGGAAAATCTGGAAGCACTGGACGGCCTTTTCGTCCTATTGTGGGATATGTATGTATGTTAACCTGGGTTCTTAGTAAACCTTAATTACCAAAATTTAATAGTACAAAAAATAAGGGTATTTATAGGATCAAAATGTTTTTAATATACACCTGACTTGTTAAAGACTAGGTAAAGACCGGTGTTAGGCAAGGTTGCTTACTCTCACCCTTTCTCTTTCTCCTGGTGATCGACTGGATCATGAAGACGTCGTCATCTGGAGGAAAGCACGGTATACAGTGGACAGGTAGGATACAGCTGGACGATTTAGACTTCGCAGATGATCTGGCTCTTCTGACACACACGCAACAACAAATGCAGGAGAAAACGACCAGTGTAGCAGCAGCATCAGCAGCAGTATGTCTCAACATAAACAAAGAGAAAAGCAAGACTCTCCGATACAATACAACATGCACTAATCCAATTACAATTGACGGAGAAGCTTTGGAGGATGTGGAAACCTTTACATATTTGGGCAGCATTATTGATGAACACGGTGGATCAGATGCAGATGTGAGGGCGCGGATCGGCAAAGCAAGAGCAGCATATTCACAACTGCAGAACATCTGGAGCTCAAAACAATTGTCAACCAACACCAAGGTTAGAATTTTCAATACAAATGTCAAGACAGTTCTATTGTATGGGGCGGAGACGTGGAGAACTACGAAAGCCATTATCCAGAAGATACAAGTGTTTATTAACAGTTGTCTACGCAAGATACTTCGGATCCGTTGGCCAGACAATATCAGCAACAAGTTACTGTGGGAGACAACAAACCAGATTCCAGCGGAGGAAGAAATCAGGAAGAAGCGCTGGAAGTGGATTGGGCACATTTTAAGGAAAGCACCCAATTGCGTCGCAAGACAAGCCCTCACATGGAATCCTGAAGGTCAAAGGTGAAGAGGAAGACCAAAGAACACATTACGCCGAGAAATAGAGACAGACATGGGAAGAATGAACGACGACTGAATAGAACTAGAAAAGAAGGCCTAGGACAGAGTGGGTTGGAGAAAGCTGGTCGGCGGCATATGCTCCATTGGAGGTACAGGAGTAAGTAAGTGACTTGTAAAAGGTTTTATAAATATTTTTCCAGTAACAAGTAAACTTGTTCGAGTCCTACATACGAAATCATGGATATGCACTAATGTAGAGTCTTATACTAAGACTTAAAAGCCATCCAGTACTTTCAGGTTTTCCATGATGATCTTGCTGGTTAGCGTTTTTCTAACGAGTTAGTTTTTCTACCTGATGGGGTGGCTAACTCTATGCCCAATCCTCCTCTTTTACCTGGGTTTGGGACCGGCAGTAACTCTAGAAGAACTACAGATAGAATTCCATGATGATTTAACTCAGATCGATTCATGTATTCAATCATTAAAAGTACATTACTATTGTTAACTGTCATTAATTAAATTATTAAATGAAATGAACTATTTAGACAATTGATATTGAATTATTGGAAAATCGTCGTGAATTAGCAAATTTAATTAAAAATCTTCATCTTGGTGAATTAATGAATCAACGTTTTACTAATTTAACATGGTCGGAACAACGAAATCATTGGCAAATAATAAATATCAATGAAGCTGTACAAAAATTTCGGTAAAGTGTATATGTTTTATCATTTTGTTCTGTCATTTTATTCTTGTTAAGATCATAGGTGATATTGGTAGTTGTGTAGTAAGGATTTTCGATATGTTACTATATGTTCTTTAAGTGGAATAGTTTTATGAATGAAACTTATGGGATCATGATCTGACTCCTAATTTAGATCATATGAATGATTGATTGTTAAAATATGCATCCTGTCTATTCTTGTATGTAATACATGACTTAATCCGCATTGATGAATAACGAAGTGATCGAAAAGATTTGTTGCTCAAATGGGTGATTTTGATGTAGGTTTGTTCTCTGAGCTGGATGGTTTGAACGTGGAGCTTTCTTGATGTTCTTCAGAAGGACGATGAAATCTCCATGACCAAACTATCCAGCTCAGAGAACGAACCTACATCAGAATAACGAAGTTAAATACGAGTCAAATACGAGAATGGATTGTGAATATATATATATATATATATATATATATATATATATATATATATATATATATATATATATATATATATATATTGTACACTCATTGATCTGGACAGGAAATAAGAGGGATAAAGAGAATAAAAGAGAGTAAAGCAAAAACAACACGCACATTGGAGATGGCGGCTAAGCCAACTCCATTTAATCAACCGTTAATCAATATTTATAGCCATTTAGTATTGTTTGTTTGAATCCTCCCATTGATGTTTAGGAACGCACCTGATCAGTCTCTTATTGACCATATATGCATACTGTGTGTATTGCCTCGATTTAGCCTTCATTCACAAGTATTATAAGTAAAGAATGATAGTGGCTAGTAGTGGAATCTAGGACTCGCCTTTTGTCCCATTTGGGACTCGTCAGATTGATGTACCTGCATCTCAGAGTTGATGTTCACTCTTGGACTGGAACCCAGTGCCTTTTACTTCAAACGCCATCACGTTATCCACTCAGCTACTGAGTCCTGATATCCACTAGCTTGTGCAATGGGGGGATGTTTAAATTCCCGTATTATCGCGTCCTGGATTCTGCTGCTAGCCACTATCCATCTTTGCTTATAATATTTATATTCAGATAGAAATAAATGACAAACATGTGATGAATAGGATAAAAAGTGTACACACACATACGCTCATATAAAAAGTTGTCAGAGCTGATAAGTTAGTAATTAACAAGGTGAAAACGTGACTCAAGATGGATAGGTAAATTGACTTGTCCAGAAGCTAGAATAAGGGTATATGGGCTTAACATAACAACCGACACTACAAACTAATGCTATTTTTATCAGAAGGGGTATTGTGGATATTATGGTAAATTTGATAGCTGAGATCATGAATCAGTTGAAGCTAGATCACCATGGGAAACTGATAGGCCCTCGTTTCCAATCTCGCGTGGCGGGATCGTGGATGCGCACTGCTGAGGAGTCCCATAATAGAGCGAAACGGCCGTCCAGTGCTTCCAGGTGGTCTAGCTTCAATTGATTCATGATCTCAACTATTATAATGATATTTTTGTTTTGGAAAAAACAATAAAGGTTCATGAATAAATCATTCATCTCAGGGAAGAACACAATACCTTTTCACGGTTTTTTGTGTTTTTCCAGAGCTTGATATTAAGGACATTAAAAAAAAAACCTTTACATAGTACGTTAGTTCCTTGAGTGGAGCCCTCCATGGATTACTTACTTACTTACTTACGCCTGTTACCCCTCGTCGAGGAGCATAGGCCGCTCACCAGCATTCTCCATCCAACTCTGTCCTGAGCCTTCCTTTCCAGTTCTTTCCAGTTGCTATTCATCCTTTTCATATCGGCTTCTATTTCCCGGCGTAGTGTGTTCTTTGTCCTTCCTCTCCTCCGCTTCCCTTCCGGATTCCAAGTAAGGGATTGAGTCGTGATGCACATTGGTGATTTCCTCAATGTATGTCCGATCCACTTCCAACGTCTTTTCCTAATTTCCTCTTCAGCTGGAAGCTGATTTGTCCTCTCCCATAAAACGCTGATGCTGATAGTATCCGGCCAGTGGATGTTGAGTATTTTGCGTAGACAACTGTTTATAAATACTTGTACCTTCCTGATGATGGTCGTAGTAGTTCTCCACGTTTCAGCTCCATACAGTAGGACTGTCTTGACGTTCGTATTAAAGATTCTGATCTTGAAATTGGTTGAGAGTTGTTTTGAGTTCCATATGTTCTTCAATTGTAGAAATGCTGTCCTTGCTTTACCAATCCTCGCCTTTACATCTGCATCCGATCCTCCTTGTTTATCAACGATGCTCCCCAGGTACTTGAATGTTTCCACATCTTCCAGAGTTTCGCCATCAAGTGTGATTGAGTTGGTGTTCTCTGTGTTGTATTTGAGAATCTTTCTTTTTCTTTTGTGAATGTGGAGGCCTATCGATGAGGAGGCTGCTGCTACATTTGCTGTCTTCATCTGCATTTGGTCGTGTGTATGAGAGAAGAGGGCTAGGTCATCTGCGAAGTCCAAATCATCTAATTGATTCTGAGAAGTCCATTGTATTCCGTATTTCCCTTCAGATGTCGAATTCTTCATAATCCAGTCAATCACTAGAAGGAAGAGGAATGGGGAGAGTAGACAGCCTTGTCTGACTCCGGTCCTTACTGGAAATGCATCTGTCAGCTGTCCTCCATGCACCACTTTGCACTGTAGTCCATCGTATGAGTTTTGAATAATGTTGACAATCTTTTGAGGAACTCCATAGTGTCGAAGAAGTTTCCATAATGTTCTCCTGTCCACGCTGTCAAACGCCTTCTCATAGTCGATGAAGTTGACGTATAGTGATGAGTTCCACTCAACTGATTGTTCAACGATGATCCGTAGTGTCGCAATCTGGTCTGTGCACGACCGATCCTTACGGAATCCAGCCTGATGATCCCTAAGTTCAGCGTCTACTGCGTCTTTCATCCGATTCAGCAGCACTCTGTTGAAAACTTTTCCTGGTACTGATAACAAACTGATACCTCTGTAGTTCTCACATTGGCTCAGATCTCCTTTCTTTGGTATCTTGATGAGATATCCTTCTTTCCCGTCCGTTGGCACTTGTTCCTCTTCCCAAATCTTCTTGAATAGAAGGTGAAGCATATTTGCAGTTATTTCAATGTCTGACTTCAGTGCTTCTGCTGGTATATTGTCAGGTCCTGCCGCCTTCCCACTTTTGATTTGTCTGATGGCCATCTTGACTTCTTCGTTCGTTGGTGGAGTGACATCTATTGGAAGGTCTGTATGGGCTGCTTCGATGTTCAGTGGATTCAATGGGGCTGGTCTATTCAGCAGTTCCTCGAAGTATTCTGCCCATCTTTTCCTCTGTTCTTGAATCTCAGTGATTGTCTTTCCTTCTTTGTCCTTGACTGGTCTCTCTGGTTTGCTATATCTCCCTGCCAATTTCTTCGTTGTATCATATAGTTGTTTCATATTCCCTTCTCTTGCAGCTTTTTCCGCCGCCGTTGCTAGTTCTTCCATATATTTCTGCTTGTCGGCTTTAATGCTTTTCTTCACTTCCCTGTTTGCTTCTGTGTAGTCTGCTTGTGCTTTGACTTTCTCTGCTCGTGTTCGGCTGTTGTTAATTGCTAGTTTCTTGTTCTTCCTTTCTTGAATTTTGTCCAGGGTTCCCATAGAAATCCATTCCTTGTGATGATGCTTCTTAGGACCAAGAACCTGCTGACACGTTGAAGTTAGTGCTTCTTTTATCCCTTTCCAGTTGTCCTCCAAAGTAGTTTCTTGTTCTTTCAGTAGATCCTGTAGAGCTTGGAACCTGTTGTTGAGAGTTATCTTGAATTCCTCCATGGATTGTCTATAGTTAAAAATTGATTATATGTCGAATGGTAGTTAAATCTAGAAGATACAATTCATTCAATTCGGGACTTGAGGTAATTCCTGGAGTTCTAGTGAGAAGTCGTGGCCAGTGGAGCTAATCCATGTCAGGTAGAGACAGGTATCTACCTCAGTACATTGGAAGTTGGTTGCTCAATTTCGTGGATTGGTTGAGGTTAGACATTTTCACCGTTGGATGCCAGCTCAGTGGTCTATCGGTTAAGGGCTCTGGCTCGAGACTGGTAGGTCCTGGGTTCGAATTTCGCAAAAGCGGGTTCGTGGATGCGCACTTCTGAGGAGTCCCATAATAGGACGAAACGGCCTTCCAGTGTTTCCAGGTTTTCCAAGGTGGTCTAGCTTCAATTGACTCATTATCTTAACTATAAAATTACTAAATCTCCACAAAAACCCCCTTGTGACTTGAACAAATTAGTTGATATAATTTTATATCTTGACTTATCGAGGTGGTTGAGACTATGTATGATGTATGTTTAACAAGAGCCTACCTAGAAGAACTACTCGAGTTGGCCTAAACGCATACTGAACGAAAGCTAGGAGCGGCTAATTAAAAATATGGCACCATTGATTTTTCTTCTGACCTAATATTGATAGATGCAGCCTATCGGCTTAAGGTCTGTACGATTATTGTAACAAATGGTTGGATAACATCAGGTGACATATCTTAAGATTTCAGGTACTTTAGTTTTGATGTATGATTGGGTCATGGATTCATACTGTTGAAGTTTGTCATATTACAATAAAAGAGTGATACAGTGTTGTTCAACTTGTGATGACCACCATCCAAAACTAATTAATACTGTTATTATCATTACTATTTACAGAATTTGTCTTAATGATGAGAAATTCCGATATCCGAATGATGTAAAACTAAAGATAAATGATTTGACAACATGCTTAAATGGATTTGAAAAGCGAAAAGACAATTTGATCAATGAATTATGGTAAGTATCTTATTGAGCAAAGTTTTTAAAAAAATATTTGGTTACAGGTTAAAATCATTCATTATTTCATTTTTAAGTGACACTGATATCTAGCTGTAGTAATACTGATTTACTTACGCCTGTTACACCTCGTGGAGGAGCATAGGCCGCTGTAGTAATGGGATATGAAAAATTCAATCAATGTACATATGTGTCATGTTCTATGTTGTGTTTGACTGAATGATTGATAAACTCCTTCTGTAGATCCTCCGGGAGCTACTGCCGGTCCCAAGCCCGGATAAAGGAGGAGAGTTGGACATGGGTTTAGCGACTCTATCCCATGGAAAACCAACTCGCTTAACAAACGCTAATCGGAAATAAATATTCAAACCATTTAAACTGATTGACTAAATATATAATTAGGTATCATAAAAGACGACAATATTCAAAACTAAATACATGAATATATTGAGTCGGTGTTGTTTTACTTGTATCCTCCGATTGTTATTTCGGACTGAAATTGATCAGTTTTTTGGGATATTAAAAACTTCACCCCATTGCACAAAAAAGTGGCTATCAAGACTTAGTAGCTAAATAGATAACAAGATGGCGATGAGTTCGAGTCCCAGAGTGAACATCAACTCTAAGATGTAGGTACATCCAGCTGAGGAGTCCCAAATAGGACGAAACGCGCGTCCTAGTTTTCATTGCTAGTCACTATCTATTACTTACTTACGTATTTACTAATGTTACCCCTCATGGAGGAGCATAGACTGTACACCAGTATTATCCATCTAACCCTGTCCTGGACATTCCTTTCCAGTTACAATTCATTCTTTTCATATCTGTTCCTATTTCTCAGTGTATTGTGTTCTTTGCACTGTATTCCATCGTATGAGTTCTGGATAATGTTGATAATCTTTTCAGGAACTCCATAGTGTCGAATAAGTTTCCATAATATTCTTCTATCCACACTGTTAAACACCTTCTCATAGTTAATGAAGTTGATGTATAGTGACGAATAGAGCTCTATCATTCATAGATAAGTTTTCATATTTATTTAAGCACAGATTTTTAAATTCTGATTTTGCTATAAATACAGGGCAGTGCTAATCAGTGCCAAGAAAATGAATGACAATTATTTTAGCGAGAAATTATTATACAGACAGATGACTTATGGTAGGAGTATCGTATAAGAACAAAACTAGTCAGAATCAAACAAATGATCTTTAGATTTTGAGCAAAAAATCTAAAAATTACATAGAACAAATATTAGAAGTAACTCTGCATAGTACTTAGTGCCTATCAGATCTTTCAGTGACAACTACTCATCCATATAGTTGTGATGACAATATTATTTATTATTATTTAAACACATAAATATTGATACAAAGGGGCACCAGATACATATGCGCCGCATAAATCTTATTTGATTTGTGTGAGGGCTTTGATAATGCCAGGGTGCCTAAACGGAAGCAGGTGGTTTTCGTGAAGGGAGCCACATCCTGAGCCTTTGACCTAAAAGTCTAATCCAAAAGACAGTAGAGTATCGTGAGGAGATACAGTCCCATGGTAGCTGATGACCGACAATTGGTTCATACGCCATTTCTTCCCCCAGGGTACTGGAGCCCATGTGCACCATTGGTTTGGAATGAGGGTTTTCCAACTCCCCTAGGTGGACTTTCCGTGTCTACCAACCAGGTTAAAGCTCCTGCTGGATATTCGCTTTTCGTCCTCTCAATTTCTTAAACAGCAGTAATGCCACGAGAAGTCAGAGAGTAGTACTTCCCTAACAGAGGCTATATATGCGTGACCATGTGAGAGCATTTGCACAGGGAGAGCGGACTCTCCCAACTCTCGGCCGTACCAGGACATTTGGGGGTCGTGATGACAACCCTAACCCTGATCCTTGAATTCTAACTTTAGATACGTAAATTCAACTAAAAACAATATGGGGACTTTTAAAAGTCTATTCGGGTCACGATAAAAATTCGTGAAGACGGATAATTCACGTCCATAAGAACTAGTATATAAATATATCGTTTTATTTTCGACTAAAAGACAGGGTAGCCTATAGAAGACTGTCGTAGATACATCAAATATGTACAATCTGTTTACATTTAGTAACATCTTTGTTTTCTTTTCCATAAACTATCTGTTTATGAAAGCTGTTTTTTGAATATTTAAGAATTTACTGGAAATTCTTTGTATATGTGTTATGGTGAGTGATGTCCGAAATCTATTAATGATACATGAGATGCCACGCTCAAAATCCCTAACTGACTACTTAATCAAGAAGACAAGAGTGCAAGAGGAATCCAATTAAGCTACCGAACAATATACACAAATACTCGTTTAAATATATACATTTCTACCACTTAGAAAATGAATCCATCTCTCAACAGGTCATTTCTGATTGTCATTGAATGACCTTATCGTCTGGTCACTTCTAATTGGTTAAGGTTAAGATTTCCCTAGAAAAATTTAAAGTCATGGATTCAGTTTTCGGCTATGGATTCGTGGATGAATAATACTGCAAAGTCTCATACTAGAACGAAACAGCAATTCAGTGCTTCTAGGATTATGTAACTTAGATCGGTCCGTGATCAGGATAATTATGTTATTTACTCTGAAAAAGTGGCTTACATTAAATTATAAGACATCACAAACACAATTTCCTACTCATTGGAATATCCAAACATCATATTTTCCATGAAATATTATCAGATTTGAAATCAGTCATATTTTTTTTTTTAGTCAGTTAGGTCAATCAATGTAGAGCTGAAATTATCATCCAACAAAAACAGCACAGTGAGGTGAATAAGAAACAATTTTAATATCAAACAAGCTGAAACAATTGTATTAGCAGTCAATAGTTGGAATATGGTTCCATAAAAAAAGGATAAAGCATTATATGAGAAATGATATTAGAATTCAATATTCAGAAGGATAGAAAATTGCAAATAGGCTTGAATCATTGTAAGTGATTCAGTGGGTTATTTACTTACGCCTGTTACCCCCAATGTAGCATAGGCCATTGACCAACATTCTCCAAACAACTCTGTCCTGCATTTTCCTTTCTAGTTCTATCCAACTTTTGTTCATTTTTCCAATGTCTGTCTCAATTTCTCGACGTAATGTGTTCTTTGGTCTTCCTCTCCTCTTTTCACCTTGAGAATTCCATGTGAGGGCTCGCCTTGTGAAGCAGTTTGGTGATTTCCTCAATATGTGTCCTATCCACTTCCAGCGTTTCTTCCTAATTTCTTTCTCCGTTGAAATCTGGTTTGTTCTCTCCAACAGTAGAATGTTGCTGATAGTGTCTTGCCAATGGATCCGAAGTATTTTGTGTAGAAAACTATTAATAACCACTTGTATCATCGGGATGATAACTTTTGTAGTTCTCCACGTTTCCGTTCCATACACTAAAACCGTCTTGACATCTGTGGCAATTTACCCATTCTTATATCATTTATTATTGCTAATCATCTTATTGATTAATTAGTTTACTAAAGAATCTTTCAATAATCTTGTTTCTAGTGAAAACTTGATACCATCCAATAATATGGAAGAATTTCTAGAAAATTGGAATGTTGAATGTAAACAATTATTTACTGAATGGGGTATGTTACCTTTCATATTTAGTTATTCAATGTCTTTTAGTATAAAGAGATTGTATGAGAGACTTATCAATTGCAGTCCTAAAGATTAATGGGAAGATTCAAACAAGTGGCTATCAGGACTCAGCAGCTGAGTAGATAACGCGATAGCGTTTGAAGCGCATGGTACTGGATTCGAGTCCCGGAATGAACATCAACTCTGAGATATAAGTACATCCAGCTGAAAAGTATCAAATAGGACGAAACGCGAGTAAAGCTGAATTCCACTGCTAGTTACTGTCCATGTTTGCTTATAATGCTTTTGAATTAAGGCTATATCGAGGCGTTCCGCGCAATATGTACATATGTCAATAAGAGACTGACCAGTTGCAGTGGGAAGAATCAAACAAACAATACCGAGTGAATTCAAAGAGTTGTATAGTTTTTTTTTAGTTTAACATCAAGGATTGAATTTACAATTGATCAATCACTGTGTGGTGACCAATGTCATGCATATCAAGTCCTTCTTAGTTTGACTTTGAATTGTATCGATCAAGTTGTAATGTAGTCACTAGTTAAAAATGATTCAACGTATCGTGTAGTATATTAAGATGCAACGTAGTGATTAAAGATAGTCGAGAGGAAACCCTTCTCGATCTAGATTTCATATTATTTTCCACTTGACAGGAAAGTATAACTATACTTTTAAGGAAATCGATGATCGCTTGTGAATTTGATACTAGACTTGACAAATATATTAGTGGCCAACAAACAGAGATCGGTCAGTTTTGAAAAATTATTTCTCAGAAAAAGGTCAGTCATGGCCCAAATAGCTCAGCCATAATGTTTCAGGCTGTGAAGCTGGGTGACACAAGAACAAGTCTTTTAGAGACTACAGGTATACCTTACTGATAAGTGTCGAAATAGCACAAAACAAGGGTCTGGGGTTTCCTGTCGGTTACCTCAAATCACATTATAGACTTTAGTTAGATGACTATTAAAACCCACAAACAAGCATTAAAATGATTGAGAATTACCACGAATTGATTAGGATTAGAAATGTAAATCATTGAAAGCCAACCAATTTGTCTGTAGCTTAAGTATTCCTCGTATGACCCGAAAGCCATGAGTTTGATCCCCAGTGAAGCCACTGAATAGCTGTTTCATTTTAATTCCAGGATTCCTCAACAGCACATATTCTCAACCGAACCCTAAGGCTAATAACCTTAAGCTGAAGAAAATAATGTCATCGTAAGTAATACATAAAACTACTGCGTGACAAACTAAGAAAATGTGTGTCAACGAGTTTGTCTCGATACGATTAAACTAATTCAAGTTAAGTGACGTTTAATCATGTTTGAATAGGTAGCCAACCATGATTCTTTGAAACAGATGGTCCTGTGTCTAGCAGGTGTGGTATAGACGTTGACTGATCAGACTTATATGGTTGATGTTAATAGTTACTGAGAAACATTCATCAATCTTTGACGATACCTGCCGAAAAAGAAACATGTGAATTCGAGACATTGAGGTAACACACAGTACAATCCAAGTATTGCGTGAGAGTTGTGCTGCGTATAATAAAAAAGAGAGGAATGTCGGCAAAGGACGCGAATGAGAATGGGCGATGGAAGTGAAAATGTCTTAAATGACACAGCATATTTAGTTTATGAAAAGTAGAAACTAAAATAAACCATTTTGATTATTTATTCTATAGATGAAATGAATCAAGATGCTTTGAACTCCATATACAAAGCTTATGAAGATAATTCACAACAGTGTATCGATCAAATCCAACAGATGAAAGTAAGCTGTCAATGCTTTTTTCTATAGAAACCTAAGAACATTTCACATTTTTCAAAGTATAGCATAGGCTGCGATTGATTTTCTGTTGGTCTACTTAGAACATTTCCAGTAGGGACCGAAGTCAGACAAAGCTGTCTACTCTGCCCCTTCCTCTTTCTTCTTCTGATAGACTGGATTATGAAGAATTCGACATCTGAAGGGAAGCACGAAATACAATGAACATCTCAGAATCAATTAGATGATTTGGACTTCGCAAATGACCTAGCCCTCCTATCTCATACACACGAACAAATACAGACGAAAACAACAAATATAGCAGCAGCCTCTGCATCAATACGGCTCAACATACGCAAAGGAAAAAGCAAGATTCTCAAATACAACACGGAGAACACCAACCAAATAACACTTGATGGCGAAACTCTGGAACAGGTGGAAACATTCACGTACCTGGAAAGCATCATTAATAAACAAGGAGGATAGGATGTAGATGTAAAGGCGAGGATTGGTAAAGCAAGGACAGCATTTCTACAATTGAAGAACATATGGAACTCAAAACAATTGTCAACTAACTTCAAAGTCAGAATCTTCAATACGAACATCAAGACAGTCCTACTGTACGAAGCTGAAACGTGGAGAACTACTACGACCATCATCAGGAAGGTACAAGTATTTATAAACAGTTGTCTAAGCAAAATACTCAACATCCACTGGCCGGATACTATGAGCAACAGCGTTTTGTGGGAGAGAACAAACCACCTTCCAGCTGAAGAGGAAATTTAAAAAAAACACGTTAGAAGTGGATAGGACATAATTTAAGGAAATCAGCAAACTGCATTACAAGGCAAGGCCTAACTTGGAATCCGGAAGGGAAGCGGAAAAGAGGAAGGCCAAAAAACACACTACGTCGGGAAATAGAAGCAGATATAAAAAGAATGAATAATAACTGGAAGGAACTGGAAAGGATAGTTGATGACAGAGTTGGATGGAGAATGCTGGTAGGCGGCCTATGCTCCTCCACGAGGGGTAACAGGTGTAAGTAAGTAAGCTACTGTTATAATTGTGATTTTTTGCTATATAAACGACCCAGCTATTCCTATTGCTTAGTATTCTTATACGATGACACTCGACAAGATCCCAAAATTAGAACACGTTGAATAGGAATGAAATTGTATTCAAAATAACAAGGGTAGGTTAACAGCAATCAATCGTTAGAAAAACGTTCATATATTTATAGTTTATACATAAGAAGCTTATAGATTTTTCTGCAATAATATGCCCGGGCTGATCGGTTTAAAATTAACCAATCAGCGCGCAGCAACACCATCATGCATAATACATACTTAATCCAATCTATATCCCACTAACAGCTACTTAGAACGCAACTTCAAACTTTCTTATGGTGAGTGACAATGTGGTGTATACTACTTATATCAACATAAGTAATATTTAAGATTGATCAAAAGTGGGATGCTTGGAAACAGAAAGTTAGGAAGATCGAATTGAAGAGAACGGCGACAGAGATTAATTGTTATGACAATGAAGGAACGATGAAGTTTGAAACAATTGATGAAGGATTTTCAAATGAAGTATTGAACGTATGGTTTTTATATGTCATGAAAGAACTCTGTCCCTACACGTGTTTTCAATCATCACGACAGTACTTTTGGACTCCTTTATCTTGAAGTCAACAGTTTTTTTTCTAAAGAGACTATTCATTTTAATCTTTTGTTTTTTGGCATTATTTTCTAAGTAGGAATTTTACAATTTTGCTTATGAGACATTTTTCGGGAGTTTACTAAAATGTATGAATTTGAAAACTTCACCTGAAGCTTTTCTAGAGTTAATGCCGGTCTCGAACCCGGATAAAGTGAAGAGGGTTGAGAATTAGGTTAGAAAACACCGTCCGTCGTGGGGTTCAGCGAGCCGGTATCGTGAATGCACACTGCTGAGGAGCCCCACAATAGGACGAAACAGCCGTTCAGTGCTTCCAGGTTTTCCATGGTGTTCTAGCTTCCATTAACTCATGATTTGAATTGTATGCGTTGATAGTTTGAATCTTTATACTAATGTTTAAGACCACAATTAATCAGTCTCTTTTGGTTTATGTTCATGAATTGCCTCGATATTGCCATTAAATAACAAGCATTTAATCCATGATGGATATCTGCTAGCAGTAGAATCAAGGACTTACGTTCGGTTCTTTTTGGGAGTCGTCCTTAGTTGGATGTAAACGCATCCCAGAGTGAGTTAATATGCACTCTGGGACTCCAACCTAGTACGGTTTGATTCAAACACCCGTTGCACAAGTGAGTGGCTATATTTTGATTTATGTTAACTGACTAGTCAAATATATTAACCGCCTAATGTATTGAAGCGCCTTTTTTAGAAGTTTAAAACCTATCGTGAAGGTAATTATGTGGTGTATTTTACCGTTTGTCTCGATGAAGTCACGAACCAATCAATGTTGAGCCAACATTGGACACATTTAAGCACTAAACGACTATTTCGACCCTGTATAGGAATCCTCAGTGGTCCGCATCAACGACCCCGCACGTCAGAATCAGACCGAGGACCCTCCGTCTCGCTCTTGAATTTCTGACCTTTAGACCACTGAGCAGATATTTAACAGTGTTATTGTCGTACTTCAGTCAGTCCACGACATTGTGCGACCATCTGTACTGATAAATATTTACTATTCGTATTCACTTTAGAGAAACAACAGGTGATTGTACTGAATTCCATACAACAAGTATATAGTATTAGATGATAATTTGTGTTATAATAGCAAGAGATAGAGTGACGAAAACTATCCTATCACCTGATCACAAGCGCGCGCTCGAGAGAGAAGCGATGAGACGACTGAAACACTATTCGATTTATTCGCAATCCCTATTCACATTCCGATTTGGTTCTGATTCAAATTAGTGCCAAAAGATACATGAATAATATAGATGACTAACATGAATACAACACACAAACAATTAAGAAAATACAATTATATATAGTTGAAATCATGAGTCGATTGAAGCTAGAATACCATGGAAAATCTGGATGCACTGAACGACCGTTTCGTCCTATTGTGCATCCACGATCCCGCCTCACGAGATTCGAACCCGTGACCTATCAGTCTCACGCACGAGCGCTTAACCACTAGACTACAGTGTTAATGTCTAACCAATCCACGAAGATGAGCAACCAGCTTCAATTGACTAATGATTTCAACTATATAAAATTACTACAAATCTTCACAAAACCCCCTTCTAAAAATACAATTATGTCCAAAACTAGGCATTAGGATCGTAAAGTAGATTACTTATGGTTACATCTAAACTACAATAGATTTGGAATGGAAAGGGCTACGATAGTGAACCATACATCAAATGAAAGCTTATGATAAGTAGAATAAACTGGGGACAAAAGTAAATTTCAGCGTTTTACCAGCCTTGAATCAAATGAAATAACGCCCCCCCCCCCAAGAATAGATTCCATTGTTTCTCATGACTTCACTGTTTCTATGTTGATATTAGTTTTCTTGTTTTCAATCGTTAATCATTTCAATTATCTTAATGGAAAAGTCATTCTCCCCCCTTTTTTTGTTTCTTGTTATAATAAATAGGATCAATTGTTGGATCGTAAACTAATCGGTTCAATGGATGAAATTGAAAATTTAATTAAAGAAAATTGTATCACAATTTTGGGTGAATTACAAAGTCAATTTGAAAATAATTTAAATTATATTGATGTAAGTATATTTTATCATTTAAATTAGAAGGGGGGGGGTTTATGAAGATGTTCAGTGCGGGCTCAATGATCTAGAGGTTAAGCGTTCACGTACAACGCTGACAGGTCCTGAGTTCGAATCTCACGAGGCGGGATCGTGGGTGCACAGTGATGAGGAGTTCTATAATAAGGCGAGACGGCCATGAAGTTTTCTAGGTTTTCCATAGTGGTTTAGCTTCGATTGACTCATTAATTCAACTACTAAACTAATTTGTTATTTCCATGAACATAGATACATTTTTTTAAGCCTATGATTTTGCAAAGATTACATAGTTTTCTTAGCTACAAATCGTGAAGAGGTCCTATCTAAACCAGAAGATACTGGATAGCTGTTATGTCCTAGTATAGAACTTTTCAGGAATGCACATTAACGACCTCACATCCTAGAACTAAACCAAATACTTTTAGTCTCACATGCGAATACTCAACCTTTAGATCATTGAACTTGGATCCAATAGTGTTAATGTCTAATCCCGATCCATTCACAATTTTGCTCAAATATCTTCCATTACCTAAGGTGGATAACTGTCTTACATTCAACATGATTGATGCATAGTTAGATGGATTTGATACTTTGGATTGTTAGTATGAATAAGATATCGTAGGGTTGTTAAATCATTGTGTACCTTTAAAAAATATCCCTGATTTGTAGAAAGATTGTTTTAAATTATGATTAACTGATTAGATGTGGTTTTATTGTCATGGTAGCCGGTGACCAACAATAGGTTCATACACCATTTGTTCCTTCAGGATACTGGAGCCCATGTGCACCATTGATTTGTAATCAGGGTTTGCCAATCCCCCTAGGTGGATATCCGTGTCCATCAATCCGGTTAAAGTGCTGGACATTCGCTTTTCGTCCTCTCAATTTCGTAAACAACAGTAATACCACGAGAAAGCAGTGAGTAGGTCTTCCCTGACACAGGCTATGTACGCGTGGCCATGTGAGAGGATTTAGAGAGGGAGAGCGGACTCTCCCCACTCTCGTCCGAACCAGGGCATTTTAGGGCATTAATGAACTGTACACAAATTGATTTACTGTATGATGTGCTCAATTGTCAATCTCAATCTATGAGTTGTATCAACATAGTTTACGTCATCTGTACTCTGAAATTGATTAGTCGGTCTTATAAATGTACTAGTTATTACTTGTACAACCCAAATCCTCACATGTATAATGATATAAAATACCACCGATATGCATATGTTAATCTATGAATTCCTATAGCCTCTGCTATGTGTAAGAGACGAGATCGAATTGCATAAGGAAAACTAGTAGGAATACGATAAATAACTTTAAATGGATTACTTATGTCTACTATATGACTGCTATCGATGAAGTGTGAAAAAACCGAGCTGAGTATTGTCTTTACAGTACCTTTTCCTAACCATGAAGAGATGTGTTCACTAATTCTTTGATTCAGTTGTCTGGTAGTGCACTCAATATAGATCTATCCATAGGAGCAGCTGAATTCATAAATGCACATAGAAGTGTCCAAACCAGGTAAGTTATCATTTAGTCCAGTGCTTTCAGGTTTTCTATGATGGTCTTACTTCAATTAACTCATGAATTCAACTATAAAATTACTAAAATCTCCGCAAAACCCCTTCTGATAATTATTATGTTTAGCCTGATGAGGATCTAATTGAAAACAATATTGTTCGCTTATACATATATGACAACTTGGACCGACGCATATGTGTGCCTGGTTCTACGTTGTAGCTGACTGACTGACTGACTGATGTTGTTCTAAATTCCAATATGGGAATTTTTCAAATTCTATATTGTACTAAAAATATAATATTGAATAAAGCCAATAATGATAATATTATTTATTAACTATAGAATTATATATCGTAGTTGGCATAGACTCATCTATGGACATTCGAAGCCTATTTAATCAACATAGCGATTATATATTGTTATAACCTGTACCTGCCTATTAGAGAGCAGTGAATTATCATTCGAACCAATGACACATGAAACCCGTACAAGAAGTCTACAGTACTTGTCGGTCCTGTTATCTGCCTAGCCTAGCCTAGCCTAGCCAGTTAAGTCCAAAACAATAATACCAGCCTCTGCAATATGAATCATTATTCTCAAACATATTTTGTTTATATACCAAACAAACAGATCACATCGTACCATAAAATAGAAAATAACATTTGTTCAAGATTTAGCTAAAAGTGGCTGTGAATGTGGGAGGTAGTAATTAATAGACTGGGTATACCTCAGGAATGGTAAATTGTACAGTAATAGTCTATGGGTCAAAATAAAGCTCATAATGAAAGGAACATTAATATGAATGCTTAAGTTACTTAATAATTATGCAATAGGAAATACATATATCACATTGATCCATAAATAGTCCTCAGAGTTACCATTCATTATTCTCTTCGGGATATAACATATATCAGAAGGGGGTTTTGTGGAGATTTTAGTAATTTTTTTTATATATTTGAAATTATGAGTCAATTGAAACTAGAACACCATGAAAAACCTGGAAACACTGGATGGCCGTTTCGTCCTATTGTGGGACTCCTCAGTAGTGTGCATCATCATTGTAGGCGGCCTGTTTAAACATCTGGGCTACCTGTTTCGCGTCATTTATATATTTCAACAAGTTATCTAATAGTGTTTGATTTAATACATGATTATGGCCATTAAGTACACAACCTATTCCGGTGCGTTTCTGAAAACTGTACAACCTTTCGCTGTAAAGGTTACAAAAGGCCTAATCAGAGATGTCGTGTTTGCTGGGAACATGCAGCAAAAAGAATATACATTATTCATATGTTGATTGACTGAACTGCTGACATCCAACTAGCGGTCACTGAATGTTTATCATCAGAAGCAACGAAGAAATAAGAAAAGTAAACATGTTGAATTACTTTATGCCGAGAATTCGATTTTGTACCAAATAATATAATATTGAATAAAGCTAATAATAATAATAATAATCGCCGATCCCGCGTCGTAAGATTTGAACCCGGAACCTAACAGTCTAACACGCGAGCGCATAACCACTAGATCGTTGAGCCAGCATCCAACGATGATAATATCTTATTTCAATAGATCCACGAAATTGAGCAACCATTCACCAATATCTTCAGTGAGTTGATATCTCACGAGGCGGGATCATGAATGCACACTGCTGAGGAGTCCCACAATAAAATGAAACGGCCGTCCACTACTTCCAGATTTTCCATGATGTTCTAGCTTCAATTGACTCATGATTTCAACTATATATATCTAACATATATAATGAAAGTTTTAATAATATTCAATATATTCACTATAGATATATCACTATTCTATTATTCTCTCCTCTTCCCCCCCCCATTTGTTTTTACTATTTAGCATTGTTTCTCATGGTGTATAACAATATGGTTAAATGAATTTCTTCCATCATTATTAAAATTTATTCAATTATTTATTAAATTATGGCAATTTTATGCTTCTACACCTTTAATTAATATAAATAATGAATTCAATGATAATCTACTTAATTCAAAACAAGTAGTATATGAAGAAATTAATAAAAAAAATGAATCCATTAATTCTTTAATTGATATTATAAGACAAAGTTCAACAGAACAAATTATTGATGAAAAATTAAAAGAAACAATGAATGTATTCAATGAAATAAGTATCCTGTAAGTGTGTGTGTGTGTTTATGGGTTTGTTTGTTTGTTTTATTAAGTAGTATAATGATTATTGAGTAAATTTTTGAAGATGGATTATAGTGAACTTATCATTAGTTAGAAGATTTTGTTTTTTTATTATTGATCTATATACTTGTATTCGAATGAAGTGATACAAATGGATAATTCATTGAGTTACTAAGTTTATCTAAATCTAAAGCTTTGGATTCTTTCTATACCGCGTACTACTAGATTACTTGAACGATTTGAACAAGCAACATCGTAAGAAAGAAGACAGAAAACTTTCAAATAGGAATGTTGTTCTCAACACAGTGTCAAATATAGTACAGAAATCTCATGTATTTATAGTTTTTTTTGGCTGAGAGTAAATGATCATTTTGGACAGCTAATAGGCACTCAAATGCCCTGGTACAGCCGAGAGTGAAGAGAGTCCGCTCTCCCCCACCAATTCCTCTCACATGGGCACTCGAATATATAGCCTATGCTAGGGAAGACCTACTCACTGCCTTCTCGTGGTATTACTGTTGTTTACGAAATTAAGAGGACGAAAAGCGAATGTCCGGCAGGCGCTTTAACCGGGTTGGTGAACACGGCGCGTCAACCTAGGGGAGTTGGAAAACCCTGATTCCAAATCAGGGATGAGATTTGTGAGGCGCATATATATCTGGTGCTTCCTTGTACCAATATTTATGTCTTTAAAGAAATGAATGAATATAAAAAATCTCATGTACTTATAGTTTTTTAGCTGAAAGTAAATCATCATTTCGGACAGCCAATAGGCACATAGGGGGTCCTTCTTTTTCATCTAATAGGAAAGCTACACATTGACATTCTGGAACGTTCCTCTATCAGTGATTGGATGGAATGTCTTCGGCTTTTTCTGGGGTTTCTTGAGGCTTCCTTGAGGTTTTCAATGAGCCATCCTTTCAGGCATATTAATTTGACGAATTTCAAATAGGATGAAATGCTGGTTTTAAATTCTATTCCCAGTTATTATTCATCGATTCTAAAACAACTTGTGACAAGATGAGTAAGTCAGTTAGTCAGCTACAACAAAGGACCAGGCACATATATGCATAGGTTCAAGTTTCACACCTTACTCATTAGTACAACAAGATGAACACCAAATTCATAGATACAGTTACTTTAATGGTAGAAAGAAAGACATAAAAAAGTTTAATCTCATAGTTTAAGGGAAGATAAAGAGTGTATACACCTACGCCATTGTGATTGATTCTGAGCTATGTCAGTCACAGTCTCTAACCATTGAATACGATAGTCGGGTGAACCCCAACGAAGCATTTTGGATCTACTAACATGAATCAAACCAGAAGTCAGTGACTTTAAGCACTAATGCCACGTTGTGGTTTGATCTCCCCCAACATTCTTCTAACTATTCTCAACACCAGTCAAGATGACTAAATCGAGTCAATTCTTCAGGATGCACATATATCTTTTATTTCAGTCCTTGTAATTAACAACGGACAGATTTAAACTCCTAAAAATGAATTGGAATAGTGACTCGTTTAAATATCACTACATAAATTTTCAATGTACCCAAATGAAACCTAATGTGAATCCTCTCTAGAACGACTGGTGAAACGACACAGTTCAGTTTATATAAAAACACTATAAATAAATTACTTCATTGATACAAACTAAAAAGATATATACTGAATCCTTAGATAAGATACATTTCACTATTTCACATTTTGAATTACTCATCCTATCTTAATACAGTTAGAAGTAGATATTTGACAACACTCACCTATCACTTATCATGTGATGAGAGATTTAGAAATTAAATTTTGTTTATACATTTTTGAGCATAAAGTGGTTGAATGTAGTCAACAAGAAATTCTTCTTGATCTAGGTTTCATGTTAGTTAGAACTCATCAGAATGGCGTACCTTTAATTTTAAGGGAACTGAAGTACCCTATTGGATACTAATCTGCATCACCCAGTTTCTCAATCTTAAACGTTATCACTGAGTTATTGAAACGGTGAATGATAATTCTTAAATGATTTACTTGAATTATTGAATCGATTCATTATACAGTTGACTGTGTTTACTATGTCCAAATCAATACAGTAATCTACGCTTTATTAACGACACTATAAATAATCACTGTGATCTTAACATCTTTTAATCAAAGAGTTACTCTAACCACAACGCCCAATTACGAGATAGTGACAACAGAAAAACTTAACCAATTCTTATTCTTTTTTGCCGCTACTCCTTTCAACTCAAAATCCCGTAGGATTACACTCACTAGATGCTTGATTACAATAAACTATGAATAAGAGATTACAACATGTATAAAACCAAACAGTAAATGAACGATAGATCCATAGTAAGCAGAAATGAATAATGGCTAGCAGTGAAATCCAGAACGCGCGTTTCGTCCTATTTAAGACTCGTCAGCCGGATATACCTGCATCTCAGACTTGTAGATGTTCACTCTTGGACTCGAACCCAGTACCTTTCGCTTCAAACGCCATCGCGTTATCCACTCGGCCACTGAGTAGGATGAAACGCACGTCCTGGATTCCACTGCTAGCCACTATCCATCTCTGCTTACAATGCTTGTGAATTAAGGCTATATCGAGGAAATATGCACAGTATGCACATAAGCCAATTAGAGACTGACTAGTTGCAGTCGTAACACATCGATGGGAAGATTCAAACAAACAATACTAAATGAATTTAATAGATCCATAGTTAATTAATGATAATTTAAAGACGGTAGAACACATAATTACAGTTTATTTAAAAGATGAAAGTATACAATAATCGTAATACATTATTTTGATGGAGTTTTGTACTCTCAGCTAGAAGGCTTGGTCGTGGAGCTTTCATCGTTCTACTGAATGACATCATCAGCACAAACTTCGGGTAGAAGTGAAGTATTCGAATTTCTCCACATGTGATTCACAGCTTGTTCTGTGCAACCTCGATGTTGATTGGTTCTTGTTGACCTTTAATCTGTCATGATTGAATATTTCATAGTTGAAATCATGAGTCAATTGAAGCTAGAGCACTATGAAAAACCTGGAAGCACTGGACGGCCGTTTCGTCCTATTGTAGGACTCCTCAGCAGTGCCCATCCACGATCCCACCTCTCGAGATTCGAACGCAGGGCCTAACGGTCTCACGCGAGTGCGTAATCTCTAGAAACACTGAGCCGGAATCCAATGATATCAACTCACTGAAGACATTGGTAGACGGTTGATCAACTTCGTGGATTGGTTGAAGTTAGACGTTATCACCGTTGTATGCCGACCGGCTCAATGGTTTAGTGGTTAATTGTTAGCGCGAGAGGCTGATAGGACCTGGGATGCTCACTGCTGAGAAGTCCTACAATGGGACAAAACGGCCGTCCAGTACTTCTAGGTTTTCCATGGTGTTCTAGCTTCAATTGACTAATGATTTCAACTATAAAACTACTAAAATCTTCATAAAACCTCCTTCTGATTGAATATATCTTTATTTCTGTTTTTTTTTAATTATATACATCAAGTTATAAAACATTATATGACAAACAATTACAATGTATAGATACATATGTAAAACAAATACCGATTGTTATTGATTCATGTGAAACTGCTATATGCCGATTTTTTGGTGTCATGCGATGTACAAAACAACAATCTTTAATTTTAGAAGTAAGTAAGTTTGTTTGTTTTTTCATTGAAAATATTCATCTTTCATATTTATGTAGTGTATAACGAGACTGATAGGTCCTTGGTTCGAATCTCGTGAGGTGGGATCGTGGATGCGCACTTCTGAGGAATCTCACGATAGAACGAAACGGCTGTCCAGTGCTTCCAGGTTTTACACGATTGTTTAGCTTTAATTGACTCATGATTTCAACTGTATATTAGTTATGATAACAGATATAATTAGTATGTAACAATAATCCGAATTGAAATATTTACCAATAGAAGATTGAATTGAAGAAAAGAGAAAAGGAAACAAATAGCAAATGTGACATGAAAAGGACAACCGTAGGAAGATGTACGAAGAATGGTTGATTTTTATATTTTATGAAACTACTCTATAGTGGTTCATTAATCTTTCCCATCTGAGTTCTTATTCACTACATATACAATGATAAGAATTTATTCATAAAGGTGAATAAATTAAGATATAATGTCATTCCATTTATATGAGCTATATTGATAGATGAATAATACCTAGTCTGAACCGATTCTGAAATCAGGTAGTGGGACTTTTAAGTGAGGAAATGAAGTTAACGTCTACTTCTTACTTACTTACTCACTTACTTACACCTGTTACTCCTCTTGAAGAAACATGAACCGACCATCAGCACTCTCCATCCAGCTCTGTCCCGGGCAATCCTTTCAAGTTCTCTCCAGTTTTTATTCATCCATTGCATATCTGTTTCTATTTCCAGACGAAATGTGTTCTTTGGCTTTCCTCTTTTCCGTTTCTCTTCAGGACTCCAAGTTAATGCTTGCGTCATGATACAGTTTAATGATTTCCATAATGTATGTCCTGTTCACTTCCAGAGTCTTTTCCTAATTTCTTCTTCAGCTGTAAGCTGGTTTGTTCTCTCCCACAGAAGGCTATTGCTGACAGTATCCGGTCAATGGATGTTGAGTATCTTCTGTAGACAAATGTTTATAAATACTTGTGACTTATTTGATGATATTTTTGGTAGTTCTTGAAGTTTTTGATCCGTACAGTACGACTGTCTTGACGTTCGTATTGAAGATTCTGACTTCAATATTGATGGCAGTTGTTTTGAGTAAGTAAGAACTTAGGAAAATCTGAGAACTATACAGCGAATACTTCATTTACAAAATGTCAGTCAATTGTTTAAAACTTGACTGTTCCTCCATTGCTACACTAATCATTCTCTGTTCTCGTTCTCTTTTCTTCAATCTTCTGAAATCAGGTAATATGACTTTTAATTAGGGAAACGAAGTTAACGTCTACTTCTAAACCTTGAATAGAAGTATATTTTAAAAAGGTTTTTCTATTTCTGGAATTCATTTCTGTTTCCAGAATCATATGCTCTGTCTCTCAAGTTTTCTTGTACTGTCACTGATACTGTAGTGACAGTGAGCACAAGTGGGAACAATGAAATGTTACTTACTTACTTACGCCTGTTACCCCTCGTCGAAGAGCATAGGCTACCCACCAGCATTCTCTATCCATTACTGTTCAGGGCAATCCTCTCAGTTCCTTCCAGTTAACATTCATCCTTTTCATATTTGCTTCTTTTTCCAGACCTAATGTGTTATTTGGCCTTCCACTTTTCTGCTTTTCTTCCGGATCCCAAGTTAAGGCTTGCCTCGTGATGCAGTTTAGTGATTTCCCTAATGTATGTCCTATCCACTTCCAACATCTTTTCCTAATTTCCTCTTCAACTGGAAGCTGGTTTGTCCTCTCCTATAAAACGCTGTTGGCTGATAGTATCCGGTTAGTAAATGTTGAGTATTTTGCGTAAACAACTGTTTATAAATACATATACCTCCTTGATGATGGATGCAGTAGTTCTTCACGTTTCAGCTCTGTACACTAGAACTGACTGTCTTGACGTTCGTATTGAGGATTCTCACTTTCAAATTAGTTGACAGTTGTTTTGAGTTGTATATGTTCTTCAATTGTAGAAATACTGCCCAGACAATCAAATGTATTTGAACATAAAATTACAAAACCTCTTAGAAAAATTTGAGAATCATACAGTAAATATTTCATTTACAAAATGTCAATCAATTGTCTCACACTTGATTGTTCTTTCGTTTCCTCACTAATCATTCTCTGTTTTTGTTCTCTTTTCTTCGATGTTCTTAACCTTCTGGCTCCAGGAGTTTCATTTTCAATTGATGATACATACTACTTATATCTATCGACATCAATATCACACAAACACACACACACACACTGTAGTGAACAGAACATGAGTGGGGACAATCGAATGTATTTAAGCACAAATTACAGACTAACTTACTAAGATCTGATAACCATACAGTAAACAGTTAATTTGCAAAATAACAATCAATTGTCTAAATCTTCACTGTTGCTTCTGCAAATATCAGTCCGTCTTCTCTGGTTTCATTGTTCATGCTTTTTCTTAGCGATTGCGTTTCATTCTTGTTCTTTCCTTACAAATCTTCTACCAAAATACATTCTATGTCTGACCATCACTATATACTATTTATATGGATATAAGTAGACCACACCACACTCATCCCCTCTTTAAAGCATTCGTGCATGAGGTGGTTCTGCTCACCATGCCACTTTTTTCTTTCACTGCAGTCTGTGCCGAAATCTCCGTCAGAATGTCAAGTCTGCGGGGTGCTGATATCCATAGTTTTGTCGACCTGTCGGGTTACCAACATCCGCATCCACCCGGCACCTAGGACGTTCAACACCCGTACTCCAACGGCATGCTGAGCCATATATACCCGATGTCCGCCCAGCAGTCGCACGTCCCAACACTACAATATTATCTTAATGATGTTAGACTATTATATTAATTAACTTATATTGACTCTTTTCATTTTCTTATTAATTATAGAAAAAAATAAATCATCAGACACCAGTAAATAAGCAAATCACACTTGGATTTGAACAATATATTTGTATACCACCACCACCACAACAACAACAACAACCATCACCCCCACCACTAGCACAGCAACAACCACCACCACCACAGCAACAACAACAACAACCCCAGCAACAACAATTCAATGAAAACTCATCTAAAATAAATCATATTTTTTATTATATTAAACATCATGATAATGCTATTGATGATTTAATTAAATTTTTACAATCAGAAATAAAATTGAATGATAAATTAAATCAATTTATTGATTATTTAATTAAAAATTATCAATTTAGTGGTATTATAACTGGTCATGAAATCAATAATTATTCTAATAAAATCAATAATTTATCAATCAAATTAATAACAAAAAAATCAATAAAATCAAATCATATAAAAGATAATGATATCAAATTATTTATGATTAATAATAATAATAATAATAATGAAAGTAAACCAATCCCTGTCAATAATTATGTAACCGATTATATCCAACCGATCAAGATTGAAAAATGTTTAAATATAATAAAACAAGTTAAAGGGATAATTCGTATGGTAAGAGAATATGTTTTTTTTTTAAATGTGATCTAATCATATGCTGAATATAGGAGTGGATCTTTTATTCAAGTATGAGATTCCTCAAGAGTGTTTATTCATTATCCACTATCAAAGGGACTCAAATCTTGAACTTTTGGTTTCGTCTGTGAACGCTAAACTTATATATACCACCGAGATGACATCTGACGGTGTTAATATATAACTTTGATTGATTCATGCTATTGCACAATCTGTCATTCATTGTCTGAGGTGGATAATAGTCTCACACCTAGTACTGATAGGATTGGCGAAACTATAATTAATAAACGAGCCAATCAGAGTCGTTTGAGGGATTTCAAGGTCACGACGCCAATTTCAATACCTGATGCTCATTTACGATCGGTTCACAAACAATTTTAGAGAAGACTTGACAATTAAGCAGCTACAACAAATGAAACTACTAAGAAGTTCTTGTATTTGTAATTACGAGTAATTAATATCTTGTAGACCTTGTGCAGACTACCGTAATGTTGTCCTTCAATGTAATATATGTAGAAGGAAGACGTTTGCTAGAAGAGGAACCTTTATAGCCCGATCAAGATTGAGATTAACGCATAGTATAATAATTGCCGCAAACTGTATAATAAAAGCACCACTAATATTGTATAAGAACTGTCGTCTAAATTAGAGCGAATAGTTTCACAGTATTATTAATAGTATTTATTAGTGTATTTATTAATGTACCACTAACATTGGTTGCAATAATCACAGATGCTACTGAAGCTTCGGCTGTTCAGTGGTATGAATATTGTAGAAACATATCTATAATAAAAATGATAAACTTACATAACCGGAGAGCACACAAGCAATAATGAAGCTATGTGGTCGAGGCTGAGAGAGTTTTTTTTTTTTACCATGGCTCCAGAGACCAACTATTATGGAGCCATATGGATGAGTTCCTCTACCTTATGCATTACGATTTTGGAACCATTGAACGCTTTTCTAACCTTGATAATTTTCTGGATCATATAAAAGAAATGTATCCACTTTAATTCTTTGGTTTTGTATAATATATTTTTACTCTATGCTGACTGTTTACTGATTGGCTAATATTTCTCAAGGTCAATTAAGATTCGTTCAAAGGTCGTCCATAAATTGTAGTCTCGCCGATTGGACTCTATTGGTCATGGCTTCTCATTAGAACACCACGAAATCCATCTTGAAGCCAGTGACTTGTGAGCATATGATTATTATTATTAGAATGGATGTTTATGGAGATTGTAGTGATTTTAATTGTTGAATAGGGACAATTATCCACCTCAGACAATTGATAAAGGGTCGTGCATGATCATGAATCGATTGAAGTTAAACAATAACACCGTCGGATTCCGGTTAGGTGGTCTAGAGGTTAAGCGTTCACGCGCAAGACTGAAAGTCCTGGGTTCGAGTCCTGCTTGTAGGATCGTGGATGCACACTGCTGAGGAGTCTCATACTGGGAAGGAACGGTCGTTCGGTGTTTCTAGGTTTTTAATGATGGTCTAGCTTCGATTGACTCATGAATTCAACGATTAAAATCACTATAATCTCCACAAATCCGCATTCTAATTTAATTATTTGTCAATTAATTTTGATTATGAATCAGACTTCTATATGTTCACTTGAATCAACGACATTTCATTATAATGTCCGTTTATTAATGGTTCACCCTTTACCAATCAGATCAATTGCCTTTTTGACCAATAGCACAGTGATGGTGAAAAATGACCTACCTATTGGTTCATACATCATATTTGCCCCCAGTGACTAATTAAAATCCAAAGTCAACAAGCAGATTTTCTTTATATTATTGAATTTACATAGTGACCAGACCAATAACACACTAAATATAAGAAATCATAAGTTGTGTGCAACAAAGTCATAAGGGATACAAAATGAGATGATAGGTGGATGATGATTTGATGGTAATTAAGGAGCGACCAACTCCTACATCGAATACTTCTAAAAGTTCCATCTCTCCCATTTATTTACTCTAATCTAACAAACTGTTATTTGATCATATTTTGTAGGACTCTTCAATAATAGTTACATATATAACTTATAGGACCTGTGGCGTGTAAAGAACTCTTAAATCACTGTGTTTGAATATAACCTCAAATCAATTTGCATCAAGCCCTATGTCTGCTTTAAGATCCTGAACTCAAATCCTTAGTTTTTACGTTTCAATATAAGTACATATAAATATAGTCTATTTTTCTAATTACCCATTGGTGTTGATATATTTCAGTAGAAGTAAGATGTAATTGACTAATAAGCGTAAACAAACACTCAGTTTACCGAATATTATGACAATTTAATATCATGAATTCCATCCTCCTACTGATTTGTAAACTTGTGTTGTGTAGTGTCCGACTGAGATGTCGATACATAAGCTTCCTAAATACAAGTGAAACTGCCTTTTTAAGTGAGAACGGAGCTTTACTGGCTAAAGTAAACCGAGAAACATCTGTATATTCATTCATATATATATTCCTTGGTAAGTTAGGTGACATATTCAATCATTGGTTCATCTCTTGTTTCTTAAGAAAGTAAACTAAGTCTTGGCTAATCGAATGAGATTTTCAATTGACCGATGTATGGATAGCTAAAAGTAGCGGAATTCTACTCGGCATATGAAATAGTAGTAAATGTGTCAGGGGAACTATTATAATGTTGTTAAATTTTGATCACAAATCCTGTATCTGTTTATAACTTGGTCTAGCCTGTGCTTAGTCCATCGAGTCGTAGTAGTATCCTTCTATCTAGTTATAGTCGTGGAATGCGAAAATATTATATTTCCATTTTACAACAAATACTCAGATTCGCTTTTTGAAATAATGAACCGATCAATGTTAGACCAACATTGAAAAACTGAAAGCATTCGATGGTCGTGTCGTCGTAGTATGAGACTCCTCAAAATCTCAAGTCCTTGATGCTGCAGGCTTGAGCTAAACACAGAACCTTTGGTCTTGCTCAAGAACGTTTGACGTTCAGACAGCTGAGCTGGCATTCAACTGTGTTAGTGTCTAATTTCAGTCAGTTCACGAAAGTGAGCTACCACCTTCCATTGATTTTTGATGGGTAATTGGTTTACACCCGAGACGGTTAAATCCCAATGTTCACGTCTTCTCACTAGAACTCGGGCAATTTTTTCACGAATCTAGTCACTAGTGACCATTGTTTTTTTTCTTTTTTGTAATAGAAAATATTAGAATATTTGGAACAATGGAAGAATACAACCATGTTAGCTATGAAAGAGGAAGTTATAGTTAGAAAAACTGAAATAGACGATGAATATCAACTACAACTCAAACTTCATGAACCACGTATTGATCGGGTGAAAGAAGTAAGTCAACCTTAAAAGTGAAAGGGCAGTTTTCTTTTAACCAACATCATATAATCAACTAATAAATACGTTTCTCTAAGCATTATTTATAACATTAATCTATATCTTAAAGTGATTTACTTACTTATACCTGATACCTTTCGAATAGCATAAGCCACCGACCAGGATTCTACAACTTACTCTGTCCTGGGATGCTTTTTACAGTTGTTTAAAAGTACTATTCATTCTTTTGATATCTGCCCCGATTTCTGGAGCAATGTGTTTTTTGATCTGCCTCATTTCCAGTCGTTATGAGAGTTCCAAGTTAGGGCTTGCTTTGTGATTCATTTTAATTATTTTAGCAATGCACATTCTATTCACCTCGTCTTTTTTTGACTACTCTATAAATGTCTGTGAGTAGTATAACCTAGATATCTGATTTTTTGTATTTAAACGTACTGAATTTCGTTTCAATCCTGATATCTAAATTGGAGTGATTAAGATATCAATTTTGGTGTGTGTTATTATGCTATAAACTATTGTAGTGAACAAAGACACCAGTGGGGACAAATGAATGTATTTGAATACAAATACTTCATTTACAAAGTCAGTCAGTCAGTCAGCTACAACGTAGGATCAGGCACATATATGCATCGGTCCAAGTTGCCATACCTTACTCATTAGCACAACAAGACGAACACCGGATTCATAGAAGTAGTTAATTTAGTGTTGGTAGTAGTATATAAATTATAGGTTGTATATAAGGATATAGTACAGGAAGGAAGAGAGATATGAAGCAATTTTAGTCTCAAGGTTTAAGGGAAGATAAAGAGTGTATACACCTACGCCATTGTGACCGATTCTGAGCCATGTCACCTAGAGTCTCCAACCGTTGGTTACGATAGTCACGCGGACCCCAACCAGGTAGTCTGCATCTGCCAACATGGCTCAGGCTAGAAGTTAGTGACTTCAAACACTGATGCCATGTTTTGGTTTGGCCGCCCCTAACTCTCTTCCAACCGTCCCCAATACTAGTCATCATAGCGCGTCGTGGTAATCGGTGTTCAGGTATACGTAACACATGGCCCAACCATCTCAGTCGATGAAGATTCATCACCTCATCAACTGATTTACCATCGTTCCCTAATACCCTGTGTCTAACCTCACTATTACATACCCGGTGATCCCAGCAGATGCGAGCAATATTTCTAAGGCATCTGTGGTCAAATACTAGTAACCTACGAGTATCTTCTACTCTTAATGGCCGTAAAGTAGGACAGAGCGAACTGATGCGCAGTATACTCGTCCCTTAATTGATAGACGGATATCTCGTCTACGCCATAGGTGACGTAAGTTGGCAAAAGCCAAACGAGCTTTTTGAATCCGTGCTGAGATTTCGTCTGACACCAACCCATTAGGGCTGATCAGACTTCCAAGTAACAAGCAATCGTCTCAAACTTGATTGTTCTTTCATTTCCACACCAATAATTCTCTGTTCTCATTCTCTTTTCTTTGATCATCTCAACCTTATGCCTCCAGCTATTTCACTTTCAATTGATTATACATACTACTTATATTTGTCGACATCAGTAGCTTACACCACAAATTGTCATACTAGACGAAAGTTCACATCTATTATGGTGAACTAAAGTCACAGTTGATCGGTACAAAGGTTGAATTTTGATTGAGATCATGAACAAATCAATGTTAGACCACCATTGAAAACCATGTGAGGAATCATGGATGAGCACGGTCATCCAGTGCTTTTTAGATTTTCAATAATGATATCTAATATTGATTCATTCCTCATATCATCTTTTCTTATATTGAATATTTGATCTTATTTTTCTTATAGGATATAGTAAATGTAAGATTAACTGAATTAGTTTTACATCAAACCCGAATTGACCGACATATAACCTCAGTGAATTTAATATTAAATGAAATGAAAAATAATTCAACGAATAGTTTAATTGATACATTAAATAAATCAGAAGAACAAATGAATGAATCCATTCAACATTCTATTGATTTAACAATAAATAAAGCAACAAAATCATCAACGTAAGTAGTATATATAATCATAATGAAGTTTTTGTTTTGTTTCTTCCTCTGAATGAACTAGTCATATCCAATGCTGAAATTTTTAGAAATTAGATTGTGTCAATTAGGTCATGACTTATGACTTTAAGAGGTATTTCATGAAGTTCTAGTGAGAATAGCAGTGTTTCTCATTGGCGGTGTACACAAAAAGCGGGGACGTAATCAGCGCAAGCTTATGACTTGCACTTACCAGGAATTCCTCGTTCACGGGGAATAATTGCAAGCCCCGATCCCAGTCACGACGGTGATGAAACAGTTTGCCCAACCCTTTCGGGCCAGGTTTCCAGACTCGCTGGCACCGTCATTGTAGCGCACGTGTGGCCCCGGACATCTAAGGGCATCACAGACCTGTTATTGCTCAATTTCGTGCGACTTAAGTGTGCCGCTTGTCCCTCTAAGAAGTAAAAACTGGCACCGCACCCGCCGGATCACGACCACACTACTCCATAAAGAAGCAATAGAAGCCGCGCCCTAAACGAGCACAGAGGACCAGTCTACTATTTAGCAGGTTAAAGTCTCGTTCGTTATCGGAATTAACCAGACAAATCGCTCCACCAACTAAGAACGGCCATGCACCACCACCCACCGAATCAAGAAAGAGCTATCAATCTGTCAATCCTCACAGTGTCCGGGCCGGGTGAGTTTTCCCGTGTTGAGTCGAATTAAACCGCAGGCTCCACTCCTGGTGGTGCCCTTCCGTCAATTCCTTTAAGTTTCAGCTTTGCAACCATACTCCCCCCGGAGCCCAAAGACTTAAAGGTTTCCCGGGGACTGCCCGCGATGTCAATTATAGAACCAACGCGGATCGTCAGTTGGCATCGTTTATGGTCAGAACTACGACGGTATCTGATCGTCTTCGAAACTCTGACTTTCGCTCCTGATCAATGAAAACATTCTTGGCAAATGCTTTCGCTGTAGTTTGTCTGGCGGCGATCCCAGAATTTCACCTCTAACACCGCCATACAAATGCCCCCGTCTGTCCCTCTTAACCATTACTTCGGATCCGAAAACCAACAAAATAGAACCGAAGTCCTATTTCATTATTCCATGCAAGAATTTTCAGGCACATAGGCCTGCTTTGAGCACTCAAATTTGTTCAAAGTAAAGATGCCGTCCGCTCCCGACACCCGTTTAAAGGCATCCGGAAGCATGCCGACAGGTCAACAAGACGAACTCGTCAACCCACCAGCACCCGGCTATCCCTTGATTTGGCTAGTCGAACAACCTTCCTCACTCTTCGCTTTTTTTCTCGTGTAACTGGACTCGTATATAGAAAGATTGTATATTAATATCAGCTCTGGGAAACCGCAGGTGGCAATGCTAATTGTAACAAATTTTCTGTTGGGGTGATCCAAAAACTTTCTCTCAAAACACAAGAAAGGCTCAGGAAACATTAAGAAGCATTTTATCCAATCAGCATTTGATTAGAAGTTTTGCTAGAAACATCACGAAAGTGAAAAGTCACATGTAGAGTTTCTGATTGGCTGATTACTACACTACTACTATGTTTAGTAGCATTCCAGAATTTTTAGGAAAACTAAAGGAAAGAACAAGACTCTCCGATACAATACAGCATGCACCAATGGAATCACGCTTGACGGAGAAGCTTTGGAGGATGTAAAAACCTTTACATATCTGGGCAGCATCATCGATGAACAGGGTGGATCTGATGCAGATGTGAGGGCGCGGATCGACAAAGCAAGAGCAGCATATTTACAACTGATGAACATCTGGAACTCAAAACAATTGTCAACCAACACCGAAGTCAGAATTTTCAATACTACTGTGTGTGGCGGAGACGTGGAGAACTACGAAAGCCATCATCCAGAAGATACAGGTGTTTATTAACGGTTGTTTACGCAAGATACTTCGGATCCGTCGGTCAGACACTATCAGCAACAGCCTACTGTGTGAGAGGACAAACCAGATTTCAGTGGAGGAAGAAATCAGGAAAAAGCACTGGAAGTGGATAGGACATACATTGAGGAAACCACCCAACTAAGTCAAAAGGTAAGTCCTTTCATAAAATCTTAAAGGCCAAAGAAGAAGAGGAAGACCAAAGAATACATTAGACCGAGAAATGGAGACAGATATGAGAAGAATGAAAAAAAGTTGGATATTACTATAAAGGAAGTCTCGGGACAGAGTGGGTTGCAGAAAGCTTGTCGGCGGCTTTTCCTCTATTGGGAGTAACAGGCGTAAGTAAGTTGGCAAAGACTTCTAAAATACTATAAAATCCCTATATATTTTTTAGTATACAAATATACCTTTGAAGTAAAGTGCTGCTCTCATACTTTGCGCCTTCCCTCTCGTATTTACGTCACTGTGTAGATTTAGCTTGAGGGCTGTGAGAATAGCTTAAGATTCAAGTATAGCGTTTAATCAACAAGACTACATATGATAGTATGAACCTAATTTTCTTTATTCAATAAGAATGTTTTAAATAACAATCAAAATCTATTGATTGACTTGATCATTATTATTTTTTCTCTTCAAGACTACTGTTATTAAGAAAACGTATAGAAGGTTATGCTGAATCTCATACTGAAAATGTACGTCAAGCATTGAAAGAGTTTCGTCAAAATTTTGAAAATCAAATACAAACTGTAAATAATTCCAATTTAAAATTGATTGAATCATTAGAGTAAGTTTGAATGAATGATTATTACATCCTTTTAACCATTATTATCTTATTGACTCTCTATTTATTTAGTTGGACAAATAAATATTGGTATAAGGAAGCACCAGATAAATATGCGCCGCACAAATCTCATTCGATTTGTGTGAGGGCTGTGATAATACCCAGATGCCCAAACCGAAGCAGGTCGTCTTCTTAGAGGGCCACATCCGGAGCCTTTGACCTAAAGATCTGATCCAGAAGGCAATGGAGCATCGTAAGGAGATGCAGTCCCATGGTAGCCGGTGACCAACGATTCATTTATATGGAATGAGGGTTTTACAACTTCCCTAGACAAAATTTCCGTGTCAACCAACCCGGTTAAAGCGCCGGATATTCGTTTTTCGTCCTCTCAATTTCGTAAACAACAGTAATGCTGTGAGAATGCAGTGAGTAGTACTTCGCTGACAAAGGCTATATACGCGTGGCCGTGTAAGTGCATTTAGAGAAGGAGAGTGAACTCTCCCCACTCTCAGCCATACCAGGACATTTAGGGGCTTTGAATAGATTGTAATAAAAACATATTGTTATTATTCTAGTGAAGATTAAACTACAGGTCTCGTCCTAGTGTGGGACTCTTCAGCAGTGCGTATCCACGATCCCTCATGTGAGATTCAAACTCAAGACCTTTGGTCTCACACGCAAACATTTAACTTTCAGACTACTGAACTAGCATTCAATTGTGTTAATATCTAACTTCAACCAATCCATGAAATTGTTCCAAAATCTATCATTGTCTTCAGTGAGTTACTCATGAATTCAACTATTAAATTACTACAATCTCCACAAAATCTCCTTTCAGTCAATCATCCATATAGTAACAGATTGATCTGACGCAACGATCATTAACAATTCAAAGTAAAACATGAAGACAAGTAAATCTTCAAAAATCTAATCAAATTCTTAGAACTGATTGATTCAGAAATTTATGGAGTAGTTCTTCTGAAGAAAAAAACAAACATACTTCTCTTTCAAGTATGTATTTATAAATTCTTCTGTGATAACTATTCCAATCTCATCATATTTGACTTTCAGCTGACTGAAATGTTTATATCAACCCTGTCAAGTCTTATCTAAACTCCTTACAGTTTGAAATACAGTCGACGAACAATTTGGTGTCTTGATTTGGAAATCTTAATTTAACTGAAGTTTTAAATAAAGATACATCATAAATTTGTTAGAATGGATAGGTTATTGGGTAGGTTGAAACTCTTTAATGGATTGTATGCTACTTATGTTGACAAATATAAGTAGTATGTAACACCAATCACAACTCAAATGTCTGGTAGTAGAAGGTTGAGAAGATCGAATTAAACAAAATAGAAAGAGCAACAAACACTAATTGTAATAACAGCAAAAATAAAAGAATTATGAAAAATGTAAAGGACAACTGATGAAAGATGTGCAAATGAAGTATTCAATGTATGATAAGCAAAGATAGATAGTGGCTAGCAGTGGAATCCAGAACGTGCGTTTCGTCCTATTTGGGACTCGTCAGCTGGATGTACCTGCATCTCAGAGTTGATGTTCACTTTGGGACTCAAACCCAGTACCCTCGCTTCAAACGCCATCGCGTTATCCACTCGGAAGGTGGGTATCAGGACTCAGTAGCCGAGTGGATAACGTGATGGCGTTTGAAGCGAGGGTACTGGGTTTGAGTCCCAAAGTGAACATCAACTCTGAGATGCAGGTACATCCAGCTGACGAGCCCCAAATAGAACGAAACGCGCGTCCTGGATTCCACTACTAGCCACTATCTATCTTTGCTTATCATGCTTGTGAATCAAGGCTATATCGAGGCAATACGCACAGTATGCACATATGCCAATTAGAGACTGACCAGTTGCAGTCCTAACACATCGATGGAAAGATTCAAACAAACAATGCTAAGTGAATTTATTCAATGTATGGTTTTCATATTTTAAGAAAGCACTCTGTAATTTCATATTTTCCAATATTACAGCTTCCTTTGAACAAATAAAATGCTTTAGCTTTGACCCTATAAATTACAAACAAATTGATGTGTTTTATGTCACTTTCGGTCAAGTTACGTAAAAATTATAATTTCTTATTTGTTTGGCGTTTTGTTTCGGTAACTCATGTACATAAAGCTAAGAGTGAGCTATAACCATAAACAGCGATGGAGATTTTTTTTATTTCTGCTGAGTTTAACTTGTTACTGGCTACCAGATTAGAGTGAACCTGCTTGCTAAAGTAATAGACATAGAGATAGACTTATGTTTATTTGTTGTCGGTCAATGTGTCTCATTGGCCTATGTGTAAGTTGGTAGTCTACCAGGCGTGAATCGCATTCATATTACTGGACTACATTTATTTATATATTTATTTAACCACATAAAGATTGGTACAAGGAGGAAATAAATTTAGATTCGCCACATAAACCCTTCAATTTTTGTAAGGGATGAAGACAGCAAATGTAGCAGCAGCCTCCGCATCGATAGGCCTCCACATTCACAAAGGAAAAAGCAAGATTCTCAAATGCAACACGGAGAACACCGACCCAATCACACTTGATGGCGAAACTCTGGAAGAGGTGGAAAGATTCAAGTACCTGGGGAGCATCGTTGATAAACAAGGAGGATCGGATGCAGATGTAAAAGCAAGGATTGGCAGAGCAAGGGCAGCATTTCTACAATTGAAGAACATATGGAACTCAAAACAACTCTCAACCAATTTCAAGGTCAGAATCTTTAATACGAACGTCAAGACAGTCCTACTGTATGGAGCTGAAACGTGGAGAACTACTACGGCCATCATCAGGAAGGTACAAGTATTTATAAACAGTTGTCTACGCAAAATACTCAACATCGATTGACCAGATACTATCAGCAACAGCGTTTTATGGGAGAGGACAAACCAGCTTCCATCTGAAGAGGAAATTAGGAAAAGACGTTGGAAGTGGATCGGACATACATTAAGGAAATCACCAATGTGCATCACGACTCAATCCCTAACTTGGAATCCGGAAGGGAAGCGGAAAAGAGGAAGGCCAAAGAACACACTACGCCGGGAAATAGAAGCCGATATGAAAAGGCTGAATAGCAACTGGAAAGAACTGGAAATGAAGGCTCAGGACAGAGTTGAATGGAGCATGCTGGTGAGCGGCCTATGCTCCTCGACGAGGGGTAACAGGCGTAAGTAAGTAAGTAAGTAAGTTTTGTAAGGGATGGGATGCTGACTAGGTTCCCAGACCGAACCAAGTGGTTTTCTTAGGGAGCAACACCCTGAGCCTTCAACCTAGAGGTCTAAGCCATAAGGCAGTGGAGCAACGTCAGGAGATGCAGTTCCATGGAAGCCGGTAACCGACAATGGGTTCATACACCATTTTTTACCTCAAAATCCTGAAGCCCATGTGCACCATTGGTTTGGAATCAGGGTTTTCTAACGTTCCTCAGAGGATCTGCCATGTCCACCAACCCTGTTAAAGTGCAGAATATTGTCCTTCTATCTCAATTTCGTAAACAACAGTAATGCCACGAGAAGGCATTGAGTAGGACTTCCCTGGCAGTGGCTGCATACACGTGTTCATGAGAGAGCATTTCGAGAGGGAGAGCGGACTCTCCCAACCTTCGACCGTGCCAGAGCATTAAGGAGCACTGAACTAAATACAGTAGTTGAATTCAGAAACGTATAATAAGATTGAAGGTGATGACAGAATTTAAATTTAATAAAAATGTTTATAGTTTAAATCATGATCTGATCTTAACCATTACCATTAGTGTAAACGCGGAAACATTTGGGGAGTCTGTTGGGGATGTCAAATCCCCAGAACTTACTTGGTAAATGGCTTAGTTTTGTAATTTTATTTTGAAAATTTGAATTTAGCTGTTTTCGCGCGAAACGCGCTCTTTTTACGTTCACGTCATATTTCCCACCTGTAAACTATCTTAAACGCTATTGGTCCATTGTTTCTTTGTGTGTGCTATTTACCAATGATGCTCAAGGACAAATTGTTGCTGTATAAATGCGTTTGACTTTTTCCCTTATTGGATTGCTTGTACTCGGCTGCTTACGGAATACATATATATTCCACTACTTGCCTTGGACTTTTTCATCTAGTTAGCGGGGCCTGGGACAACCGATTAGAATAGCTTATCGTGTCATTGGCTTTTGTTCGTTACCGCGGAATCGATTTAGTTCAAGCATAACAGAGTCCCATATGAAGACGAAACAATTATCCAATGCTTCGAAGTTTTAATTAATGTTCTAGTTAAGATTACAAATAATAAAGACATCTTGATCAAATTATCATCATAATCATTTATTATTATTACAATAAATAGACTCTTTGTTGATGGAGGCAATTTCTCAACTGTTGAAGCCAAGAAATATACCACAGTATTGAATCAATTAAGTAAAACAATTCAATCATTTCAAGAAGAAATTATTGGTAGTATAGAATCCATTGAAAAAGAACGTCAATTAATTATAGATAATAAATTAAAACAATTTGAATCAATGTTAAAACCATATTTAGCTGATGTTATATATATGGAAAATATGATACGTTGTATAACTAATACAAAAGTAAGTTGTTAAATTACTTATGAAAGTATCTTTATTTCATTTAAACATATAAATATTAATACAAGGAGGGCACACAAATGACAGGGTGCCAGGGTGCCCAAATCAACTTACTTACTTAATTAATTACGCATGTTACCCTTCGTGGAGGAGCATAGACCGCTCACCAGCATTTTCCATCCAACTCTGTCCTGGACAATCTTTTACAGGTCTTTCCAATTTACATTCATCCTTTTCATATCTGTTTTTCTATTTCCTGACGTAATGTGTTGTTTGGCCTTCCTCTTTTCGGTTTCCCTACTGGATTCCGAGTTAGGGCTTGCCTTGTGATGTAGTTTGGTAATTTCCGTAATATATGTCCGATCCACTTTCAATGTCTTTTCCTAAGATCAAATCCAAGTAGATGGTTTTCGTGAAGGAGGCCACACCCGGCGCCTTTGATCTAAAGATCTGATCCATAAGGCGGTGGAACATCTTGAGGAGATACAGTCCCATGGTAGTCGGTGACCAACGATTGATTCATATGCCATTTGTTCCCTCAGGATACTGGTGCCTATGTGAACTAACTCCCCTGTGTGGAGTTACAATATGTTATATGTTTTATTTCAGATATATTTGGTTGATTCTTACGGAGGGTTGCCAACTTCCTGTTGTTGGTTTTTAAATTATATAACTGATCAGTATTGATTAGGATAGATGGATCATGAAAAGATGTTATAGTGTTGTTATTTAAGCTATAATTTTTCGATTTATGAATAAGAGTGATGGAGCTTAAGATTCATATTTTATTCTGTTTGGAAGTCATTGATAATATATGTACCTTCATTGTACTATTTCTGTGTACACTGAAATTCGAATGCAGTTCAACATGTATGAGTAAGTCGGTAATTAAATGTACTCAGCAGTATAGGGGATAACATCTTCAAACCCTAATCTTTCGGATGATTGCTTATACACATACTACTTCTACTACTATGGGATTTGAATCGACAACTACATCTCTATGGTAATGTGGTATGGCAACTTGAACTGATGTACGTACGTAAGTACGAAGTTATACGTTGTGACTGACTGACTGATTCACACATCTATCCATCTATCTATCTCTTTCTTTCCATTAATAGGTACAAATCAAAGCACAAACTGAAGATAGTTCAAGTCAATCAAAACTACTAATAAATCAAATTGAACAATTACAATCATTATTAAAATCACTTCATAAAACAAATGACATAGTAACTAATACATTAATTAATATAACATTAATGGATAGTAACCAATCTCATAGAGATACTATAAAAGAGAAAAGAATCCAAAAAGATTTAATTCATAAAACTATTGAATTATTTACTAATATTTGTGTAAATTCATCCGATCGATGTATATTCTTAAATTGTTTACGTAGTCAATTTTTAAATAATGATGATGATGTAACCATGACAACAACAACAACAACAACAAAGGATCAAGATGAAATATCTAATGAGAACAATATTGGAAATAACAAAGATAATTTAGTAAGTAGTATAATATTATAATATATAAATAGTTTTATTAAATAAAACCAGATAGAATGACAGTCTCTTCGGATGCTCTGTTCGCCGATTCATCATCTGCTACTAGGTTTTTATGAGGTACCATCAGAATGAGGGACAGCATATCCATTCCTGAGAGAAGGAGGTGTAACAGTGTTGAAAATCACCGTATATGACCTTGATAACAGGTACTATTTTCTTTCTAATACAGGGAAACAAAGCAAAAAACCCTTGGAGGAAGAAGAGAAAGTTCTACAGACACTGAGCTTACAGGAGCACTCATAAGACTGGTTTGTGTTATATTGATTGCGTGTGTTCTTTCCCAGTTGATATATATATGAATGTGCTGATCCCCGCCAATTAGAGACGAGTGAATTATCGATCAGAGCTATGATACACAAAAGCTGTATGAGTAGTCTTGAGTACTTATCAGTCCTCTTTTCTGCGTAGCCTAGCCCAGCCAGTTAGGTCTAGAACATCAATAACAGACTCTGTGATATGAATCATTATTCTCAAACATACTGGGTTTATATACCAAACAAACTGACCACATCGTATCAGAAAATGGAAAGTAACATTTGTACAAGATTCAGCTAAATGTGTCTGTGAATAGAGGGAACAGTAATCAATAGACTAAGGATAACTCGAGAACAGCAAATCGTATGATAATAGTCTATAGGTCAAAAATAAAGCTTATAATAAGAGGAACATGAATATGGATAGTTTAGTTACTTAACAATTATAAAATAGAGTTGAGATCATGAGTCAATTGAAGCTAGACCACCATGGGAAACCTGGAAGCACTGGATGGCCGTTTCGTCCTATTATGGGACTCCTCAGCAGTGCGCATCCACTATCTCATCTCGCGAGATTCGAAACCAGGACTTACTAGTCTCGAGCCGGAGCCCTTAACCGATAGACCATTGAGCCGGCATCCAATGGTGTTAATGTCTAACTTCAACTGAGTGGTAGGTCCTGGGTTCGAATCTCGCGAGTGCGGGATCGTGGATGCACATTGGCACTGAGGAGTCCCATAATAGGACGAAACGGCCGTCCAGTGCCTCCAGGTTTTCCATGGTGGTCTAGCTTCAATTGACTCATGATCTCAACTCTATAAAAATACTAAAATCTCCACCACACCCCTTCTGATAATTATAAAATAGGAAATATACATATTACATTGGTCCATAAATAGTCCTCAAGAGTTACTATTCACAATTCTCTTCGGGATATAACACCTTGTAAAATAGAGAACGAACTTCTTTGACTTTGAGAAAGAGCTCGACAGAGTGGAGAGAAAAACATTATGGAATCTTCTTCGACACTATGGTGTACCTGAGAAGATCGTCAATATCATCGGGAATTCATACGACGGACTACATTGCAAAGCGATGCATGGAAGATAGTTGATAGATGCATTCCAAATGAAAACTGGTGTTAGATAAGGCTGCCTAATCTCCTACTTTTTCTTTCTACTGGTGGTTGATTGGATTATGAAGATCTTCATATAAGATGCAACTAGAGAATTCGAACTTCAAAGATGACCCGGCCCTTCTGTCCCATACACATGAACAAATGCAGATGAAGACAACTAGTGTACCAACAGTTTCTACATCAGTAAGACTCAACATACAAAAGGGGAAAAGCAACATCTTCAAAGATAACACGCATAACACTAGCCAAACCATACTTGATGGAGAAACTGTGGAACAGGTGGAATCTGATGCAGATTGTATCGAGAATCGGAAGCAGTCATTGCTACAGACTTACATACTAACTCCTGTTACCGCTCGCGGAGGAGCATAGGTTACCCATTAGCATTCTCTATCCAACTCTGTACTCGACAATCCTTTCCAGTTCTCCCCAGTCGCAATTCATCCTTTTCATATCTGCTTTCATTTCCCGACGTAGTGTGTTCTTTGACCTCCCTCTTTTCCATTTCCCTTCCGGATTCCAAGTTAGGGATTGCCTTGTAATGCACATTGGTGATTGCCTTAATGTATGTCCACTCCACTTCCAACGTTTTTTCCTAATTTCCTCTTCAGCTGGAAGCTTATTTGTTCTCTCCCACAGAAGGCTATTGCTGATAATATCCGGCCATTGAATGTTAAATCTTTTGCGTAAACAACTGTTTATGAATACTTGTACCTTCTTGACGATGGATGTAATAGTTCTCGAAGTTTCAACTTCATACAGTAGGACTGTCTTGACGTTCATATTGAAGATTCTCACTTTGAAGTTATTTAACAGTTGTATGTAATTAATTTACATAAAATCAATTCATTTATTTCTTTATCTTTATCACTCAATTTTTTTATTTCATTACTAGATATTGAATAAAACAAAACTACAATCTACATTACAAACTCCTATTATCAATATTCATTCAAATAGAAATGAACAAATGAAACAATTGAATAATCAAACCTTATTTACGAATGTCAATACACAAAATGCATTACAAATTAGTCGACCAGGACGATTATATACGGATGATTCTTATATTCAACTTGTACAGAATATTATTAATGAATCTAATCCATTGGATGAGAATATTGATACACCAAATCAATTCGTTGATAATCTATCTAAACGTAATGATAATAAATCATGTAAGTAAGATTAGATTGTTCATAAATTATTGTTCCTGGCATATAAGTAAGTGTACTAAATAAAGTATGAGGAGATGAAATGCTCTGGTACAGCCGGGAGTGGGAAGAGTCTGCTCTCCCTCTCGAAATGCTCTCAGATGGCCATGAGTATACAACCACTTCCAGGGTAGTCTTACTCAAAGCTTTCTCATGACGGGGATGTTGTTTACGAAATTGAGAGAACGAAAAGCGAATATCCGGCACTTTAACAGGGTTCGTGGATATGGAGGATCTACCCAGGGTAGTTGGGAAACCCTCATTTCAAACCAATGGTGGACATGGGATCCAGAGGTAACAAATGGTGTTTGAACACCTTGTTGGTCAACGTCTACCATGGAACTGCATCTCCTGATATTGCTTCCCTGCCTTATGAATTAGACCTTTAGGTTGAAGGCTCGGTGTGTGGCTCCCTAAGAAAACCACCTGGTTCCGTCTAGGCACCTGGTCAGTATCCCATCCCTCACACAAATTGAATGATTTATGTACTTACTTACTTACTTACGCCTGTTACCCCTCGTCGAGGAGCATAGGCCGCTAACCAGCATTCTCCATTCAACTCTGTCCTGAGCCTTCCTTTCCAGTTCTTTCCAGTTACTATTCAGCCTTTTCATATCGGCTTCTATTTCCCGGCGTAGTGTGTTCTTTGGCCTTCCTCTTTTCCGCTTCCCTTCCGGATTCCAAGTTAGGGATTGAGTCGTGATGCACATTGGTGATTTCCTCAATGTATGTCCGATCCACTTCCAATGTCTTTTCCTAATTTCCTCTTCAGCTGGAAGCTGGTTTGTCCTCTCCCATAAAACTCTGTTGCTGATAGTATCCGGCCAGTGGATGTTGAGTATTTTGCGTAGACAACTGTTTATAAATACCTGTACCTTCCTGATGATGGTCGTAGTAGTTCTCCACGTTTCAGCTCTATACAGTAGGACTGTCTTGACGTTCGTATTGAAGATTCTAACCTTGAAATTAGTTGAGAGTTGTTTTGAGTTCCATATGTTCTTCAATTGTAGAAATGCTGCCCTTGCTCTGCCAATCCTTGCTTTTACATCTGCATCCGATCCTCCTTGTTTATCAACGATGCTCCCCAGGTACGTGAATGTTTCCACCTGTTCCAGAGTTTCGCCGTCAAGTGTGATTGGGTTGGTGTTCTCCGTGTTGCATTTGAGAATCTTGCTTTTTCCTTTGTGAATGTGGAGGCCTATCGATGCGGAGGCTGCTGCTACATTTGCTGTCTTCATCTGCATTTGATCGTGTGTATGAGAGAGGAGGTCTAGGTCATCTGCGAAGTCCAAGTCATCTAATTGATTCTGAGATGTCCATTGTATTCCGTATTTCCCTTCAGATGTCGAATTCTTCATAATCCAGTCAATCACTAGAAGGAAGAGGAATGGGGAGAGTAGACAGCCTTGTCTGACTCCGGTCCTTACTGGAAATGCACCTGTCAGCTGTCCTCCATGCACCACTTTGCACTGTAGTCCATCGTATGAGTTTTGGATAATGTTGACGATCTTCTGAGGAACTCCATAGTGTCGAAGAAGTTTCCATAATGTTCTCCTGTCCACGCTGTCAAACGCCTTCTCGTAGTCAATAAAGTTGACGTATAGTGATGAGTTCCACTCAACTGATTGTTCAACGATGATCCGTAGTGTCGCAATCTGGTCTGTGCACGACCGATCCTTACGGAATCCAGCCTGATGATCCCTTAGTTCGGCGTCTACTGCGTCTTTCATCCGATTCAGCAGCACTCTGTTGAAAACTTTTCCTGGTACTGATAACAAACTGATACCTCTGTAGTTCTCACATTGGTTCAGATCTCCTATCTTTGGTATCTTGATGAGATATCCTTCTTTCCAGTCCGTTGGCACTTGTTCCTCTTCCCAAATCTTCTTGAATAGAAGGTGAAGCATGTTTGCAGTTATTTCAATGTCTGACTTCAGTGCTTCTACTGGTATATTGTCAGGTCCCGCCGCCTTCCCACTTTTGATTTGTCTGATGGCCATCTTGACTTCTTCGATCGTTGGTGGAGTGACATCTATTGGAAGGTCTGTGTGGGCTGCTTCGATGTTCGGTGGATTCAATGGGGCTGGTCTATTCAGCAGTTCCTCGAAGTATTCTGCCCATCTTTTCCTCTGTTCTTGAATCTCAGTGATTGTCTTTCCTTCTTTGTCCTTGACTGGTCTCTCTGGTTTGCTATATCTCCCTGCCAATTTTTTCGTTGTATCATATAGTTGTTTCATATTCCCTTCTCTTGCAGCTTTTTCCACCGCCGTTGCTAGTTCTCCCATGTATTTCTGCTTGTCGGCTTTAATGCTTTTCTTCACTTCCCTGTTTGCTTCTGCGTAGTCTGCTTGTGCTTTGACTTTCTCTGCTCGTGTTCAGCTGTTGTTAATTGCTAGTTTCTTGTTCTTCCTTTCTTGAATTTTGTCTAGGGTTCCCAGAGAGATCCATTCCTTGCGATGATGCTTCTTAGGACCAAGAACCTCCTGACACGTTGAAGTTAGTGCTTCTTTTATCCCTTTTATTAGTTGTTCTCCAAAGTAGTTTCTTGTTCTTTCAGTAGATCCTGTAGAGCTTGGAACCTGTTGTTGAGAGTTATCTTGAATTCTTGGAGCTTGTCAGCATCTCGAAGGAAGGCTGTATTAAACCTTTGTAGTGCTGTTTGTCCAGTTGTCCAGTCTTTCTTAAGCTTCAGTCTCATCTTGGCCACAACCAGGTGGTGATCTGAAGCTATGTCAGCTCCTCTCCGGGTTCTTACATCTTCCATTGATCTTTGGAATTTTTTGTTGATACAGATGTGATCAATCTGGTTCTCTGTGGTGTGGTCCGGTGAGATCCATGTAGCTTTGTGTATGCGCTTGTGTGGGAATATTGTGCCGCCTATAACCAATTTGTTGAAAGCACATAGGTTTGCAAGTCTCTCCCCATTTTCATTTCTTTCTCCTAGTCCGTGTCGTCCGATTATATCTTCATATCCTGTGTTGTCCACTCCAACTTTAGCATTTAGATCTCCCATCAGGATGGTGAGGTCCTTACTTGAGCACTTTGCTACAATTGATTGCAGCCTTTCATAGAACTGATCTTTATCATCGTCGTTGCTATCATTGGTGGGTGCATAACATTGGATAACGTTCATTGTGATCACTTGCTTCTTTGTTCTGAATGATGCTTTGATTATCCTGGGTCCATGAGATTCCCATCCCACAAGTGCATTTCTTGCTTCTTTGGACAGCATTAGAGCAACTCCCTGAGTGTGTGGAGCGTTTTCCCCTTCGTGACCGGAGTACAGCAGCATCTCTCCTGTACCTAGCCTTTGTTGTCCAGTTTGTGTCCAATGGGTTTCGCTGATTCCGAGTACTGCCAAGTTGTATCTCCTCATTTCCATTGCTATTTGGCTGGTCTTTCCTGTCTCCCACATTGTCCGGACGTTCCATGTACCTATAAAGAGTGTTGCTCTGGTTGTTAGAAGGTGCATCGGTCTCGTGACTTCCGAAGAATTTCGGCTTTCATCATGAGACGTCATTATTCCTTCAACTCCCAGAGCAGAGTTTAAATGGTTTGGATTATTTTTTCTGGTTAGCGTTTTTTTAGCGAGTTAGCTTTTCTACGGGATGGGGTCGCTAACCCCATGCCCAACCCTCCTCCTTTACCCGGGCTTGGGACCGGCAGTAACTCTAGAAGAGCTACAGGCGGAGTTGAATGATTTATGTAGCAAATCTAAATTCGTTGCCTCCTTTGTACCAATATTTATGTGTTTAATTAAATAAAAAATGAAATAGATTAAAATCACGAACTTATTTAAGTTGGACAACCACTGAAAACCTAGTAGCACTGGATAACTATCTTGTTCTAGTATGCGACTCATCAGTAATGGGCTGTTCAATACTTCCAAGTTCTCATTGATAGTCTATCTTGGATAGGCTTGTGGTTTCAATGAAATTCAACAATCTCCAGAACACCATAGAGATAATATTGAAGAAGATCAAACATTGAGGAATACAATTTGAAAAGACGGGATTAGTCTTAGGTTAATAAAACATGTACAATACAATAATGAAGCTCGAAAATAAGAAAGAAACGAAGAATCGTCCCCTCTACTCTAATGTGACTGGGTCTAAACCATATTACCTAACATCTTCAACCAATATAATATAAAAACTTTTATACCCTTAAATTCATATGTATTGGCCATTTACATCTTCCAAATGGTGTTTAAGACTACAATCGATCAGTCTCTTTTGACATATGTGCAACCAGTTCGGATTGCCTCGATATTTTCATCAAGTCAGAAGCATTTAATTTAGAGACGGTTGATGGCTGGGAGCAGAATCCAGGACCTGTGTTTTGTCCTGTTAGTACTTGTCCATAGTTGTATATAACTTTATTCCAGAGTGAGTTGATGTTCACTCTGGAAATCGAACCCAGTAGCGTTCGTTTCAAACACCGTTGTGTTATTCACTTAACTATTAAGTACAACTAGCTACTGGCTTGTGCAATGGAGTGAATTTTAATAGCTATATATTAGTTATATGGATTTTCCCATCGATTTTCAGGACTTTAGTTGATCATTCTCAACAGTCGATACTGTGTTGAATTCAATTTAGATAAATTGAGATAGCATGACAATTAGCTTTTGTTATACAGAGTTCCAGAAGTGAAACCTGTCAAATTTTTTTGAAGTATTCGGATCTATTAAAATGCAATTATTTATAATTCCAAACTCCGCCTGTAGCTCCTCCGAGGGCTACTGCCGGTCCCAAGCCCGGGTAAAGGAGGAGGGTTGGGCGTGGGGTTTGCGACCCCATCCTGTAGAAAACCAACCCGCTAAAAAAAAGCTAACCAGAAAAAATCAATTTATAATTCTGACGTTTAGCTATGGCACTTCATAATTATCTTGGATATTGCTTATGATGAAAAATATTAATCCTTGCAATTATGAATGGTTTGACGGATATTCTGAAAGATGCTTTAGGTTTCCAGACTATCTTCTAAGTATATATCCTTGAAGTTCTCCAGACAGTTAATCGATTCATTCTTCCTAATATCTATCGAAAATCGTTTTCCAGCTTGTATCACCTGTGGTGCAAGCGTGATGTCTGTCTGTCAACCGAAAAACGAGTGAATTTCTCAAAATTCAGCTCTATATTACTCTAGGGCTAATATTTAATCATCGATGTTTTCGAAGGATTTTTTGCAAATCATGGTACATCCGAATAAGTAGTTACCATGTTCGAGGGATTAAAATATCACGTAGGTACGGTGAACGAATCTAAATTCAGCGACATAACAACAGGACAAGCAAAGCTATTTTCTCTGTACCCCACCCCTGATAACAAGAGGAAGAAGACTAGATTCAGTCGGGAAAATATATAATTCCAAAAGCAGTCGGAAGGAAAAACAATAAGCATGCAACTCATGACAAACCTTTTTTACTCAATGATTAAGAGATTTAGTTTATTTCGATGTATTGATTAATTAATGCTTGATTGAAGTTAATAGAAGAAGATGTTAGTTAGTTAGTTATGAAGAAATTCTAGTAATCCACTTCTCTTTGAAGTACGTACTGATAATATTGTTCAGAAGAACAATGAAAACGTCAGAACCAAACTACTTTGATCACCACAACATTTTCAACATACTCATCCTTACTAACTACTTAATTACGCCTGTAACCCCTCGTGGAGGAGCATAGGCCGCTAACCAGCATTCTCCATTCAACCCTATCCTGAGCCTTCCTTTCCAGTTCTTTCCAGTTAAAATTCATCCTTTTCATATTTACTTCTGTTTCCCGGTGTAATGTGTTCTCTGGCCTTCCTCTTTTCCGCTTCCCTTCTCGATTCCAAATTAGGGATTGTCTTGTAATGCACATTGGTGATTTCCTCAATGTATGTCCGATCCACTTCCAACGTCTTTTCCTAATTTCCTCTTCAGCTGGAAGCTGGTTTGTCCTCTCCCATAAAACGCTGTTGCTGATAGTATCCGGCCAGTGGATGTTGAGTATTTTGCGTAGACAACTATTTATAAATACTTGTACCTTCCTGGTGATGGTCGTAGTAGTTCTCCACGTTTCAGCTCCATACATTAGGACTGTCTTGACGTTCGTATTGAAGATTCTGACCTTGAAATTGGTTGAGAGTTGTTTTGAGTTCCATATGTTCTGCAATTGTAGAAATGCTGCCCTTGCTTTGCCAATCCTCGCCTTTACATCTGTATCTGATCCCCCTTGTTTATCAACGATGCTTCCCAGGTACATGAATGTTTCCACCTGTTCCAGAGTTTCGCCATCAAGTGTGATTGGGTTGGTGTTCTCTGTGTTGAATTTGAGAATCTTGCTTTTTCCTTTGTGAATGTGGAGGCCTATCGATGCGGAGGCTGCTGCTACATTTGCTGTCTTCATCTGCATTTGTTCGTGTGTATGAGAGAGGAGGTCTAGGTCATCTGCGAAGTCCAAATCATCTAATTGATTCTGAGATGTCCATTGTATTCCGTATTTCCCTTCAGATGTCGAATTCTTCATAATCCAGTCAATCACTAGAAGGAAGAGGAATGGGGAGAGTAGACAGCCTTGTCTGACTCCGGTCCTTACTGGAAATGCATCTGTCAGCTGTCCTCCATGCATCACATTGCACTGTAGTCCATCGTATGAGTTTTGAATAATGTTGACAATCTTTTCAGGAGCTCCATAGTGTCGAAGAAGTTTCCATAATGTTCTCCTGTCCACGCTGTCAAACGCCTTCTCATAGTGAATGAAGTTGACGTATAGTGATGAGTTCCACTCAACTGATTGTTCAACGATGATCCGTAATCTGGTTTGTGCTACAAACATTCTCCATCGCAGAAAAATTGATGGATTCTGTGTCAAATTGTGATTGGATGCCTACTTACTCCACTGCTTACTTTTTCCAGAGTACAATAGTTATCAATAAACCCATAAAATTAATTGTTGAAATCATGAATCGATGTAAGCTAGATCGTTATTGGAAACCTGGAAGCACTGGACGACCGTTTCATCCTAGTATGGGACTCCTCAGAATTGTGCACCCATGATCCTGCATGCGGGAGTCGAACTCAGGACCTTCTGTCTTGTGCTCGAACACTTAACTTCTAGACCATTGAGCTGGTCATCACCCAATAGTGTTAATGTCTAACTTCATCCAATACACGATATCGCGTCACCGCCAACCATTATCTTCAGAGAGTTACTCATGAATTCGACTATTAAATTACTACAATCTCCACAAAACTCACCTTTCTCATAAAATCTATAAACGCTATCGTTTTTTGTACACGAAACGAACCTTGAAATAAGGCTACTATTCTTACTTCACAGCTTTTGTCTACTATTTGATCTCAATTCTAGGAGTTTTTAAGGAATTTAAGAAGTAGCTAGGATGCTAGTATTAATTATTCGAGTAGCAGACATATCATTTACTTTATAATTCAGATCGGTACTAGTTTTAATAAAATCGTTTTTTCTTTAAACATGAACAACTATTGCTGTAGTATCAATCACTACAAATTTAGCAAATGGATTTCCATCGATCCCTACAGAATCCAGCCTGTTGGTCAAAAGGCATTAGCCACCATACAATCCAAGAGGCATTAAGAACTACACAAAAGTATTTTCACAGCTTATTCTACATAATAAGCAAAGATGGATAGTGGCTAGCAGTGGAATCCAATTTGACGCAGGTTTCGTCTTATTTGGGACTCGTCAGATGAATACACCTGCATCTCAGAGTTGATATTCACTATGGAACTTGAACCCAGTATCTTTCGCTTCAAACGCCATCTCGTTATCTACTCAACTACTGAGTCCTGATAGTCACTTACTTGTGCAATGGGGTGAAGTTTAAATTCACTTATTAATGCTTGTGAATTAAAACTATATCGAGGCAATACGCATAGTATGCACATATGTCAATTACAAACTGACCAGTTGTAATCCTAAAGCATCAATGGGAAGATTCAAACATACAATATTAAGTGAATTTATTCTACATAAGTTTTAAATTTTGCGCGAAAATTTAAAAATCTTTTCCGCGATTCTGATTGGCTCAGCCCTATACTATACTTTTCCTTCTATATATATGTACTAATTTTGTTTTAACGAACTAGATGAATTAACTAATTTGAATAGTAATAACAACAATAAACAAGTATTATTGGATGATAATCAAAAATCGGAAACAATCCCAGTTACTAAATCGACAAAAAGTCATCGAGGTAAACGTGAAATGAATAGTTCAACTACAAATGGAACTGTACTTAAAACTAGTAGACGAAAGAAAAAGTAAGCTTGATTATTACTATTATTATCATAGTATTTCATAAATTGATATTTGGAATAAACTAAGATGAATCTCCAAGATTTCTATTCCATCTCTTTAACTTTTCAGAGTGAACATCAACTTTGAGATGCAGGTACATCCAGCTGACGAGTCCCAAATAGGACGAAACGCGCGTCAAACTGGATTCCACTGCTAGTCACTATACATCTTTGCTTACAATTTACAAATAAATGTTATCGAATATAACTTTGTAGATGATTCATACTTTACTAGAAATCAATTTGCTATCATAAAAATGATCTGTAAGTAGAAATGAATTAAATTTGAGTAGATGAGATGTTATAGTGATATTTCAATTAGAATAAAGTTGAAAAACTGATAAGTAATGGGTTCGAATCTCGTGAGGCGGGATCGTGGATGCGTACTGCTGAGGAGTCCCCTAGTGGGACGAAACGGTCGTGCAGTGCTTCCAGGTTTCTCATGGTGGTCTAGCTTTGATTGACTCACGCTTTCAACTATTGAAATTCATTAAGTTATCTAAAATCACTTTTTTGGTCTTACAGATTGGATTCATTTTAAAATGAAATACACGTGTACAGATTTTCTTTTGATTCTCTGGATTAATGACTTTAATGTCGTAAGGTCATGCTCAGCATCACCTGTTGTCGAAGATAAAATACGTTACATTGTAAAAGAGTGGCATAGTGTACTTGTTGAGGAGATCAAGTAAATTCCTCAAAAAAAGTCGATAAAAGGCTCCGAAAAACACTGAGAATCACCTTATCCAATCAGCATTCAATAGAAGTTTTGCCTGAAGCATCTAGAAAGTGATAAGTCACATGTTGCGTTTTTGATTGGATGATAACCTATGCTGTTACTACGTTTGATAGCTTTCCAGAAATTCCCAGGAACCCAAGGCCATTTAAAATACTACAAATACCCTAGATTTTCAGTATGTAAACCAACCTTGGAGTAAGACGTTCTCTTCATATTTCGCACCTTTTCTCTCATGTTTGAGTTGCTGTGTAGATTTAGCTTGAAGTTTACTAGAGTGCTTAGGAAACCGAATCTATAGTTCAATTAGAAGACTTACCAATACTGAACAAGGTTTAGACTTGATGTGTGGGCGAGAATGACAGTGATTGGTTGTCTCGATGAGTCAGACATTAGAGGGGATGACAGGTGTTATATGTGTTATATATATTCCCCTATCGTTATTATGTATTGACTGTTCCTTGTTGATGGACACTTATTGATTGACTGTTCTTTGTGTTGGATTTTAGTGTGGAAATATATTGACGTTATAGTCAGGCTAATCTCGTGTTCTTGATCTGAGTTCTGTTGAAGTCCTGTAGAATAGACACTGGGTGGGAATCTAGTGTAGATATTCGTCTAAGATAAATTAACGTCCCACATAAGTGTAAGAAGTAAAAGGACTGTTATAACAAGAACCCCTACTGTTATAACCAGCATCCTCTCCTTTACGTTTATAACAATTAGCGACGGCATACATACGTTATAACAAGACTACTCACACATTACAAATTTGAGTAGAGTCTTATCTCCTCATCTTAATACAATCAAACGATTTAACCACATATGTTTGTTTTAATCCATTACGCCAAGCTAAGTCAGTAGAAGCATATACAGTTTCGTCGCAATGGAGTAAGCAAGATATAAATATTGGAGGACTACTATGAATAATTATTTTTATGGTTAGCGTTTTTAATAATTCTTCGAGATGCTGACAAACTCAACAAATTCAACATAGCCCTCAGCAATAGGTTCCAGGCCTTTCATGATCTACTCAATGGAGAGGGAACTACCATGGAGAGCAACTGGAAAAGTATCAAGGAGGAAATCGTTTCAACATGTCAGGAGGTTCTGGGCCAAAAGAAGCACCATCACAAGGAATGGATCACTGTTGGTACACTGGATAAGATTGAAGCAAGGAGGAACAAGAAGGCAGCAATCAATATCAGCCGAACCAGAGCGGAAAAAGCCAAGGCACAAGCCGAATACACAGAGGCAAACAAGCAAGTGAAGAGGAGCATCAGAACCGACAAACGTAAATATGTGGAAGATTTAGCAACGACAGCGGAAAAGGCTTCAAGAGAGGGAAACATGAGACAACTGTATGATACAACAAAGAAACTTGCTGGAAATTACCGTAAACCAGAAAGACCAGTGAAAAGCAAGGAAGGCAAAGTAATCACCGACATTGAAGAACAACGAAACAGGTGGGTAGAACACTTCAAAGAACTCTTGAATCGACCAGCTCCACTGAACCCACCCAACATCGAAGCAGCACCCACAGACCTCCCAATCGATGTTGGCCCGCCAACAATTGAAGAGATCAGCATGGCCATTAGACAAATCAAGAGCGGCAAAGCAGCGGGACCAGACAACATCCCGGCAGAGGCACTGAAAGCAAATGTAGCAGCAACTGCCAAGATACTTCACATCCTCTTCAGTAAGATTTAGGACGAAGAACAAGTACCAACAGACTGGAAAAAAGGACTTCTGATCAAGATACCAAAGAAAGGTGATCTTAGCAAGTGCGGCAACTACAGGGGCATCACTCTTCTCTCAATACCAGGAAAAGTCTTCAACAGGGTATTGTTAAACAGGATGAAGGATTCCGTGGACGCCCAACTTCGAGATCAACAAGCTGGATTTCGTAAGGATAGATCGTGCACAGATCAAATCGCAACTCTACGTATCATTGTGGAACAATCAATCGAATGGAATTCATCACTCTACGTCAACTTCATCGACTACGAGAAGGCATTTGATAGCGTGGACAGGACGACACTGTGGAAGCTTCTTCGACACTACAGCGTGCCTGAGAAGATAGTCAATATCATACGGAACTCCTATGATGGACTAAACTGCCAAATCGTCCACGGAGGACAACTCACCGACTCGTTTCAAGCAAAGACCGTTGTTAGGCAAGGTTGCTTACTCGTACCCTTTCTCTTTCTCCTGGTGATCGACTGGATCATGAAGACGTCAACGACTGGAGGAAATCACGGGATACAGTGGACAGGCAGGATGAAACTTAACGATCTATGCTTTGCGGATGATCTGGCTCTTCTATCACAAACGCAACAACAAATGCAGGAGAAAACGACCAGTGTAGCAGCAGCCTCAGCAGCAGTAGGTCTCAATATAAACAAAGGGAAAAGCAAGACTCTCCAATACAACGCAATATGCACCAATCAAATTACACTTGATGGAGAAGCTTTGGAGGATGTGGAAACCTTTACATATCTGGGCAGCATCATCGATGAACACGGTGGATCAGATGCAGATGTGAGGGCAAGGATCGGCAAAGCAAGAGCAGCATACTTACAACTGAAAAAACATCTGGAGCTCAAAACAATTGTCAACCAACACCAAGGTTAGAATTTTCAATACAAATGTCAAGACAGTTCTATTGTATGGGGCGGAGACGTGGAGAACTACGAAAGCCATCATCCAGAAGATACAAGTGTTTATTAACAGTTGTCTATGCAAGATACTTCGGATCCGATGGCAAGACACTATGAGCAACAAGCTACTGTGGGAGACAACAAACCAGATTCCAGCGGAGGAAGAAATCAGGAAGAGGCGCTGGAAGTGGATAGGGCACACTTTGAGGAAAGCACCCAATTGCGTCACAAGACAAGTCCTCACATGGAATCCTGAAGGTCAAAGGAGAAGAGGAAGACCAAAGAACACATTACGTCGAGAAATAGAGACAGACATGAGAAGAATGAACAAGAACTAGATAGAACTAGAAAAGAAGGCCCAGGACAGAGTGGGTTGGAGAATGCTGGTCGGCGGCCTATGCTCCATTGGGAGTAACAGGCGAAAGTAAGTAAGTAAGTAACTATGAATAATTGAAAGCATGAGTCAATTGAAGCTAGACCATCATGAAAAATCTGGAAGCACTGGACGGCCGTTTCGTCAAATTATGGGATTCCCCAGCAGTCTGTCGGTCTATCGGTTAAGTGCTCTGGCGCGAGACTGGTAGGTCCTGGGTTCGAATATCGCGAGTGTGGGATCGTGGATACGCACTGCCGAGGAGTCCCACAATAGGACGAAACGGCCGTCCAATGCTTTCAGGTTTTCGATGGTGGTCTAGCTTCAATTGACTCATGATTTCAACTATGGAAATACTGAAATCTCCACAAAACCCTTTCTGATCTATAACGTTATTCATTAATTTGAAGTGTAATTATCTAATCTTTCGTGTATTTCACTTTCTAAAAGTAACCATTCAACAATGATCTATCTCAAATATTAAACACAATAATTAGAAAGCATACCACTTAACGATTCTTTATTAATACTCCTTTCTCTATTAGATCTTTGCTCTCTGGGGACCTGTTATAATTTCTCTTATTACAATCCATCTATTCCTATTGTTTAGTATTCCTGGACACCAATTCACTCGAAAAGTCGCTAAATCAGAACACGGTTAAACAGGAAAGAAATTATATTCCGAATAACATGGGGTAGATGAAGTAATAAGCACAATAAGAAATACGTTAGTATATTTATAGTTTTTACATGAGAAGATCCTAGAATCTTCTCCAAGCGTCGACTAGCGCTAATTGCATAAGTATTGGCCAATCAACGTGCATCAACACAATTGTGCATGAAACATTCTTTAATCTAATCTATGTCCTGCTAACAGGATCATTTCACCTATTTCTACAACTTTTCAATATATTCAAACCTAAACCATAAATTTGATAAGATATCAGAGCATACTCCTTAACAGTAATGGTATCATTGCAATGAAATCATTTTGGTTGTATTCATTTAAGCTGATGAACAGAATACAAAGACGAAATGTAGCATCGTCTTTTAAAAATCAAGCCTCGAACAATGGAAACATGAACCTGTTCTGATGGATTTTTTAACTAACAAGAATGATATCTTAAAACGTACCCGTCTTCTCACAGACATTTATATTCACTTGATTGCTACACACATCACATGGATACTTTTATCAATCCGCTGCATCGTCGGTGCCAAATAATTAATTAGTCTATCGATCATCAGGACTTTCAATTCAGAAAAATCGAACATAAACTAACATTTATTTTTGATGGAGTTTGGTCGTGGAGGACAAGCTGTGAATCATATGTGGAGAAATTCAAACACTTCACTTCTACCTGACGTTTGTGCTGATGATGTCGTTCAGAAGGGCGATGAATGCTCCAAGACCAAACCATCCAGCTCAGAGAACAAAACTCCATCATCAAAACCACCCACCTGAGCTACAAATCTTCACTACCATCTCACTAACATTTATTTCTTTTATTTTGATTGGTTCGTCTGTATACTATACTTTCACTATATTCATATATTCATATAAACATATCAGTTTCTTTTTTTATCTCTTTTCTTCATTTATTCAAGTATCCCTCATACAACTACAAATAAGACAATCGTAAAGCATAATCGACCTCAAGCCTATTATGATACATTCGGTAAAGATGTAACATCCCAAGAAGGTTCTGTTGAATTAAGTACTTCAAATATGAAACAAATTAATATTGAACAAGTAACATATATTGGTCGTATTCAAAAAATATGCCGGGAAAATCTTCATAATGCATTACATCTATCTGAAGTAATCATAATAATAATAATAATAGTTAATGTGATTTGTATATTTCGTTAGTCATTTATCAATTAAAATATTGAAGTTATATTTCGAAGTTAGCGTTTTTTATCGAGTTCGTTTTCTACGGGATGGGGTCGCTAACCCCATGGTAATCCTCCTCCTTTACCCGAACCTGGGACCGGCAGTAGCCCTCGGAGGAGCTACAGGAGGGAAGCATCAGCGATAAACAAGGAGGATCAGATGCAGATGTCAAGGCAAGGATTGGCAAAGTAAGGGTAGCATTTCTACAATTGAAGAACATATGTAACTCAAAACAACTGTCAACTAATTTCAAAATGAGAATCTTCAATACGAAAGTCAAGACAGTCAGTTCTACTGTACGAAGCTGAAACGTAGAGAACTACTACATCCATCATCAAGAAGGTACAAGTATTTATAAACATTTGTCTGCGCAAAACATTCAACATTCATTGACCGGATACTATCAGTAACAGCGTTTTGTGGGAGAGGACAAACCAGCTTCCATCTGAAGAGGAAATTAGGAAAAAACGTTGGAAGTGAACAGGACATACATTAAGAAAATCACCAATGTGCATCACGTCTCAATCCCTAACTTGGAATCGAGAAGGGAAGTGGAAAAGAGGAAGTCCAAAGAACACACTACGCCGGGAAATAGAAGCAGATATGAAAAAGATGAATTTTAACTGGAAAGAACTGGAAATGAAGGCTCAGGACAGAGTTGGATAGAGAATGCTGGTGGGCAGCCTATGCTCCTCTACGAGGGGTAACAGGCGTAAGTAAGTAATATTCCAAAGTAAATAGTGCGATTAATCTTCAATTGGCAACTTCGAACCCCACTCTAATTCTTTTGATTTGAATAAAAACTTATTATCATCATCATGTAATGCCTGAAACCACCGGACGGTCATTTCGTCCTGTAGTGTGGAACTCCTCAGCAGTGTGCATACACTATCCAGCCTTGCGAGACTCGAATCCAGGACCTCCGGTCTTGTGCGTGAACATTTAACCTCTAGACCATTGAGTCGGTATCCATCGGTGTTAATGTCTAACTTCAACCAATACACGAAATTGCATAACCGTCCACCATTGTTGTGGATGCGCACCACTGTGAAGTTCCATACTAGGATGAAACGGCCGTCTAGTACTTTCAGGTTCTCCATGGTGGTCTAGCTTCAGTTGACTGATGAATTTAACTATTAAATTACTGTAATATCCACAAAGCCCTTCTCTGATTATAAATGATTTTATAAATACAGGAAACTACAAAACTATCATTTAATGATATTGAATTGACTAAAGATAACTTGAAGAATGGAAAGAAGATAGAAAGTTGACGGTAGATACTGTTGTGGATTGCCTAACCAACATCGTTGACTTTGAGTCGACTCTGATATGCTCCTATTGGTCCGCTATTTACTAACTTTCCTCAGTGTATTGATTTGAGTCTGGAACGTCAAAGCTCAGTTCCTATTATCATTATATTTCAAACATAAATCAGTTTATATACAAGCATACTGGACCATATCATACCATAGCGTGAAAAGTAACGATTATATATAAACGAGCTAAAAGTGATTGTGAATAGGGCAAACAGCAAATGATCAACTTGTAACTAAATAGAAATAATAAGTAGTACAAGAATAGGTAATATTACTAAACTAAAGCTTATAATAAACTGAATAAATATGCATAGTAATCCAGTTACTGAGTAGCTATACAATAAGCATAGATATAATAATTATCCAGAAATTAGTCCAAGGAGTTATCATTATGTCAATCTTCGTTACGATCTTGATGTAGGTTTGTTTTCTGAGCTGGATGGTTTGGTCGTGCAGCTTTTATCGTCCTTCTGAAGGACATCATCAACACAGACTTCGGGTAAAAGTGAAGTGTTCATTACGATCTATCAGATATAAAGTCGATGATTTTAAAATTAGTTCGCCTATCTCTGTAAACAAATAATTTTAGATGGTGTAAAATAACTTTTTCATTGAAATTACTCAATAGATTAAATTCACGTGATATTGTAGGTTTGAATCTTCCAATTGATGTTTATGACTGCGATTGATCAGTCTCTTATTGACATATGTGACAGAATAAACATCAAATCTGAGATGCAGGTACATTCAGCTGATGAGTATCAAACAGGACGAAAAGCGCGTCCTGGATTCCGCTGCTAGACACTATCCATCTTTGCTTATAATGTTTGTAAATTAAGGCTATATCGAGGCAATACGCTCAGTATGCATATATGCCAATAAGAAACTGATCAATTACAGTGCTAAACATTAATGGGAAGATTCAAACAAATAATACCAAGTGAATTTAAACTTCACCCCATTGCACAAGCAAGTGGCTATCAGAACTGAGTAACTGAGTAGATAAAGCAATGGTGTTTGAAGCGAAAGATACTGGATTGGAGTCCCAGAGTGAACATCAATAAGTCTGGAATGATTGCACATTCATCTGACGAGTCCCAAATAGGACGAAACGGTTATCTACTATCCATTTTTGCTTATAATACTCATTAGATTGTTTACAGTAAGCATTTTTTTTTAGTTCAAATATGCTCCATGACCTTAAGATTGTTATCTTGATCATTATTAATCAATGAAATTAGTGTTTTTCAAAACATCTTTACCGTAAAAGTTTAATCAGAATATGTTTTTGTCCACAGAACTCTTAGCTTCTTTGTGACATGCTTCCATAAACATGATCTTGAAACTGATTCTTAATGGTAGTGTTAATCTTCCGTTGATGTTAATTATTATTATTATTATTGAACTATAATGCATTGGTTAATAGGACTCAGTAACAAGATGGATAAAGTGTTGCGTATTTGAAGTAAAAGGAACAGCATTTGGGTACTGGTGTGAACATCAACAATGAGATGTATCTTGCATATCCAGCTGACGAGTACAAAATAAATAAAAACGACGCATATTCTGATGAGGTTTTTTTCTTCTGAGCTGGATGGTTTAGTCAAGGAGCTTTCATCATTTCTGCTGATAATATCGTTCAGAAGAATGATAAAAGCTCCACAACGAAACCCTCCAACTCAGAGAACAAAACTCCTCCACCGACGTGAATTCCGGACTCCCTTGTTAACCGCCATGTAACACTGCTCAAAAATAGTCTATAAACATTGTACATGTATATATGTATATTTCTTTTGCTCCTAACAATTACTTCTTATTAGATTATCATATTTATTTATCAATCCAGAATTATTATCGACAAAAAGGTATTCGACAACCAACACATCCAGACATTATCAAGTCTACATTTGATGATGCTGCCAATTCGATTGTGACAAATTTAAAAACATTATTTAATGAAGCAGAATCATATCATCATTCATGTGTAAAAGGTATGCAAAAAATAATTTGATTTCATGAAATATTTTATTCAGAAGGAGATTTTTGTAGAGATTTAGTATTTTCATAGTTGAAAGGATTTGAATCTCGTGAGGTGAGGTCGTGGATGCGCACCGCCACTGAAGAATCCCACAATAGGACGAAACGGCCATCCGACGCTTTCAGGTTTTCCATGGTGGTTTAGCTTCAATTGAGTCACGCTCATTCAACTATGAAAATATTTTAATGTTAGTATAGGGAATAACTTAATGTATTATATTGATTTCCAAAGTTAGATAAAGGGATTTTTGGTGGATATTATAGTAATTTAATGGTTGAATTCATCAGTCAATTGAAGCTAGATTAACATGGCGGACCTGGACGTAAAAGACAGACGTTTCGTCCTAGTATGGAACTCCTCAGTAGTGCGCATCCACAATAATGATGGATGGTGATGCGATTTCGTGTATAGGTTGAGGTTAGACATTAACACCGTTGGACGCCAGCTTACTAGTCTAGGGGTCAAGTGTTTGTGTGCAAGACCGATAGGTTCTGGGTTGGGATGCCGCGAGGTTGCATCCAACTGACGAATCCCAAATAGGACGAAACGTGCGTCCTGGATTCCACCATCTCCGATCAATAATTATTTCTAGAAATGTAATATAAAGTATCACAGTTGTGTGTATAGAAAAAGCTCTCGAATAAGTCAATACAAACATTTCTTTAGCTAAATTAGATATTTTGCAAGTAGAGCTAGAAAGACATGTTCAAACGACACTATAAACAAGGAATTTGTGTTTATTCATAATATGTCGATTACAGTGGGTTATCTACAAGGTTTGATCAAGACGTACTTGCTTATAAGGAGCGTAAAATAGTGACATCTACAGTTGATATGAAGCCTCTTTTCCTGAAGCCACAATCCAACTGACATATAGCTTGTGATATACTATAATTGAAACTGACTAAACCGATGAAGAGAATGTTTACTGCAGTTAACGTCTGTCTATCACTCTCTAGCAGACTTATAGTGATTCCTTAACTAATGGATAGGTTATCTGGTTTTGCCACATCTATGTGTATCTACGAATTCAGCTGTTCCTGTGGAGAATACTGTATTGGATGTACAATTAGATAATTGAGCTAACGAATAAGCGAACCACTCCCTTTGTGGCTAGAAAACAATACTCAGCTCTGTGCTATGACACTTGATTGATAGAAGTCATTCAAAGTGATTTATCGTACTCCTACCAACTGGCCTTATGAGGTTCGATTCTGTCTCTTACATATAGCAGAAGTTATTGGGATTAGAGTTCATCTAATTCAAATCTATTTCAAAGATTTTACGGACTCATAAAGTGACTTGGTTAGTTTAATAGTTTCATATATTCATACAAATATCAGTGTTTTTTTAAGTAAAACCTGTCGAGGATCTCATTGGCAACAGTAATGCCTGCATATTTCTGTGTTATTTTATTCCTCGAATGTTTTCATCCTAATAACTCAGTGTGGGGTTGTGGTGATTGTTAATTTTTTGATTGAGATCATGAATCGATGAATGTTAGACCACTATGGAAAACCTGGAAACACTGGATGGCCGTTTCATTCTAGTATGGAACACCCCAGAAGTACTCACCCATGGCCCGTATACGGGAATCGAACTCAGGACCTTTAGTCTTGCGCGCGAACACTTAACCTTCAGATCACTCGGCTGGCATCCAACGGTATTAATGTCTGACTTCAACCAATCCACGAAATTGCGCGACCATCTTCTACTGACTGAGGTAGAAACCTGTCTCTCTAGCATTCATCGATTCATGATCTCAATCAAAAACTTATATATTGCTTTATTCCCCTATCAGTTATCACATGTCAAATGTGCTAATAAGAACATCGACTTCTGTGACCTTATCTCTGTGCTAAACTAATGACACATCAATCAGCACTACCAGCTTTGAGTCAACCTTGAATTTTTATTAATCCCCGATGTAGTAGTTTCTCGCTTAGCCCTGTCCGTTGAGTTCAGAACACCATCCCCACTTTTACTGTACAAAATAATATATTTCAGACAGACGTAGTTTATATATAAACAGACCAGACCGAGTAACAACATAAATTAAGCAATGACTGTTATACAAGATTAGGCCAAAAGTAGCTTTCAGTATAAGAGACGGTAACTGATAGATCGAGAATAAATTAAGAAATATAAATCGTATAATGGTAGTCAATTGGTCGAATGAAAGCTTAGTACAAAAGGAATATACATAGATATAATCTATTTACTTAATAGTCATACAATAAGAATATGTATATAATAACGGTCTATAAATGGTTTACGGAGGCCGCCGATAATTTAGTCGTCTTCGGATGCAACATTATACAATTAATGTGTCTGATGAAAACTAAGACTTTATTGGTCACTTAACGTGTGAAGATTTATATCCAGCTACATTACATCCATGAGATCAACTGATCATGTTAAAGATTTCATTCCAGCTTTGTTCAACTTGAGCTCTATCCATTGACATCTTGGATTAGGCTGGTCAACTTTCATCGTGGTCTACATTTAGTGCTTATTTATTGATCAGACAGTTGAGTTAAGTGTGTTACATGATCAAAAACTATTTAGTTTATTGATCTAGTACTTAGTCTAATATTTGTCCTATCTATCTAATTATCTAGTATATAGCGTCCAATGTAAAATCAGATCATGTGTAGAATAGAAACGTCTATTTCCTGTTTTTCTCCATTATAATAAATATTGTTTTTAAATTGTAAGCAGTTAAACAATATTCACAAACTTATAAAGATTTATTTATTTGAACACATAAATATTGGTACAAAGAGGCACCAGATATGTATGCGCCACACAAATCTCTATTGATTCGTGTGTGTGTTGTAATACTACCCCGGAGTCCGAACTGAAGAAGGTGGTTTTCTTAGATGATCCCACCCAGAGCATTTGACCTAAAGGTCTGATCCACAAGGCAACAATAAGGAGATGCAGTCCCATGGTAGCCGGTGACCAACGATTGATGCATACGCCATTTGTTCCTTCAGGATACTGGAGTCAGCCCATGTGCACCAATGGTTTGGAATCAGTGTTTCCCAACTCCCTTAGATGGATTCGTCGTGTCGACCAACCCGGTTAAAGCGCCGTACATTCGCTTTTCTTTCTCTCAATGTCGTAAACAACAGTAGTGCCACGAAAAGACTGAATAGGACTTCCCTGACAGAGGCTATATACGTGTGGCCATGCGAGAGCATTTGGAGAGGGAGAGCCGACTCTCCCCACCCTCAGCCATACCAAATCATTTGAATACCACAAGTATTTGGAGTTTGACAACACTTTAACCAGTAATACCTTCTAGAATTAAAACAATGTCAACCTATTGAAATCAGAAACAACGTGGTTTAATATATTGAGAATTAATTAATTTAAACTGGCTATTAGTTGTAAGAGAAGTTCAACACAGCATATCCACTAATGATCTGATGTGGATACATAACCGAACACCTTCAGCTAGATGAGTTCATTAAAACTAATGTGGTCACCATCAGTATTATTATTACTATTACTAATGTATATATCTATATTATCTATTATCTCTAGAATTTTCTCAACAATTAAATCAAATTGAATATTTAGCAAGTCAATTACCTTATTTATTATTTCAAGAAATGTTAAATGAAATGAAATTCTATTTATTACAAGAAATTAATAAACATCAAATTAGAATTCAATTAGATTTAAATAAATTAAATGAATTACGGGTAAGTCTTTTTTTAAAAAGATTTTGTTTGTTTCATTTTCAATTGTTGAAAGTGTGAGTTAATTAAAGCTAGACGACCAGGAGAAATCTGGAAGTACTGGACGGTTATCTCGTCCTATTATAGAACTCCTCAGTGGCAGTGAGTATCCACGATCCCGTCTCATAAGATTCGAACTCAGGACCTACCAGTCTCGTGTCAGAGTACTTAACCGATAGACCACTGAGCCGGTCGGCATCCAACGGTGTTAATGTCTAACTTCAACCAATACACGATTTCGAGGGACCGTTCACCAATTGCCTTCAGTGAGTTGATATCTCTACAACAGACTTAGTTGAACTCCACTGGTTACTGCTTCCCACTAGAAACGGCCGTCCAGTGCTTCCAGGTTTTCCATGATGGTCTAGCTTCAATGAACCCATGATTTCAACTATAAAATTACTGAAATCATACCAAACCCCCTTCTGAAAATTGGACATAGGCAGCACAATATTCCCACACAAACGCATACACAAAGCTACCTGGATCTCGCCGGACGACACCACAGAGAACCAGATATATCATATTCGTATCACTAAAAAAATACTAACTGGACCAATGACTCATAAACTCGTATGAGCAGTCTAGACTCCTTATCGGTCTTTCTTCATGACTATCCCTGCCTGTCTGTTGAGTCCAGAATACCAATCTCATCCTCTGTGATATGAATCATGTATTTCAAGCATACTGGGTATATATATATATATATAAACCAAACAGACCACATCATACCAGAAAATAGAAAATAACATTTGTACAACATCAAGCCAAAAGTGGGTGTGATTAAAGGAGACCGTAACTAATAGACTGAGTATAACTCAAGAACTGTAAATCGTATAATAATAGTCTATGGATCAAAATAAAGCTTATAATAAGAGGGACATGAATATGCATAGTTTAGTTACTTAGCAGTTATACAATATAAAAAAATATCTGTATAGTATTAATCCATAAATATATCTCAACAGTTACCACTCATAATTCTCATCGGGATATAACATGGATAACTATGGATGTATGTATTCCAATACTGTCTATCTGGCATTCAATTTTAACGGTAAACATCATCGACCCCTTCTACACAGTAGATAAAATATTTAATTCATGAAACCCACAGTATTCATCTATTGTTTCACAACAGAAGAGATAAGAAAATTACCCTGAATATTATAGTGTTTCGGGGAGACTATAATTTATGGATAAACCAATCAGATTTAAGATAACATATCTTGGAATTTTGCCCAAAATTCATTTATCCATTTGGCTAAATGAAGTTTTATGATTTTAGCTGATTTCAGTTCATCAATGGAAACCCTAACCCTAATCATCAACTGTAAATCATAATTCTGATTCCACACACAGGTTTATAACCCTTATCTAATACATGTTAGTAGGTTGACATTTTTAAAGTCACTCTAGCATCGCCCAAAGGTCGTCCGCAAATGACAGTCTCGCCGATGTTCACAGTTATATGTCATGGTATTTAACATCATGACGAATTGTGAGCTTTTAATTTGTTTAAAAAAAGCCTGAACACTTTGTACAAAATAGATACCTAATTACTCTGTTAAAACAAAGATGAACCATGAAAGTTTGTAACTGTAATATCGATTGCCGATGGTCCGAATCTCACTCGAGAATTGGTTCTCTCTTAATTCCCAACTGCCTTCAACCAATTATTATTGAATCACTTAAACTAATTCCAACATTATAGTTTCATCTATAGAAATTGATTTACACTATTTATTTGAACACATGAATATTGGTACAAAGGGGCACTAGATACATGTGTGCCACACAAGTTACTTATTTTGTGTGTAGGCTGTGATACTACCCGGGTATCCAAACCGGAGCAGGTGGTTTTCTTAGGGGACCACACACGGAGCCTTTGACCTTGAGGTCTGATCCACAAGGCAGTAGAGCATCGTGAGGAGATGCAGTCCTATGGTAGCCGATGACTGACGATTGATTCATACGCCATTTGTTCCTTTAGGATCCTGAAGCCCATGTGCACTATTGGTTTGGAATCAGGGTTCTCCAACTCCTCTAGGTCGACCTTTCTAATGACATAAATACAGACTATTGTTTTCATCATTAAAAGATTACTTTGTTTATTATTGTATTTTTATTACAGATTAAATATAGTGATCAACTTCGACCAGAACTTTGTAACCTTAGCAACCAACATCAACTCATCACATTATTAAAACAAGAGAATGAACGTCAAATAAATCTTGTCAAATTATTATATAAATTAAAAACTATTAAATCAAAAATTATATATAAAGGTAGACAATTATTTAGTCAACGTTTATCCAATCTAACCGATTATTTATTTATTCGATTTGATAGTCTTATTGGTTCTGATCAAATTGATAATCCAGGTAATTTTATCATTCAAAATTTAGAATATAGTTTTATCATTAATAATCTTCATCGTGAACTTTTATTAGTTATAATTGAAAGCGTGAGTCAATTGAAGCTAGACCATCATGGAAAACCTGGAAGCAATAGACGGTCGTTTCGTCCTGTTATGGGACTCCTCAGTGGCAGTGTTCATCCACGATCCCGCATTCACGAGATTCAAACCCTGGACCTTTGTGGATCAGTTGAAGTTATTTATTTTATTTTATTTAAACACATAAATATTGGTACAAGGAAGCACCAGATATATATGCGGCCTGCTTGAATCCCTGGGCTACCTGTTTCTGCCATCTAAATATTTCAACAAGTTATCTGGGTTTTTTAAAAATTGGTTTTAACCTATCATTATGTCTCTTGATCGCATAACCTATACAGGCGCGTTTATGAAAAGCTTACGTCCTTTCGCTGCAAAAATTACAAACAAGTACAATAAGAGACATTGTGGTGTTTGGCAATATGCTTTAGAGAGAATAAACATTAATCAAATGTCGATTCCCGAGCTGCTTAACTCTAACTGTCGATCTCTAATTAACAAGGTGGACTATCTCCAATTTCTGCTAAGTCAAAACATGTATCGTAATTGTGGTGTCATCACAATTCAAGAATCTTGGTTGACTGACTTACAGGATGATTGCCTAGTATCATTACGTGATCTTAATATCTATCGTCAGGATCGATCAAACAATAAAAAGACCTGTGGTGGCGCAGTAGCTACTGGGTTTTTTTTGTTTTGTGTTTTTTTTTTGGTAAAAAAACTTGTTGAAATAACTCGTGCTGAGAATTCTATATTGTACCAGATTATAATATTGAATAAAGCCATTAATTATTATTATACAAATCTCATTCGATTTGCTTGAGGGCTGTGATATTGCCCAGGTGCCCAAACTGAAGCAGGTGGTTTTACTAGGGGACCACACACGGAGCCTTTGACCTAAAGGTCTGATCCACAATGCAGTGAAGCATCGTGAGGAGATGCATTTCCATGGTAGCCGGTGATCAACGATTGATTCGTACGCCATTTGTTCCCTCAGGATACTGGAGTCAGCTCATGTGCACCATTGGTTTGTAATGAGGGTTTTCCAACTCCCCTAGGTGGACGCGCCGTGTCGACCAACCCTGTTAAAGCGCCGTACATTCACTTTTCATCCTCTCAGTTTCGTAAACAACAATAATGCCACGAGAAGGCAGTGAGTAGGACTTCCCTGGCAGAGGCTAAATATTCGCTGGCCATATGGGAGCATTTCGAGAGGGTGAGCGGACTCTCCCCACTCTCGGCCGTACCAGGGCATTTGAAGTTAGACATTAACACTGTTGGATGTCGACCGGATCAGTGGTCTATCGGTTAAGTGCTACGGCGCGAGACTGTTAGAACCCGGGTTCGAGTCTCGTGAGTGCGGGATCGTGGATGCGCACTGCTGAGGGGTTCCATAATAAGACCAAACGGCCGTTCAGTGCTTCCAGGTTTGCCCTGGTGGTCTAGCTTCAATTGACTTACGCTTTCAACTATGAAAATATTGAATCTCCACAAAACCCCTTCTTTTATTGTTTAGACAAACATACGAAACTGGGAACCACTAGATATTTGTTTTGTCCTAATATAGAACTCTTTAACATAGAGTATGTACAACGCAACTAGTGACTGAACCTGAGATCTAGAAGTTTCGCGGCAAGTAATTAACTGTTATGCTTTAAACTAAATCGATTCCGCGGTAACGAACGAAAGCCAATGACTCAATGACACGATAAGCTATTCTAATCGGTTGTCCCAGGCCCCGCTAACTAGATGAAGAAGTCCAAGGCAAGTAGGGGAATATATATATTCCGTAAGCAGCAGAGTACAAGCAATCGAATAATGGAAAAAGTCAAGCGCATTTATACAACAACAATTTGTCATTGAGCATCATTGGTAAATAGCACACACAAAGAAACAATGGACCAATAGCGTTTAAGATAGTTTACAGGTGGGAAATATGACGTGAACGTAAAAAGAGCGCGTTTCGCGCGAAAACAGCTAAATTCAAATTTTCAAAATAAAACTACAAGATTAAGCCATTTACCAAGTAAGTTCTGGGGATTTGACATCCCCAACATTAACCTTCAGACTACTAAATTGATATCGTACGGCCTAAATATTTTGATTTTAGTCAATTCGTGATTTGATTCATTCTCACATCAGATCAATCAAATAATTATCATCTTTAAAAAAGGTCATAAATGAAAGTTAATTTTTTTGATGAATCGATTATTGATTTTATAGTTGAATTCATGAGTCAATTTAAGCTAGACCATCGTGTAAAACCTGAAAGCACTGGACGTCCATTTCGTCCTATTGTGGGACTCCTCAGCAGTGCGCATCCACGACCTCGCAATCGCGAGATTCGAACCCAGGACCTAACGAGCACCTAATCTCAAGACTACTGAGCCTGCATTCAACTAAAATTACTAAAATTTCCACAAAACCCCTTATGATAATAATCATATGCTCAATAGTGACTGGCTTCAAGAGATATTTCCTGGGATTCTAGTGAGAAGCAGTGACCAGTGGAGTTGAACCGGATCTGTTGTGAGATAGTAACTCACTGAACACACTGGTGGACGGTTACTCGATTTCGTTGATTTGTTGAAGCTAGACATTAGCACTGTTATATGCTGGCTCAATGGTGTAGAGATTAAGCGCTCGCGCGCGAGACTGATAGGTTCTGGGTTTGAATTTCGCATGCGGGATCGTGAATGTGTGCTACTGAGGAGTCCCACAATGCGATGAAACGGTCGTCCAATGCTTCCAGATTTTCCATAGTGTTCTAGCTTCAACTATAAAATTACTGAAATCTCCACAAAACCCTTTCTGATAATCGATTATTGTTTTACATTTTACTTTTCATAAACTAAAAATGCGTTAATTATGGATGAGATATAAAGCTTTATATCAACAATGTATTAGCTGTATATCTATTGAAACTTACAAATTGTGCCACGATGTGATCTTGTAACTCACTTATATAATCACACGAGTTGCAAAGCTATTTATGATCATTCATCTAGAATCCTGTTATTCTTATCAGAGATTTACGAACATAAGTATTTGTGTGATCTAAAGATGTGTGACGAATGCAGATAATTAGGATAAATTCCTGTTAATAGAGTAAGTAAGAGTATAGTAATTCATTCATCAATATCATACTATTATGCTGAAGGTTATCCAGTATACAATAGTTTAAGTCAGCTACAACGTAAGACCAGGCACATATATGCATCGGTCCAAGTTGCCATTTCTCATTAGCACAAAAAGATGAACACCAAATTCATAGTAGTTAATTTAGTGGTGATAGTCTATAAAAGAAAGGTTGTATATAAGGATATAATGTAAGAAGAAAGTTATGAAGTGATTTTAATCTCAAGGTTTAAGGGAGGATAAAGAGTGTATACACCGACGCCATTGTGATCGGTTCTGAGCCATATCACCTAGAGTCTCCAACCATTGGTTACGATAGTCATGCGGACCCCAACCAAGTAGTCTGCATCTACCAACATGGCTCAAACCAGAAGTTAATGACTTCAAGCACTGATGCCACGTTTTGGTCTAGCCGTCCCTAACTCTCTTCCAGTCATCCCCAATACTAGTCAGCATCGTAGTAATTGGTGTTCAGGCATACGGAACAGGTGGCCGAAACATATCAATCGACGAAGGTTCACAACTTCATCAAATGACTTACGCTTCACAAACATTCTTGCATTGTTACTCAATGCTACCAAAAGACTTTGCATTTTGTCAGCGTCTTCACCAAACAGGACTATGTCATCTGCGTATTCTAAGTCGATAAGTTGACCTCCTGGTAGCAGATCAATTTCTGAAAATTCAGTCGACGAGAGTGTTATTTCCAGCAGTAGGTCTATAATGAAGTTCAACAAAAATGGAGATAGTGGATAGTCTCGCCGGAAACCACTTAAAGTTGTAAAATCAGATGAAAGTTCGCCATAAGCTCTAACTTGATTGGTAATGTTCAAGTAAAGAGGAATGCTTTTCCTGGAGGAATACACTAGCAAAGACCTGCGAAGAATTCTTGGTTGAGTGAAATAGTCGAAGTTAAAAGTACATATATATATATATATATATATATATATATATATATATATATATATATATATATTATTCAATGTAACATTCTTCAGAAATGTCGGCAATTGTAGACACGTATGAAAGATTATCTTGTCCTCTATTATTGTTCGCAGTAATTTGAAGACTCAGATTTTTAATAAGTAGGTTAATACCTGTTCTCCCTCGTCGTAGCTGCCACATTGATTTGATGATAGACTTTGCCTATCATGATGATTCAATTGAACTTTATTAGTTGGAATATCCATCCCTTTTACATCCTGCTACTTTTAGTAGGTCTGTTTAAAGACAATAAGACTAAAAACAATCAATCCTAAGATCTCAAAGTGAATTCTTACTATCAAATGTATCTGTTCTTTTCTTCTTCTATTTTGTTTGTTCTTTCACAAAACTTTCTCAAATTAGACAATGATGTTGATAATGATGATCCTCTTAAATCAAAGAATCATATATTAAACAAATCATCTACTTTAGATAAAGATCATATATCTACAAAGATTAAAGAAGAAGATCTAGATCGTGGTAAACGAACATGGGAAGGTGTACAATTTTCGGAACCTATCAATACAAATTTGAACAAATCAAAGGAAAAACAATCATCATTATTAAAACCTTCACGTAATACCAATAGTAATACTATTGAATTAAATGATACTAATCAAAATGAGAATTATTGTATAGTTAGTGCTAAAACAACAAAAGCACATAGATCAACATTGAAATATCGTGATATTACTGTTGAGGTAAGTTTATTCTATTTTATATAGTTGAGATCATGAGTCAATTGAAACTAGACCACCATGGAGAATCTGGAAGCACTGGACGGCCGTTACGTCCTATCGTGGGACTCCTCCTCAGCGGTGCTTATCCACGATCCCGCTTCTCGAAATTCGAACCCAGGACCTACCAGTCTCGCACTAGAGCACTTAACCGATAGACCACTGAGCCGACACCCAAAGTTGTTAGTGTCTAACCTCAACCAATCCACGAAATTGTGCAACCAACTTCCATTGTGTGTTCGTGTGTGTTATAACTTGTGACCACCTCGAGGCTCCTTTTAATGTAGAACGAGATAATACCACCTATTAGAGAGCAGTGATTTATCGATCGGACTAATGACAAACGAAACCCGTACGAGAAGTCTATAGTACTTATCGGTCCTGCTTTCTGCCTAGTCCAACCAATTAAGTCCAGAACACCAATCTCAGCCTCTGCAACATGAATCGATATATTTCAAACATACTGGGTTTATATACAAACCAAACGGACCACATTGTACTATAAATTAGAAAATACACATTTGTACAAGATTTTGCCAAATGTAGCTGTGAGCAAGGAAGATAGTAATTGATAGACTGGACATAACCCAAGAATGGTAAGTCGTATAATAATAGTTCATAAGTCAAAATAAAGCCTATAATGAGAGGGACATGAATATGAATAATTTAGTTACTTAACAACTATACAATAAAAATATATGCATAGTATTAGTTCATAAATGGATCCCAAAGTTACTATTCACTACTCTTATCGGGACATAACATTTTGTAAAACACTATTCATAGTAAACAACCTCAAAGTGTATTACTGCTAAAATCTTACATATGATACCATTACATGTCTATCTTTAAATGTTTAGACATTAACGACGCTAGATTACAGACAAAATAGTACACTCAAAAATGCCCAAGTAAGACCAAAGATGGGAAGAGTCAGCTCTCATATGGCTACGTGTATACGCCCAGTCTAAGCGAAGTCCTACTCACTGCCTTCTCGTGGCGGTGTTGTTTACGAAAGTGAGAGGACAAAAAGTTAATGTCTAGTGGGAGGGGCTTAAATCCAGTTTGTGGGTATGGAGGATCCATCTAGGAGAGTTGGAAAACCTTGATTCCGAACCAATAGTGCACATGGACCCCAGGATCCTGAGGGAACAGATGGCGTACGAAGCTATTCTTGGTCACCGACTACTATGGGACTGCATCTCCTTGCGTCGCTCCATTGCCTTGTGGATTGAACCTCTAGGTGAAAGGTTCGAGGAGTGGCCATCTAATAAAACCACCTGCATCTGTTTGGGCACCTGGGCAGTGTCCTAGCACTCACAGAAACCAAACGATTTGTATGGTGCATACATATTTGGCGCCTCCTTATACCAATGTTTCTGTCAAAGTAAATAAAACAAATATCAAGTGATATCGATTAACACTGGATCAGTGTGTGTGTGTGTACATACTCCGACCGTCGCTGCTACCTTGACGTGATCGGGCTTGCCTATCGTGATGAACCAATCGAGCTATACTGGCTAAAACAATCTTTCCTCAAGGTCCTACCATGCCAGACAGGTTGGTCGAGGAGCGGTAAGACTAAAAGCAGCAAACCCAAGGTCCGAAGGCGAAGTCGTAATGCTGACTGTACAGAGGTGTGACAGCAGTAAGGTGTTTCCTTCAGACAACCAGCATAACAGCGTTGCTGCCTTCCCACAAGGAGGGGTGGGGTTAGAAAAGGTAGACCCTGTTATATTTTTGACCTAGACTGTAGCCAATTGTTATGACTTGATCAAGGTCGTCGCTGATTCGTTATGACCTTACGAATTTAACAAGGACGTAATCCGCGTAGATTATCCACCAATAGAATACGCCTTCTACGACCCTCACACTGTGACAATGACGTTCGATTAGTATGAGTAATCTAGCGTCCTTATTGGCCCTTATCCGCCTAACCCGTCCACTTGAGTCCAGAACACCAATAACAGTTGCTGTAATGCGAATCGTTTATTTCAAGCATACTTTATCTATATACCAGACAGGCAGACCACACCATAAAATAGAAAATAATATTTGTACAAAACCAGGCCAAATGAGGCTGTAAGCGTGGGAGACAATAATCAATAAAACTGAGCATAACATAGGGACAGTAAATCATATAGTAATAATCAAAAGGTCAAAATAAAGCTTAGATAATCTAGTTACCGAATAGTTATACAATAAGATTAATAGTCCAATAGTAGGTCCTGCAAGTTACCCGTACTTATGTCTTCGCTACTACATAACAGACCCTAAAAATGCACATCTCGCCTTATCCCACGGATTTCCGTCTCCGGCGGTAAGGTCCTTTGAAGAACGAAGCTAACACGTCAAAAATCCCCCACAAAAAGGCCGTGAGTGATCGGCCTCAAGCAGTTGTCCCTTGCGTACTGAGGTTACGCTCTCAGGTCATTAAGACCACTTCTAACCCAATTTCCTTTTCAGGTACCTATAGTAGAACCCTTCCACGGTGTGGGCAACCGGGAAGTGATATTAGCCCTCTTACCCGTAACTGCACACAAGACCAAGGCGGTCACATTCAAATCCTTCCTACACCTGCTAATAACTCTCTTATCTCCACGACTAACCCTTCTCACATCCGCTAGGGCAAACGATTCGACTACACGGAACGTCTCCTAAAACCATGCTCTATACTACATATAGGAGCTTTTAATATCCGTGTGTAAATACTGTTCTGAAGAATCTAAAACTAGAATAAAACATACTCGTCTAATGACTGCCAAGTTTTCTTTTCTTTCTTAATAATTGGTGTCATGTAAATTAACTCCAAGTAACTATTTTTTAAAATTTTTTCTCCTGTTTTGCTGTTGCTCATATTACTATACAGGAATTTCAATTATTCACTCAAAATTTATTAGAATTTATAGAAATGGAATATACTAGTGCAATAAAAGATAATGAAGAATATAAACAACAATGGATAGAAAGTGTAAATCTCTTGACAAAACTTAATTGAATCATTAAAAATCAGTGGATTATTGATTGTATATCATTTTATATATATGATGATAATGATGATGATGATAGTAGTATATTCAGTATACTTTCTATTTGAAAAATTCTTTTTAGTAACATTATTATTATTATTTAAACACATAAGTATTTGGGGTGGGGGACCATGACACTACCCAGGTGCCCAAACCGAAGCAGGTGGTGTTCTTAGGGGACCACAACCGGAGCCTTTGATCTAAAGGTCTGATCAATAAGGCAGTGCAGCATCGTGAGGAGATGCAGTCCTATGGTAGTCTGTTACGAACGATTGATTCATACGCCGTTTGTTCCCTCAGGATACTGGAGTCCATGTGCACCATTGGTTTGGAATGAGGGTTTTCCAACTCCCCTAGGTGGATCCTCCATATCCACCAACCCGGTTAAAGCGCCGTACATTCACTTTTCATCCTCTCGATTTTGTAAACAACAATAATGCCACGAGAAGGCAGTGAGTAGGACTTCCCTGGCAGAGGCTAAATATTCGCTGGCCATATGGGAGCATTTCGAGAGGGAGAGCGGACTCTCCCCACTCTCGGCCGTACCAGGGCATTTGGGGGCCAAGTTAGCATAGTAACAGTACCAAACCCACTATACAAGTGAAAGGAGTGAAATGAGTAAAAAGATATCATTGGTAAATTGTAATATGCTCAAATAACAGCATATATATATATATATATTCTTTGGCTCCAACAAGTTACGAATACTCAGCGACTGTATTCGATTATTAATATCCCCTGAAAGATTGCTCATAATTACTGATGATACCATAAAACTAATGCCAAGATCCAGCAACGTGTGTTCGAGAACAGCGATAATATTTCGGTTAGTGTTAAGATCTTGAAATACCAGTATACTTTGCAAATTTTGACCCACTAGTTTCTACAGTCTCCATAAACCCCTTGTTTGTTGCTTATTATAGTTTTAAAAAAGTAACTCAACCGAACACTTTCGATACATTTATTTCACAAACACATTAAGTCAGTGAATTCAATTGGTTGGTCAGTTCAATAAGTCAAAATTAAGAGATAGGCTATAAAAAAAGAAGCCCTCATAAAGATACAATAGATATATACAGTATTATCACACACACACACAGTTAGTTCAAAACTAGACAATATGATAAACATGGACTCGACTAAGAATAAATCGTTGAAGAAGAGATAAGGCAGAGTAGAAAAATAAAGTCAGATTGTCAAAAGTTATTCAGGATTGTAAAATACATAAATACTACTTCCTCAGTTGATAAAGATCACAGATAGAGACTTTATAACCTGCGTCTTTCAACTTTCTGTGCCCTTTTGTTGGCTGTCTGACGACGTTGATCAGCTTTTTCGAGTTGGTGTTTACGTTGTTCAAGATTCTCCTGACGTTGTTTAGCAGCATTTAAAGAGGCTGCCTTCCGAAAATTAATTTCACTTTCTATGACACGTTCACGATTACGTCCGCCTTCAGGTAGAACAATATCTTGTTTAAGAAAGTGTGAAACCGAAAACAACGATGTTAAGGTTATGGACACATGAAACTCGACAATAAGAAATGAAATGTGCAATTAGAAAAAAAAACATTTTAGAAGCACTTGAAAACCAGGGAGCATTCGAAAGACTTTTCATCCAATTTTATGGCTCAACAATCAGAAACCTGCAAGTGACAGAACCCGGGACCTTGGGGCTTGATGGAAAATGAACCTATAGTCTGAAGAAACCCAGAACAAATATATCGTCTCATATGGGACCCATTTGAATTTGTCTGCGTTTCAGTGTTGATGTTCACATTTATACTCAAACCCAGTACTTATTGATATAAAAGGCAATGCCCTGTTGATTCATTTGCTTAGGATACACATATCCCCCTCAAGAAAAAAGAATTCGGCCCTAAACATCAACAACGGATAATTCTAACTCTCACAGAAAAACACTCTGCTCGTGAAGCACTTTAGTGGCAATATCAGTCAGTCAGTCACAACGTAGAACCTCGTACGTACGTACATCAGTTCGAGTTGTCATACCACATTAGCACAGAGATGAAGTTGTCGATTCAAATCCCATAGTGGTAGAAGTAGTAAGAGTATAAGCAGTAATCCGAAAGGTTAGGGTTTGAAAGTGTTATTCAAGGAGTCTAATATAGTGAAATAAATTTGGAAAGAAAAAAAGATAGGGACATAAGGAATTCAGAAGATTAGAATTTGGTATAATACAAAGGGTGAATACACCTTCGCCATTGCAAACGATTTCGAGCCATGTCATTCAAGGTCTCTAACCATCGGTTGCTATCATCTCGCGAATCCCAACCAGGTAGTCTACACCTACCAACATGGCTCAGTTCAATTGTCAGTGACTTCATCGATTTGTGCCATGTTTAGATCTGGTCGCCCCTAGCTTTCTTTCAACCTACAAGGGATGGCAATGTAGATCCTGTAGTTCAGCGGACAATATGTCGGTGTTGAAAAGGAAAGATATTGGGCTTGGCTTGAGTCTCTATATGAAAATCAATTCTAGAATGCAAATGCTTCCGTCCAACGAGTCCCAAATACGACGAAGTCTGCATTTTAAATTCTGCTGTTAGCTACAATCCACATATATCATAACTATGTGGTACAATCACTTAAGCACTGAGTTTCACTCATTAAGGGATAACAGATTAAAACTTACGACACTCCTGTTACTCTGAAAGGCCCGTCAATATCTCTAGTGTATGTATTACTTTGTCTGTGAGATGTGATCTTGATACAAATTTTTGCTAAAAAAAACTACTTAGACAGTCGTTTTCAACAGAGTTGACAAAATGACTCGGCAGATCACATACATATACCCAGATTTTAAGTTTTCTTTTGAAGTCAATCAAGAACATTCATTCATTAATTTAAACACATGCATATTGTCACAAAGAGGCGCCAGATACATATGCGCCACACAAATCTCATTTAATGTGTAAGGGCTGTCACACTGCCCAGGTGTCCAAACCGAAACAGGCGATTCTTAGGAGGCCACAAGCGGAGCCTTTGATCTAAGATCTGATCCACAATGCAGTGAAGCATCGTGAGGAGATGCAGTCCCATGGTATCCGGTGACCAACGATTGATTCATACGCCATTTGTTCCCTCAAGATACTGAAGCCCATGTGCACCATTGGTTTGGAATGAGAAATTTCCAACTCCCCTAGATGGACTCGCAGTGTCTACCAACCTGGTTAAAGCGCCGGACATTTGCTTTTTGTCCTCTCGATTTCGTAAACAGCAGTAACGCCACGAGAAGGCAGTGAGTAGGACTTCCCTGGCAGAGGCTATATACGCGTGGCCATATGGGAGCATTTCGAGAGGGAGAGCGGACTCTCCCCACTCTCGGCCGTACCAAGGCATTTGGGGGCCAATCAAGAACACTCTACATGGCTGACCAAACTGAAGAAGTGGAATGGTGTTCGTAATTGTTTGAACACAGTGATAGAAATTTAAATATGACAACCATTAAGTTGAGGAAGACATGAGATCAACTAATCTTATACTCATACATTACATAGATGTGTACTAAACTGGATACATTCAAAAGCTGTAAGTCATGCTAGAAAGCCTTCTTGCTTTGTTATGAATCGAAAAGGTCACTGGAAGGCTTCTTAACTGAATGACTAACCTTCATTAACAGATTCTACGTGAATATCCGAATCTGTAAATAAAAATGCCTCCATATCTTCACGTTTACACCGAGACGCCTTAGGATCTGCGTTATCCAAACTTGAAATGAGTGAAACTTTCGAATTATTATTGTGTTTCTGTTTGGCCTCAGCTTGTGCACCAATTCTTGCAATATGTTTAGATGGAGGGGGGCACTTTTTAGACTGCTTTTGACGTGTAGAAGAGATTCTCTGAGATTGACTAGTTGATTTATCGACTAGGTGTGCTGATTGAGAATTACGTATGCTCACTGACGATGATGGAGATGATGTCTCTTTGACTGGGATGGAATTTTGAGAAGTGCTGGATATACTCAGCCCATATGACTGTGCTGATGTGTTGAGTGAAGTTAAGATAGATAGAGCATCTTCAACTGTACCAGGTTTCACATCATCCCTGAAAAAAAAACACAAGAAACAAACTTATCACTGTGTTGCATCACCTTATAAAATATCCAAGCTCGTGAACAATTTTATACTATAGTGGTGTTTTGCTCATTTGCCAAGTAGTATAAACGTCAGAGTAATTGACTTTGCGCTACAATTTGAACGTGAAGACTAGAGATACTAGCCAGTTACCCCAACCAAAGTAGATAGAGTAGGAATTGAACGTGTGATTTCGTGGCTGAAATTTGAATATCTCATCCATTGGCTTACTGCTCTTACATATGTATCAGTTTAAGTTGTTACACCACATTAGCACAACGAGATGAAATTATCAGAATGAATCCTGGAGCAATGGTAATAGAACCAGTGATAATAAAAGAAGACTAATGATGAAAATTATTCAATCTAGAGGTTGCTGGCAAAATAAAATGCATGACATAGTTCTGAAACTCAAGACCTACGGAAGGCTACAGTATGTTAACACGGAGTTCCAACAGTATATTATGAGTAATATTACTTCATGTAAACAAAATTAACTAACACGAAAACAACTTACTTTCTTCCATATCCACAGAAACTTTCAATATCTTCCAAGTCAGTGTCCGATTCATCTACACTATCATCGCCGATGCCAACTTCGACAAACCTATTTAAACTGGAACCAGTTGTCAATACACCAACAGTTGAATTTGAACGATTTTTATTGATAAATTCCGAATTGGCCATTGCCACTTCCAATTCACGTTCTTCATCTGAATTCTTTTGATAACCAGTTGAACATAAAACTGCTTGAGTGCATGGATCTCGATCAGAATGATGATTTGACTTCTTAGTTTCAACAATACGCATACAATCAGCTTGCATTAAATTACGCATTTGAGCTTCAACAGATTGAATATCATTTGTAGATGACGATGATGGTTCAATTTTATCTTTGCCCAATACAATTTCATCTTTAAGGATATAAAAAAATTAGTCCCAAGACTAGAGATCATACAAAGAATGGAAACTTTAAAATTATCAAATGATTTAATCAACTTCACAGTTTCATTGATATAAGTAAAAATCCCCCCACTTGCAATCTGTATGGCTGTGAAACATGGGTTTGAAGTTCGCAATCAGCGGGCCATCAAGTACGAAGGAGTCATTTGTTCTTACAAATACCACACCACCTCTCCGCTTTCCCAACTAGTCAGCATCGGTATATAATGCACTATGTGCGACTCACTGGGACGACATTAGTAGTACAGGTCCAAGCCATCAAAGCCGATGTTTTAAGCCGGTGACACTGTGAAGATGTTTATTAAACAAAACGCTTTTAATCGCTCATAACGCCTGCATCAACGATTATTACAAGTATGAGATAACTTTTTGAAGAGTTAATCTTGTTAACACAGCTATTTCAATGATTCATAAAATATTAGCAACCGGTGGTAAACAGGGCTGAAAAGTAATATTTCAAAATAAAAGAAGCCATAAACATTTCTTAATCATCTTATTTCTAGTGTCTCCTCATCAATATTCAAAAGTGACTATTGTTAGAGTTCCATCGGTTAGCCAATAAACTAACATCGACCTAGGACCTAGTCTGAATATGGCACTATTTCGAATTAGCACATATTTCATCCCATCAGCACAATCAGCTGATCATAGGAAAGGTAGGATCTGGCATGTCAGTACAAATAAAAGCAACAAAATGAGAACCATAGGCAATCTAAACAAAAGAAACACACAGTTTAAGAGGAACAGATGAGATTGCACTGTTTTAATACAAAGCCCTCAAATGCCCTGGTACTGCTGAGAGTAGGGAGGGTCTGCTCTCCCTATCCAAATGCTCTCACATGGCCACGCGTATATGGCCTCTGTCACGGGAGTCCTGCTCACTGCATCCTAAAACCACGGGTGTTGTTTACGAAATTGAGAGGATGATAGGTGAATGTCCGGCGCTTTAACCGGGTTGGTGGATATGGAGGATCCACCTACGGGAATTGGAAAACCCAATTGTGCACATGGGCTTCAGCATCCTGAGGGAACAAATGGCGTATGAATCAATCATTGGTCACCGGCTACCATAGGACTGCATTTCCTTACGATGCTCCACTGCCTTGTGGATCAGAACCTCACATCAAAAACTCCGGGTTTGACCCCCTAAGAAAACTACCTGCTTCGGTTTGTGCACTCGGGAAGTACTACAGCCGTCATACAAATCAAATAAGATTTGTGTGGCGCATATATATCTGGTGCCCCTTCGTACCAACATTTATGTGTTTAAATAAAAGAACATTTAATTTAGTACAAAAACCATGCAAACAATATAAATATAACAGCTGACTCGTACCTACATAAATGATGGTGACAATACACACACCCACACACCAAAAGGCAACTTACTATATTTTGATATTATCTCAGTAGCAGCATGCTCTGATTTTTCAGAAGGCTATAAAGTAATAGAAAACACTGTTAACACAAATAATTTATACCGTAGACAAGTTACACATATTGTTATGATATTACAACATTAGCTAACAAATATGAAATGATAGCAGTGAGGATTATTAATTAAAGAAATACTAGTTTAACACAGATAGATACTATGTGAACACCTAAATAGGGAGCACTAACATGCAGCACATATTAAATTCACTTAGTATTGTCTGTTTGAATCTTCCTATTGATGTTTAGGACTGCAACTGGTCAGTTTATAATTGGCATATGTGCATACTGTGCGTATTGCCTCGATATAGCGCGATGGCGTTTGAAGCGAAAGGTACTGGGTTCGAGTCCTAGAGTGAATATCAACTCTGAGATGCAGGCACATTCAGCTGACGAGTCCCGAATAGGACGAAACGCGTGTACTGGATTCCATTGCTAGCCACTATCCATCTTTGCTTACAAAGTAACATATATTGTTATTTAAGAACTATAAAATAAGTACTCAATAGTAATGAAAACAATATTGCGCTATTTAAAAACATTATTCGCGGTATTGGCTAATATAAGAATATGTTGCAAAAACGCTAAAGGTGGTTAGACTACATCATGAAGTAACGGACTATTGGTTCAACCTATACTATTAATTATGAACCTTTTAATCAGAATTTGAGAAATATCAGCTAGTCTAAGGTTGAAAACTTTAGGTTTATAGTTTTAAACCTGTCATTCACTAGATGTTATAGGATCTAATGACAGATGTTATAGTCAACAAATAGTACTCTAGCAACGGAAAAGCATGAGTCTCAAACTAGCTCAAGTGAGAGTGCTCGAAAATATGAGCTTCAGAATCAGACGAGGAACGTCTTCATACAGAAAACAAAAGGAATAAATGTGTAATGTTGTGGTGACTTTAAGTACAACTTTAAGCCATTTTTCTCTTCAATGCAACTCCAACTATAGAAATTAGTTACTGAGTTAAGTTTGATTATGAATTTTTTCGTGAGAAAAATATGATGATAAGTTATAGATGGACTAATATTACGAATTTACAACATAGTCTGAGAACCGATTACAACAAAATGGTAGTGGTATAAATAGCTATGATTATCTGGGGAAAATTGTAAGACATAGTCTTAGAATGGTAGCAAACAGTATGACGATATTAGCTACGATTCTTTAGTGTGATGTTTTCATAAGACTAAAACAATGTTTAGTAGATGTCAGTTATAATAATAAAGGTTTAGCAGCCTGAAATAACCATATTTTTAAGCTAATTTGCCGCAATTTGGGGCTAGCTATCTAATAATACCCCATACCAGCAATATTAAGACAGTTATTTTTTCTAGATTTGAGAGTACCTTAGTGAAAAATCTTCTAGCCAGATATTTTTAATAAGATTTAAAATGACGAATTCAAGGAAAGTGTAGATATTACCTTTATTTACATCGACTTTAAGCAAAACCACCGAAAGGGACGAAGGCTAAACATTAACTCCAAAATATTCCTAAAATTCGGTGCGGACCAGGATGCCTAACAGAATTCTGTGTTTATAACCCGAAAAATCAGATATTAATTGACTGAAAATAATGTAACAAACGATCACTTTTTATTTTAACCAAGTTGGAGTTGACAGTTCACTTAATGTTCTCACGCAGTTGACGGTGGTGAATGTCAGCCCTCCCTTTCCAAATGCTTTCACATGACCACACGTATACAGCCACTCCAAGGGAAGTCCTATTCAATGCCTTCTAGCGATGAGGGTGTCGTTTGCGAAACTGAGAGGATTAGAAGCCAAAGTCTGGCACTTTAAAGGGGTTGGTGGATACGGACGATCTACCTAGGAGAGTTGGGAAACCCTTATTTCAAACCATCGGTGCATATGAGCTCCAGGACACTAGAAGACTATCTGGTGTATGAACCTATTATTGGTCACCAACTACCATGGGATCTTATCTCCTAGTGTTGCTCATTTTCTTGTGGATTAGACCTCTTAGTGAAAGGCTTGAGGAGTGGCCCCAAGAAAATTAAGTGCATCGATTTTGAGCACCCAGTCAGTATCCAAGGCGACACAAATCCAATGATTCTTGTGATGCATACACATTTTATTACACCTTTGTACCAATGTGTTTAAATAAGTAAATAAAAAGTATTTCCCTGCAGAAAACCATCTTTTAAACACTTTTAGTTCATATTAGGCATTACAGAGATTATGATATTAATAGATATAAGCCTATTCAGTGGTTGACAAAATTTTTACTACAAACCCACATAAACTCAAAAATGTTTGGCTTAAAAACACATCTGTAAGTTCATCTACAGGAATTTTGTAACTCACAAGGTACGCTGACAGTAACTCCGCTATTTCAAAATGTGATTCTGATGAGCCATGAGAAACATTTATTATTCCACAAATATATTCACCAACAACCTCAGCATCAATATCCTTTGACAAATGTGTGAGGAAAGTAGTAACCCAATCAAATTGTAATTCATTTGAAGACATACAGCATGCGGAAAGATTACTCGTAACAAGGGTATATACCAATATTTAAAAGTTGGAAGTTAGGAGGACAGAGTACTACAGTCTACAAAATAAGAAACAGAAGGAACAGTGGAGATCAATGGTTGGCTAATATATCAAATTGTAGCAGGTTGTCAACACTGTATATTTATTTCAACTGCCTGACCCCTACTTAAGAAAATATCCACACGTCTGGTCTGGTTTTCATTTCACTGAAGGCGACGAACAACTGAAAGGAGCTGCATGTGCAGTGCACAAGTTATGAAGTAAGACAAAAAACAACAAGTCATTCTTTTGAACATTAAATGTAGATGACCAGTCACTTACAGGTCGCTGACAGAAGCTCCGATAAATAATAGAGGAAAACTGTTATAGCTTTGGAAACAAGCTGTGAAGTAATTTGACGAAACATACAAATCCCTAACTGTGGAGAAGGATGTTAGATGGGCCATCTCCTGGTAGTACCTGGGAAGACAAAAAACATGTACCCACTACTCATCAAGCAGTAAACACAAATGCTTTCAATAACAGGCAAAATATTACGTTATTGGAAGGATTTTTCTATTAATAATCATTAAATCTTTTAACTACATGTGCCTTTTATCGTAAGAACAACGTTACATAAGAAGTGAGACAACATGTTACTGAAATTCTGAAGTCATGTAGTACCGAGTATCTGTAGGAGCAAATTTACACCTGATTGGAAAACTACTATTGGTCGACAATGCGCGGGAACTTTACGTTTGAATTAGCTATGTCGAAACACGTGTTATCTAGTTTATTTGGAAATAGGAGAGATCTAAAACAATAGCATGCAAATCTGGGCCAGTGAATGTCTGGGGAGCAAGAACACAATTTGCTAGCACAACGTATACATTCTTTCAGGATCAGGTTTGTGAAGATTGTAGCGTAGTTTTAGTTGAATGTGTTTCAAAACTCGGCTAGAAAAAAATCTTACATACAAAATAGTTCCATCGATCATTTCGCAAGTTCAGTTCAAGAAGGAGTTGCCCTTCTAGCAGTACCTTAACCCCTTGTTACCCTTCAATGAGAATGTGGGGAGTAGTGTAACGTCGTGTACTATATTACACCTACATAGCTTATTCTAGTTTCTGGACAAACCAATTCACCTATAACGTTATGAGTCATATTTTGATCTTGTTAATTATTCCCTTATTGACCTTGACTACTTTTTTTATATGAGCGTATGTGTATGCACACTTCTTATCCTACCTATCACACGTATGTCATTCATTTTAGTCTGACTATAAATGTTGATTAATGCTTGCTTATAACGAGTTGGCTTACCAGCCATCTCCCATGTATGTTACTTTTTCTTCGCTCGCTAACATTTACTCATGTGCTTACTGCCTTCTAGCCTATGTTATTTGTCAATAAATATGTAGTTGCCACTTCCCTTTGTCTTCTGATATTATACACCGTTCACATTGATATAATAACGGTTATCGAGACGATCGATTAACGAAGCATGGCACTACAAGAAAAACAGATCCATATTAATATTATTGCATATATTGCTTCAAATTACTGAGTCACTACCACCTCACTCCTTGAGGCACTTTCCTTAATGCTTTGTGGTGGACATATTCATGCCTACCTCCTTCTGAAAGTACTCTCTAGTAGATAGTGGCGGGCGAGGGTTAGCAAAGTGGGTATCAAATGGTTATAGTGCCCTGTTGTAAACTTGTCTTAGGATCGCTGGATACATAAGACAAAAGTAATAGGAGATCAAATAAAGATTAAGAATATATTGTACATGTTTCAGAGACATTGAGATATTTCATTATCCCAGCATTCAGTCGACTACTTACTAATGAACTTTTGTAGAAAAGCCTTAATTGTCCTGTTTGTTCTTTCCACCAAGCCACTAACTTCTGGGTGTTGAGCGATAGTCTTAGTTTTCCAGATTCCAATGTCTGACGTACCTGGGTCAAGAGATGACCTTAAAAGATGCACCTTGGTCAGAATGGAGTGAGAATGAAGCGCTATAACCAGAAACACAATTATCAAAGAAAGCTTGTGCGACCATGAGGACATCTTGTTGTAGAATGGGAACTGCTTCACGCTATTTACTAAAGTAGTCTACTATCACAGGTAAGTAGTGGTTTCCGTTCTTCGTTGTTGTAAGTAGCATCACAATATCAATGCCAATCGGCTGATGTGGTCCTTCTGTCATCATTGGAGTTAACGGTGAACGGCTATTTGTTAAGAAGCTTTATGGCATAACACGTGATACGATGTGTAGGAAATTTCATTGTGTCCATGGGTGGACGGCCACCTAAACCACTGGCGAATGGGATGTTCGGTCATTGGTTTTCCTGAGTGGCCGAGTTCTCAATGCATCTGCTCTTTTACATTTGAGTGCAACTTTGGTTAATAATGTGCTGGCACTCTAAGACGTGGTTAACGTAGTGGCATTTGGTCACTTGTGTTAGTGAAGTGCTATACAGTAGTCGTTTGGTTTCCAGAAATATTCGCCGTGATAACAGAGATAAACTGTCACAGTACAGAAAGAGTTGAGAGACAGTCAGTTTCCGATATTTGCTTATTACTCTGTACTTAACGTATAATCTCTGGCACCTATGTGAGCCATAGATCTAAGTGCTTTGTTAGAGTGGTGTGCCTACCCAGTCACTCCACCTGATTTTGCATCCACCCTAGCCATGTGTATAACAACTTTGTGTTTAAACATAAAATTTATAACGAGTATCATATCTGAAGTCAATGTAGGACAGACCAAAAATTAATGAATGAATAAATGTTTGTTCGTCTTTACAACTAACCACACCTTCGAGCATACTTCCAACAGAGCACCTGTCGCCGTTTTTGGTGCTGAGAAACACAGTTTGTCCGTTTTCAAAGCTAAGGGTGTGAAATAACCCCCCTTTATCAACGGATATTGCCGCCCTGGTGTCAGTTAGGATAGAAGTTTCGACCCTTTGCAAACTACTCCTAATTGTGACAAAATACACAGATTTGGCAAGGTGTGAGGACGAGTGGTAAGATCTGTTCTTCCTTTGATTCCGGAATCCGTTAAACTTACACTTCCAGGCTCTCTGGCCTAACCCTTAAGCATTGCGTTTTCATGTCTTGTAACTGGTTCGCGCAGATCGTATAGCCAACGAAATTTTAACTGCTGAGACACTAGATGGGTTGTTCAAGTGATGCAGTCCCATAGCTTCTTCGGATAGTACTGTGGAGCGATGTGAACATGACTTACTTACGCAAGCTTTTAACTCCTGGTGGGGCAACATAGGCCACTCGCCAGCATTCTCTATCCAACTCTGTCCTGGCCACATCTTTTTCATTTCTTTCCATTTGCTGTTCACCCTTTGCATTTTTGCCTCCCATTCTCGATGCATTGTGTTCCTCGGTCTCTCACTTTTCCGTTTCCCTACAGGATTCCAAGTTGGCACTTGCCTCGTGATGCAGTTCGATGAATCCCGTAAAGTATACCCTAACAACTTTCAACGTCTTTTCCTAATTCCCTGTCCATTTGGAAGCTGGTTTGTTCTCTCCCACAGTACACTGTTGCTGATTGTATCCGGTCAACGAGCATTGAGTATCAGACCATTGAACCATCCCAAATTTCGCGCTCAACAGATTTTGTCCGAAAATTTATTTTCGATGCTTGATATGCTAAACTATATGTATATATATAGTTATATATTTTTAGCATTTTGATTTTTTTTCATCGTTCATTGCTATACGTTATATTCATCATGATCGAACAGACTCCTAAATTATTTATGATCAAGATTATTACACCACCCTCATTCCAGCTAACGCCATTCTGGCCCGGCAATATCAGGCCCTGGTTCTGCTACACAGAAGCTGACTTCCATGAGCACGGCATGGCAGACCAGAATGCTCATTTCCTCGCAGTAGTGAAGAAACTACTGCGCGAATCCAATACGTACGTCACACCTAGTATGTTTATAAGCGGTGTCTCGGAAACTCATGAAAATCTGAAAGGGGCTACTATTAAATATGGGGATTCAAAGGTCAGATTAACTCCTCAATAACATCGATCTACAACGTGGCTTGTCAACAGACATGTTGTTATGAACGGGAGAGGTCACTGGTGAACGGACCTTCGACGATGGCCTGTTCAGACAACTTTTTGTCTAAGCTTCCTCAACAAGCGCAGACAGTGTTTGTACCATTTCAAACCAAAACTGTCGATGAGGTGGATGAATCTGAAAATCACCAGAACTCCTAACACTGAGGATTTTTCAGTCGAAGAAAAACCTATAGCGACACGAAGTGAAGTTTCGGAGCTCTGTCACACTGACACGTCACTTTGATATTCATCATGACCGTAGACGATCACTGACTCTTTGACGGTGCACTTCACGAGAACGACATGTACTTAGATTACGAGGGATAGATAACTCTGATGGGTGCTAGTATCGTAATCAGCAGGGAAAATCTTCTCGAGATTGAGAAAATGCCTACAATTTTAAGAGCCACAAACAGACTGATGCGAAAAACACCTCGGGAAACTTCCCAGCTGTCACGGCAACTGTGGCCGTTGAACATAACCGTCTGTTGTACATCACTGATGCGATAACAAAAGTTCACTATCGCGTTGATACTGGAGCAGAAGTTTGCGTTCTTCCACAAAATTCTAATGACCGACTGCACGAAGCAGTTGTCAACTCATAGGCGGCAAACAGAAAACCTATCGCCACATATGGTAAACGGTACATCTATCTTAAGGTGGGTTTACGCAAACCCATTTACTTGATTTTCGTTGTTGCAAATATTTTTACTCCAATCATTGATAAAGACCTGTTGCAATATCATAATTTACTCATCGGCACGCGCAAACGATGGATATTAGATGTAAATACTGATTCATCTGTTAGTGCGAATTATTTTCAGGTTGTAGACTATACACAGTCACCGCAAGGCACATGATCGATTCATACTACCAACAAATATTCAACAAGTAACCCGGGATATACCCAACTCAGCTGAAATCGCCATATGTAATCAGAAATGTTACACATTACGAGGACTACATGACCATAACCTGTATTCTCGAAAACCCGCTGACTAGCTCCCAAAAGCTGAAGTATTGAAGTCGCCGGCTAGAATTATATTATCAAAAGCCTGGTACGATAGTAATGAGGCTAAAAATCATGGAATAGTTCGGTATTGATACATTCATCCTGGTTACCAGAATAATCGGCTTAATCCCAAAATTGTAGATTAGTAGTGGTGTGACCATCTAGCCGTAAGACCTTACGTGAAAGTCACATCACTGTCTACAATGACTCGTCCTATGGTGATAATCAGCAATATAATGTTTATCATATCTGAAGAAGATAGAATAATAGATTTAACATGAAAAGAAGTAAGTTACACAATGACCACGCAAGTATGACCAAGCCATGCCATTGTGATTTTGTTCCAGCGTTCATAGTGTTTGACTTTCTCCGTGCGTTATATATCAAATGTAAGTCTTATAAGTAAACATATGTTTGGCTTCAAAGGCAGTGTGGTTAGTAACCATGCCACTACATCTTTGGCGTTTCTTGAAGTTTCACATCTGTGCAATCGGCACAATCTTGCCGAGATTGTCACCATGCAAATTGAGATGCTTTCTTTTCCCAACTTCTGCCCATCAAAATCTGCTCAACTTTCCAATAAACTGTCATCTGACACTGAAGCATCAGAGGGGATTGAAGAAATTT